TCTTTCCGCTATCCTGGCCATGGGGCCTGGAGGGTAAGTGGGGCTTCACTTGCCCTGTTGGGCGAACCCCACAGACGAGAAGCCTGAGCAGGCACCCCCGCAGTTGTCCACAGTGGTCACCCGGGCTCCCTTCATGGGTTCCCTGGGGATGCCAGTGAGGGCACTTTGAACATTGGTTTAGCATTCTGTAGCTGACGGAGCACTGACACTTTACATGTGGCAGCGAGTGGTGTCCTCTCTGTGACCCTACAGATGCTACAGCTGATCCCAGGAGGGGAAGACGAGGTGTGGTGTGGGCAGGACAGACCTCAGACAACACCCTTGGCCCACAGTTCCTGCCTGGTAGGACCCTAGCCTTCAGTCACTAGGCACATCTGGGAACACAGTGCTAGATCAGGACTTGTGTGCTGCACATACTGCGTAGGCATACATGTACACACATGCACACGCAGGCATGCATGAACAGACACACATGCACACACCTACTCAGATGCACACACCTAAAGGTATATAGATGCATGAATGAACCTGAATAAATATAGGTACATGTATGTACACAGTACATGGAGTGCATACACTTACAGATGCACACACAGCACATACATGCACATATACACTCTGATACACACATGCATATGTATACATGTGTGCGCACACACACGTGCACAGACGTGTGCATGATTTCCTGAAACAGCCCTTAGCCTGTTTTTCTGTGTCCCACCCCCTGACATGCTTCACGGTCACTCAGGTGGAAGGCTGCTGTGTGATAGACACTGACAGGCCCCCTGAGGGGTGGGCTCAGAGACCCCTTGGGGTTCCATTCTCCTGACATTTAAAGTGGGGTCGTGCACTCCGGCTGCAGCAGCACAATTACGTGTAGGTAATGGATGTGACATTGTGTTGACCTTGTCTTTCGCATGGGCTCCTGTCTCAGTGTGACACTTTGACATGGGGGAGGCCAAGTGTGCACTCCAGAGCCTCGGCTCCCAGCAGAAACACCCACTGAAGCCGGCAGGATGGGCGCTTGGTCCAGTTGTATCCATTTGAACATTAGGGCTTTGATTCTTAATGCAGCATCCTGTCAGCAGTCTCAGAGTCCGTGTCCCTGGTTGAGTGCACCGTGGCTGCATGTCTGTGTGCATGTGCCCTGTGCTTTGCTTAGCACTTAAAAATTATACAGAACAATGCATGCTTGTTGAAAAAGAGCAAACATCAAACCCTTTCAATATCATAAAGTAAAACATTTGGCCCCCACACTCCCTCCCCCAAGAGGAGTCAACTGTGTGTGACGTGGACACTCCTGACCTTTGGCTGTTCATGTGGGTTTTTTTAAAGGCTATCTGGGGACACGAGGCAGGTGGCCCTTGTTATTGTTGTGAGTCGCTCAGTCATTTCGAACTCTTTGCAACTCCACATATCCAGAAATGGCTAGGACTGAAAGGTGAAGGGAAAATGAAATGGCAGAGGCTGGATAGAAGGTCAGCCAAGTCCATGTGCTTGGGTTTAATCTGAGGGAGAAACATTCCACATAGGGAAATGATATGCTCCGATTTACATTAAAAACATTATTTTGGCTGCTACTTCTGTTTGGTAAATGTGTTACAAAGAGGTTGTGTCTGTTTGTAATTATATACAACTGCTGGCAACAGATCTAGAAGAAAAAAACAGTAATTTAAAGAGCTCAATAGTTTATTATCAAGTCTAGAGGTAGGCAGAAGAAAGCAGGTGTAAAGTCTTTAGTATGTTGTGAGGGTCCTCAGTTTTTCTGGATTTCTACTTGGCTGTTCTTAGAATGAGATTCTTATCTTCATGTACCTTCATGTTCACAAGGTGGCTGGCAGAGTTCCAGCCATCAGGTTTGAGTTCCAGGCAGCAAAAGGAGGAAAGGCTGAAGCCAAAAACAAACAAACAAACAAACAAACAAACAAAATAAAGCTGAGTCAGCCTCCTTTAAAAAGCTTTCCTGGAATTCCTACCTTCTCCAACTTCTGTTCACAGTTCTTTGTTCAGAACTGCCACCAGGGGAACTAGCCAAACTACCATTCCTATGTAAAATCAAGATACTATTAGTGAGAATGAAGGGACATGGGTGCTGGGACAGGAAGCCAGCAGTCTCTACCCCAGGGAGCAAGAACAGAAGCAAAAGTGAGGGCGTGGGAGGCTGTGGAGAGTTCAGGGTTGGGGGATGAGCGTTGCTTTTATTGGACCAGTAATGGTGGACATGGACTTGGGAATGAGCTCAGTGTGTGTCTGGTGCATCCCGAGCTGGTAGCATCATCCACGCTGACAGCTCTCCCCCAGGGCCTGGGTATCCTACAGCTGTGTAGGATTTCTGTGGGTGTATTTAGTGTTCACTGGACACTCTGGGATTGCTGAATGAGTCCCATTCGGAGCCTCTCACCTGGCCTGGGCTTCTGGACCCACCTGTACCTTACTTCCCTACTAAGGGCTGGAGAGCAGGGACCCCACCCTGGGCCCAGGCCGAGGGTGACATGTGACCCACATGATGGGCCTCTCTAAGACTTGGCTCCTCGTGAGGCAGCCCTCTCTTCTTCCCCTCCTAGCCTCCTCAGCCTCCTGGCGTATCTGATGTTGCGTTCAGTGTGGCTTGCGCCCTTGTCACTGGGTGTCTGGGCCTCATCCCTGTGGCCTTGGCCTGTAGCCCAGGGCCCATCCTCTGATAGCTGTGTTGGTGCAAAGCCATGCTCCATTCATGCGTCAGCTGTGGCTGCTTTCGAGCCACTATGCCAGGCTCGAGGACCTGGGACAGAGGCTCCAGGAATCAAAAAGCTGAAAATAATGCCCTTTTAAGCTGTTTGTTGACAAGAGGTGCCGCCTCCACCTAGGATGGGCCAGTCCCTGGAGGAAACAGACTTGGTGTACTCCTTGATTAATAGGTACGTCGGGATGGAGAACAGACACTGGGTGGAGGCAGGGAGCCTTGCCAGGCAGCCTTCGGGCTGGAGGAGGAGGTGCAGAGTGGTTCCTGAGCAGGGAAGCTGGGCGGGCAGATGTGGCCTGGCCCCTGGTGTCTGGCCCTTGTCCAACATCCCCCCAGTGGCAGGTGCTCACTGTGAAGTCCCCTGTGATTCCTTCCTTAGTGAAGTGGATCCAGGGTGGTAGTGCCCCTTATTACACATAAAAAGTAAATGCAATTAAAAAAAGACCCTCCCTCCCCCAGAGCACTGTGGAGGGTGAGCTGTGCTCCCTGCTAGACTTTGGGAGCCAGACAAACCCACCAGGGTTATGAGAGATAACTTCCCAGGCAAAATGAGGAAGGAGCCAGGAGCGCTTCCTGGAGGCGGTGACTTAACCAGGGCAACAGGAAGCCAAAACGTCTCCCCCGACCCTCTTGAGTGGTTTGGTCTGCTCTGATATGTCAGAGGGCAGTTGGTCAGGCACTGGCCTGGGGCAAGCTGAGGAAGGTCTGGGGAGGCTGAGCCGGGAGAGGACCGCTGGAGAGGGAGTGAGGGGCTGGCTGTCCCTCGGACACCCTGAAGAGTGGTGGTCAGGAGGCTGACAGTGATGGTGGGAGTAAGGGGAAAGTTCTAGAAAGGGAGGGCCTCGGGCTGTCAGTTGGACCGGTAGACGTGGAAATGGGTTGGCTTGGTGGGGGTGGAAGGAAGAGGAGAGGGTGAGGGTGACTGACTCGTGGGGGAGGGGAGAGGCAGCTGCTCCCCCATTTTGCAGAAGAGGGTACTCAGCATGAGGAGGAGACTGAGAGCCTGTGGACTGCGCTGGGGGGCCCTGGGGGCAGCGTGTAGAGAATGCAGGGGTCCCACTGCACTCTCTTCCCCACGTGTGGTTGGCAAGGGTCCTGCCTCTGCTCCGGCCAGTGTTTTAGTTTAAGTCTTTCCCAAGAAGCCGGGAACGAGTCCATCTCAGAGGTTCACTGGGCTCCTGGCGGGGCCTTGGGTCAGAGGCAGACCCCAGTGTTGTCGATAATTGCTCCGATCCACTGATATCCGCAGGTTCACCTGCGGGCACATTCATCATGTATTCACCTCACATATGGTGCATGGTCTGAGCAGGCAGCAGCCGGACTCAGGTGGTCATGGGGCAGGGGCAGAGGGTGGGCGCCAGGAGACCTGGGGACCCCCAGCCCCAAGTTTCTCTCCTAAGCACTGGCCTGTTCTTTCCATGAGGTGGCATCCGGGTGGCCCTGTCCTTTGCAGGAGATCAGCTGTTCCTGCATGACCTGGCCCTGCGTGTATGGATGTGGTGTGTGTGTACATGTCTGTACTTAAGCACACGTGTGCTTGCACGGCTGAGTGTGCTTACACATTTCAGCCTCCACCCAGCTCTCTGGTCTTAGCTCTGGCCATCATCCTTGATGAGTATTACAGGAACTGGGAAGCCAGAGTCTCCACGGGAAACTGAAACCCCAGTTCCGTTCCCTTCCTTCCCATCACTTTACCAGCTGCACACGGTGCCCACACAGGGAAGAAGCTGGGCAGCCAGGCATGTGTTTGTCCCGCCGGTCAGGTCCCTGTCTGTCCTGCGTTCCAGGCCAGTCTGAGGAGCAGGAAGCCCTGACCCTGTAGCGGCTTCTGGGGTGCAGTGTCTGTGTGGGGCTGTCGCCCTCAGGAGGCCCCTTACGTCTCCCCACTCTCTTCCTCCGCAGAAGAGTCCGTGGCTGAGGCTGTGGTGAAAGTGGAGCCATGCGCGGGGGCGGGGGTGATGTTGAGAGAACAGAAAGCAGGCGTTATTGCCACACATCCTGACTTGCATCCTTTCCTTTGCACTTTCTTCCAGAATTTCTTCAGAAGGCCGTAGAGCAGCGTGCTGTTTGAGAACAAGGTGGCCTTTCACGTTTGCACTGGTGAGAGCGGCGGACCTCACCCAGAGTGCTGAGAAATGCGGGGCCTGCAGGCTCGTGCCGCCCACCAGCTCCGGGCTGCGCTGCGGCTCTGAGCGGCCACCACCCCACCGTGACGCCTGCTGTGGGCTCCGCTGCCCGCCAGGATTTGCTGCTGAAGCCCCCGCTGAAGCCCTGACTGATGAGGATGTGTGCCCCTGTTGGGGGGCTGCTCACCGCCCTCGCCGTGGTGTTTGGGACGGCTGTGGCCTTTGCTCCCGTACCTAGGATCACCTGGGAGCACAGAGGTGAGGGCAGAACTGTGGCAGGTGCTGGCAGTACCGGACGGGGATGGGCGCCCTGCGCCCTGCGCCCTGCTCTGGTGTGGAGAAGCATGGGTTCTCTTGGCTGCTGGGTCCGTATTCTTGGCCCTTGTGTGTGGACAGAGGGCCTGCACTGCCGCGTTGGGGAGATGCTCCGATACCTGGAGACACTCCCAGAGCTTCTTCTTGGCCTTCTGATTTGGTTTCTAAGTCAGGGGGCGCGCGTGAAGGAAGTTTATCTTCTTTGTGCCTGACGACCTTTGGTGCACACTGCCCAGACACAAACCACAGTAGTGTTTGTAGTAGGCAGAATGTGGAGCTGAGCTTCAGGCTAATTGTTTCCATTTGCTGTTTATTGGTGTCTCTGTCATTTTCTGTCTTGGGAGCTCTACCTCTGGACGCCCCAGTCTTTCTGACTCCGTGGTCCTGAGCGAGCTGTGCTTGCAGGACTCAGCTGTCTTGTGCAGAATTCCCAGCACTGTGTGCTGGGAGAGCCTCTACCCTAAGCACATCTTTCTTCAACACGGGAAAATTAGAAGAGGGGAAAGTGAGAACACCTAATGCTTCGATAAAATCAGAACTTGGTGATCCGTGGAAAGCCAAGTTTAAAATTGATGCTGGGACGGCCAAAAAGAAGAAACAGCTCCCTAGGAAAGAGTGTCAGTACATTTATATTACTTCTAAATAGCTAGTCCTTAAATTCCTCATATTCCTAAATAGCTATTGATGCAGTTACCTAGTAAGTGAAAAAGTCACCTGTTACTCTGCTTTGTAAGTTTGTGGTGGTTATCCTTAGAAAATGCTGCAATAGATTTTTTGTATAAGACTTTGATCTAGATAATTTTTTCCTGAATAAGAAAATCCTAAATAGTTTTATTCTTTGTAAACCTCATCTGTGGGTGATTAAATACACAATACATAAGAGTTTGATGGGAGGCAGGGGGAACCGCAGTTGTCAGCAGTTTAAGGTATCTGGCCTGAGGTCCCTGGGAGATCATAAGGTCATACTGCCTCAAGGTCGTGTTCCTACAAGGTCACATTCCTGGGAGGTCACACTGCCAGGTTTGGAATTCAGCTGGGCTGAAGGGAGCAGGAAGGGAAGTCATGCCACAACACTGGTCAAGCGCAATGGCTCCATGGTGGCCTCACACTTGGTGGTGGCCTCGGCGGGTCTGTTGCACCCAAAGGTGCCTGAGTTCTGGCTTTGGCCCGGGCCTGGCCACCATGGGAGCAGACCCCAGGCATGGCCCTGGTGGGTCGGCAGTGCGCTAGACGGAGATTGGGTGCTCCGGCTATGTCCAGGCTCAGAAATACCTAATACGTTCTCCTCTTGCCCTGCCCTCCCCAGAGGTACAGCTGGTGCAGTTTCATGAGCCGGGCATCTTCAACTACTCGGCCCTGCTGCTGAGTGAGGACGAGGATACCTTGTTCGTGGGTGCCCGGGAAGCCGTGTTTGCCTTAAACGCACACAACATCTCCAAGAAGCAGCATGAGGTATGGTGTGGGCTCTCTGTGCCCCTGCTGTCTTTTTCTTTCCAGCATTTTCTCCTCAAGTCCATGCACTGGGCTCTTCCTGGGGTGGCGGTCCCTTTCTTGGCTGTGCAGCCTCACCCCAGTGGCCGGTCCCATGGGCCATCCTGCACATCCAGCGAGCAGCCTCCCTGCCCACCAGGGCCTAGGGCACTGTTGTCCAGAAGCTCCTCTCCTGCCCTATGTCCACGAGCCCCATCTCAGGGTGTTTGCCCTGTCAGCCTCTGTCCTCCCCAGGCTGGCAGCTCACTCAGGGATCACCCTCTTTTTATCTTGGATTATTGAATGTTTTATTACGGAAAATCTCAGGCACACATGGGAACAGAGGGAGTGATACGATGAGCCCTGTACCCCCTCTCGGAGAAGGCAATGGCAACCCACTCCAGTACTCTTGCCTGGAAAATCCCATGGGCAGAGGAGCCTGGTGGGCTGCAGTCCATGGGGTTGCAAAGAGTCGGACACGACTGAAGCGACTTAGCAGCAGCAACACCCCCTCGAGGCTCCTGCAACAAGGGTTCTCCCCTATCCTCTCGTCCCTGCCTTGTCCTCTGCTCCCGGTGGGAGCAAGTCCCAGCCACACGTTCTTCATCCCCGAAAGTTTCCCAGAGCATCTCCTAAAGGTAGGACTATTTTCTTTTTTTTCCAAAATATCATTATTGCATTCTAACAATTAATGTCATCAAATAGTGTTCAAATTTCATGGACTCTCACATTAATGATGTTTAACTATTCAGTTTGCTTGGGTTGAAATCAGACTGTCTATGTGGCCGGGCACTCTGCCATCGAATCTCCATTTCTAGAAGCTGCCCTCGGTCCACTTGCTGGGAAAGCTGCTCTCAGTCCTGTCAGGCCCCCAGTGTTGGTCTGGCTCCTTTGAAAGGCAGGACCCTCCTCCCAGGTGGGCATTCTCCTTGCTCTTGACCATTACAGTCTAGAGCACACCAAAAATTGCAGAATGGGACATTTTGCCTCTACCTTCTCCATCTGTGTACTGGAATATTGTCTGTGAAGGGGGGACTGCCCATCGCCAGCTATTCACATCTCCCAAGGCTAGTTCCTGTGGAAATGGCAGGATCAGAGCTTAAAATCTTTGCCTTTCTTTACTAGTTTGCAAAATCATGGATAAGTTCACTCTGAAGGGAGACAGTAGGTCTGGAGACTGTTTTTAGTATGACTGTGACTCATGGATTCAAACGTTTGAAGTGTCTCAAGCCATTGCAGCCAGACCCTCCCTCAGTACTCAGACTGTCCCCTCCTAGCCTCTGGCAGTCTCTCCTTGGCTCCTGAGTCCTTAAACACCGCACAAGTGGTTGGTGTAATTTTCTTGTTTTCTGAAATCAAGCTGGCCCACACTCATCTTATGCATTTTCTGCCCCAGACCTCTCTTATTTTCTTGTTTTTGTCTTCATCTCCAGAGGCAGGCATAGTACTTAGTTTCTGTTTCACATAAATGAGACTGAAGTCATTATGCTGTGAAAACAAAGTGTTTAAAATTGTAAGGCGCTTAGAGCAGAGGGATGTTCACAGCCTGACTCCCTCTCAGCCCCTACTCCTGGTGTTGGTCAAACCCCAGTCTCCTCGACAACTCGGGCCAACACTGCCTTTCAGAATCTCATGCTGGGAGCTCCCTGGTTGCACTAGGCACATAGATGCTCAGTCAGAGCCTGCATTGTTCTGTTAATTCCCTGACTGTGGCCCTTCAGACTGACCAAGAAGCTTGGGCCCTGTTGCCGTGAAAGAGAAAAAAAAGTGAAAGGACCCCAGGCCAAGCTTCAGTGAAATCCCCGAGAACGTGGTTAAGGGCCTGTCAGAGTTCATGTTCCCGTATCCTCAGGCATTGCCTGTAGATGATGAAATTGTGTACATTTTAATTGCAAAAAAAAGTTACTGTTTGGAATGGGACTTTGTTCTGCTTTCACGCATCCTGGTCCTGATGAGGGCCCCCATTTCTCTGAAGACATGTCACTGGGGGGTTCACGTCACTGCTGTGGAGAAGCTCCTCCTGCTGCTTCCTGACCCCCGAGTGCCTGAAGCCAACTTCGGTTCTCTGGGGGGAAATGTATTTTGGTGTCAGAGATGGACTATCACATGGGCAGATATGGCGTCTGGGGACGGTGAGGCGGGAGTGTGGGAGCCTTCAGTGAGGCAAGACTGTTGCTTCCCTGGGAGGTGAGGGGCCAAGGCACCTGCCGGCCTGACTGCCCGTCCACCTGGTGTGGAAGGAGCAGGAACCCAGGTCTCAGCGGAAAGACGCTCGACCTGAGGAAGCCATGTGGCTCCATCTCTTTCACCTGCTGCCATCACATAAAATTTAAAGCATTGTAACCCTGCTGTTCCGCTGAGCAAGTAAATATGAAGACTTTTTACTGGACTCAAAAATCACTTTTGAATGGTTGAAAAAACCCACTTGATGTTTGAAAGTGCCTGCAGTTTATTTAGGGACTTCCCAACTGTCCCATGGCTAGGACTTTGTGCTTCTGTTGCAGGGGGCAGGGGTTCCATCCCTGGTCGCTGAACTGAGCTCCTCCATGCTGTGTGGTGTGCGCCCCGCTCCCCCAAAAAAGAGAGAGAATGCCTGCAGTTTCGGTTTTGATGACTAATTCTCCCCACTTCTGGTTGTTTTGTTTCTGAAGTTGTTTTGCAGTGAGTAATGGTCATCTTTCTTCCAGGCCCCCTTTCAGGCTGTGCGGGGTGAGGACCACAGAACACTCTCGAAGCCCCTGTTGCTCACATGCAGTAGTGTCTGCTCTGAGCCCCACTTTGTAATCTGAGATGTTAATGCCTCGGGGAATACCTGTGTTTCAAATACCAATGTGTGCTTTGTAAACTGTGTATTTATATACCAGTCAGTCCTTTTTATTAAAGGGGGAACATGCACTGAAATGGACTCTTTCCTTCTTCCTCACAGGCTTATTGGAAGGTCTCAGAAGATAAAAAAGCAAGATGTGCAGAAAAGGGGAAATCAAAACAGGTAATTTATTTTGCAAGCTTCAAAGACCACCTGGGGAACGGCTTACTTGTTTTACTCTCCCCAGTGCCCCGACTTGTGCTGGGTAGCCCCCGGAGTGTTCATTGCTGCTAATCCTGCAGGTCACCTCTCTGTTCCCAAGTGGTGAGCTTGGGGCTCTCAATGCCAGTGCCAAACATACCAGGTTTTTGAAAATTACTTTAAAGTTGATCTGAGTGTAATTGGTCCAAATGGCCTGAAACTTTGACTGTAGAAAATGATGTCTGCTGCTTGCCGGCTAAAGGTGTAAAACGCAGGGAGGCCTTGTGCCTCTCCTGAACAGGAATGGCCTGGAGGGGTTGCTACAGGATTTTTGGCAACATCTATCCGTTCCTGGAGATTCTGCTCCTTCTCTAGGAGATACTGGGCACCCCAGCATGGGGCTTCCCCGATGGCTCAGTGGGTAAAGAATCTGCCTGCGGTGCAGGAGACTCTGAAGATGCAGGTTCAATCCCTTGGTCAGGAAGATTCCCCTGGAGGAGGGCATGACAACCCACTCCAGTATTCTTGCCTGAAGAATCACATGGAGAGGAGCTTGGTGGGCTATAGTCCATGGGGTCACAAAGAGTTGGACACAGTTGAGCAACTCAGCACAGCCTGGTCCATCTGGGGAACACTGGGCTGAATGTCCATCTCCCTCCAGAATTCTGTGTTATCCCCACCCGCTGGGCCAATGTCAGAGTCTCAGAGTATAAAAGTCCCATCTTCCTTGGTCGTTGGTTAAGACAGCTCAGTTATGGTCAGTTTCAGTAGTTGGTGGCTAATTTCAAAACAATTAAAATTTAAACAAAAACAGAAATTTTGGTTAAACTTTTTTTTAGCAAAATACTAAGCACTGTCACGAAAGTCACTAAACTGGAAATGAGGGAAAATGCAGGCATTGCAATGTAATAGCAGGTGTCTTAGGCCTAAGTTACAACAGGCACTTGGGCTGGGCCCATGTGGAGGTCATACAGCGGACAAGGGTCCCTCCCAGTTCTTTCATGGAGTATGAATTACTTCCAAGCAGTTTAAAAACAGTCATGGCAAAAGAAGCCTTTCCTGAATGGAGATAATTTCAGATGTTAACGCATATAATCCCAGTACATTGCAGCCTAAAATAGCCAGTGGGTTCCTCAGTGGCATCTGGTTTTCCTGATGGGCCTCTCTGATGTGCAGCCAGGCTGGGAGCCCCTCCTTGGTCCTGCCTCTCCCCTGAGCTGGGCGGGCTGGGCACACCCCTCTCCTGAGCAGCACTGTTTCCAGTTGCATGCATTAGGCTGTCAAGGGTAGGGTCCCCCAGAGAAAAAGGAAAGCAGAGGGAATTCTGCACAGCACACCCCCACGTGGGTCTGCCAACACAATGAATGGTTTGTGTTGCTCCTGAGAGCAAACGCGTTTTTTCCTCTGCTGGGTGTCCACTGAGATTCAGGGTCAGCTCTCCTTGCTTTCTGGCCCGCATGTCTTTGCTGAGTATAGATCAGTGACTGAGGTAGCAGCCCGTGAACCCTGTAGAAACTGAAGCATGCAGGCCAGCTGCACATGTAGGATTGCCCAGGTCTGGGATCAGATCTCAGAGAGTCTGCCCCCACCGTGCCGGGCAGAGCAGGGCTGGCCTGTGGAGATGAGAAGCGTCTGAGGCCCGAGGTGGTCAGCAAGCTGTGAGGAGCTGCTGCCAGGCGTGGTCCCTGTTCTAGAGCGAGCAGGTGAGCCATTGGGACCGTGGAGGGCGTGCGGTGGAACCTGCTCAGTGCTTGACCCATGCACTTCTCTTCCCTGTAGACAGAATGCCTCAACTACATCCGTGTGCTGCAGCCACTCGGCACCAGCGCCCTTTACGTGTGCGGGACCAACGCGTTCCAGCCAGCCTGTGACCACCTGGTGAGGCATGCGGGCACCCTGGTCAGTGGTTGAAGTGGAGTGGGGCTCGAAGCAGCACTGAGTGGTCTCTATTCTGCAATCGAGGAAGATTTTTCTCCTGCCACCCATGTGGGAATTGGGGCAGCTGTGGCTCTCCACAAGGCCTCCACCCCCTCAGCAGCCTCCTCTAAGCCTTCCTGACTATAAACCACCATTACTGAAGGCGTGGATGGGGCAGGACTCATGGGGCCGTTGGCCCGTAGTGTGGGGCTGGCTGTGGGGTGACCTTCTGGGGAGGCCAGTGTTGACGAGGAGAAGCACCATCATGCCCTGAACCAGCATCTTGCCTGTTTCTCATTGACGCATTTTGCATTTTGTGAGGAAGCATGTATGACAGGGGCCGTGGTCAGGTGGAACAGTCAGGACTTTTGCTCCTGTGTGCTAGGTTCATGTATATTATGGGCTGAATGTTTGTGTCTCCCCAAATCCAAATGTCGAAGCCCTAATCCTCTGAATGTGATGGTATTTGGAGATGCAGCCAGTGAGGAGGTAATTAAGGTTAAATCATGTCATGAGGATGGGGTCCTAATCCGATAGGATGATGGCCTTTGAAGAAGAGATAGAGGCACCAGAATCTCTCTCTTTCTCTCACCACATGAGGAACGGTGAGAAGGCAGCTGTCTGCAAGCCAGGAGGAGGTTCCTCACCAGGAACCCTCCTTGCCAACATCACCCTGATCTCAGACTTGCAGCCTGAGATCCATGAGGCATGAATGTGTGTGGTTGCAGCCCTACCCCTGGTCTGCGGTCTTCATGGCGGCCTGGGCTCAGTGGGACAGCACGTCTGCCACTCTGGTCTTGGGGTACTGCTATCCAGTGTTGGCTGTTGAGGTGCAAGTTGTTCCCTGATCCTCTTTTCTGGAATCTGCCCCTCCAGGGAGTGACAACATGAGGCCAGTGGGGTGAGCAGTTTTAGAAGCAGGACCCATCTCTCCCTCACCCATGTCATGTCCTTTCTTGCCTCTTCCTGAGTCTCGTCAGTCACCTTCTGCTGTGTTAGGGTCCTTGGGAGAGGGGCCCCCCCCTCCCGCTGCTCTCCCACCACTCCTGATCCGCTTGCTGACAATTAACGGGAAGGAGAGTGCAGACTGGGCAGCAGCGACTCACAAGAGACACTCTTTTTACTCAGATAATCTGATGAGTCATTTGAAACAACCACAGAGAGGGGAGAGGAGTGTTTTCAATGCACTTCAGATTCAAAAACGAAGCACATTTTCTAGTGTTTGTTCCTGATGTAGCGAGTACCTGTCAAGTGTAAAGTATGCTGGAGTAGAAAACTGTTTGCTAGAACCCTAAATTCATTGGTATTTAAAATATGTTTTCCGTTCTATTCCCCATTCTGTTGTTATAATTATTTTGTTACGTTAAATTCCTTGTCTTTTTTTTTTTGAAGATAAAAATTATTATTTCATTTTTTTTCCATTTATTTTATTAGTTGGAGGCTAATTACTTTACAATATTGTAGTGGTTTTTGCCATACATTGACATGAATCAGCCATGGATTTACATGTGTTCCCCATCCCGATCCCCCATGTTTTTCAAACTTGAGTCAGAGAGGAATGACAGGACAAAGTCTGGGCAAGGTAGGGACCTGCTTAGAAAACCTTGCGTTGGTACGCAGACCCCTGGGGAGGGGTCCACACGTGGCATGGGTCTGCCTCACTGCCTGTGTCCACAGACTCTGGCAACTAGGATTGGGATCTGGGGTGGAGGGGTGTTCCACAGTGTTGAGATCTTCACTCCTCAGAGACAAACTTGGTTTCTTTTTGCTTAAGTCTTACTAGTCAGAAACATTTTGCACATGAAGGATTTCATGGCTAAACTCTGCTAGTCAGATGCTCAAGTTAAGTGTTAGTTGCTCAGTCGTGCCCAACTCTTTGTGACCCCATGGACTGCAGCCTACCAGGCTCCTCTGTCCATGAGATTTTCCAGGCAAGGATACTGGAGTGGACAGATGCTCAAAGTATGGAATTTAAGCTTAAATTCCTTAAACGTGTTGGTTGTGGAGGTGGGGAAATCATGTATTTCACTTAAACCTAGACCTAGGGACTTCACTGCTGGTCCAGTGAATAAAAATTTAGCTTGCAATGCTGGACACTTGGGTTCAATCCCCAGTTGGTCCAGCATGCCTCAGAGCAACCAAGCCTGTGCTCCACAACTACTGAAACCCGTGTACTCTGGAGCCTGCATGCTGCTTTGTGAAGCAATGAAGATCCCTCGTGCTGCAGCTAAGACCCAACTCAGCCAAATAAATAATTAATAAACTTTAAAAAAACAACCTAGACATATTTTTCCCCAGTGTTTAAAATAAATATCAAGCCAACAGAAAAGTTGATCATGCATACAGTAGACTGTACAGTTGGGAGCATCCATGTACGTGCACGTGTGTGGACATGCTGAGCTGTGACCCGTGATCCCTGAGTGCTGTCACCCCAACATGATCTAACCTCCAGTCCCCATTCAGATTCCCCAGCCGTCCTGCTGAAATGCAGTCAGTGAATCACACTGAATGCACTGTCTCCCCCGTTCACAGCTCCTGACCTGGGAGGTGGCAAATCTGAATACTGCTTCCACCAGCCTGTTAGAAATGTAACTACAGTTTTTTCCATGCCCCCAGCCCTTTCTTCTCTGTGACTGTGATTGTTTCCCTGGCTCTGACAGACATCGAGGCCACTAATCCACCCATCACAGTTGGGATGTCCATCTTCTTAATCTCCAGGCTGTCAGGTGGAAAATGGAACCCTTCATTGCCGTGTGCTTCCTGGGTTGCCGGCAGTACACATACCCTTTCTGGTCAGCACTGCCGGATGGGTTTTTTGCTTCTCCAGCTTTGTATGTTTTGACCATTTTCCTCCTGAGATGCTTTCTTACTCATTTGTATAGACTTCTCACATATTCAGGGATGGACATGCCTTGTCTGTCATTTTGCTCTCGTGTCCCCCACTTTGTCACTGTTGATCTGTCTCCTTCTTTCAGTGGACAGACCCCGTCCAGTCCTCTGTATGCTGGACCTGTCTGTTTTTCCCTCTTCTTGGCTTTGAGCTCTCTCGCCAGGTGCAGAGAGATGGTCCCAAGACTGAAATGGTCACCCATACTTCATTAGTGCAGCACGCTTCCATCTTTAATACTCTGATCACCAATCCATCTGGAGTGTATCTCAGTGGGTGGGATGAGGTGGAGGTTCTGCTCCTATTTTCTGTTATCTGTTCATTGGATGGCCTGCTCCCCCACTGCTTTGAAGGCATCTTTACTGATATTAAAAGTCTGTGTGTGGCCTTCTGGTTCCTTCCAGAGCACATCCTGTGTTTGGTTTGCCCTGGCTGTTCTGTGACCCTAGAGACATCAGCATTGACCGTCTCGGTCTTACAGAGGAGTCAACTGAGGCTCCAGGAACTCGAGGGTGTCAGAGGGTGCCAGGGTGATAGAAGTTGCCAAGGTGCTGGCCTCCAGACCTGGGACCAGCTGGTGACAGCATACGTGCTATCCCCGACATCTCCCCAGAAGAGCAAGTCTGAAAATTAAATAATCCAACAAAGATGCATGATCAGGATGACTGCAGGATTTCAGACATTTTATAATACTCTTCCTTTCTGCTCAATTATAGAACTTAACATCCTTCAAATTTCTGGGGAAAAATGAAGATGGCAAAGGAAGGTGTCCCTTTGACCCAGCACAGAGCTACACATCTGTCATGGTCGGTGAGTCCTGCTCTTGGTGTCTGTTCCCAGCTTGGCCCCACTGGACCCAGGCAGCCCCGTTCCTCCTCCTCTGTAGTGATCCCCTCTGCTTAGTACCCATATTCACCATCCTCACAGAAGGTCCAGGAGTCTCTATAGAGCTCTTGGATTCGTTGTTCAGTAGGATAAATGGCCACCTCCGCAGTCTTTGAGTTAGCTTTGGGGACAAGATTATTTTGTATCTGTCGTCTGTGCAAATGACCTGGTTGAGTCGGTCAGGTTGAGGGAATGCTTTTGTTCAAGGGATGTTTGTGACTGAGCCGTGGCCTGCCTTGAAATGTTCTTGCACACCCACCCAAGGCAAGCAAGCCAGGAGCCCCGTGTGCACCCACTGTTGTATTTGTCATTTTCCTGCATGCATGTATTGTTCTTGGCCCCAGACAGTTTAGCATGGAGCAGAAAATCCCCCACGTCCAGAAATAAAACAGAAGACTCAGGAAACAGAAACACACACCCAGAAGCAGGATGGTGGTCTCTCTGTTTCCTGGGAGGGCTTGTGTCCAGTTGGGAGGAAAAGTGGTGCTGGGGCATCAGCGTGTCACCAAAACTAGTGTTAATCCCCTTTTCCTCTTTCCTCCTGCGTCACTGAAGATGGAGAGCTTTATTCCGGGACGTCGTATAACTTTTTGGGAAGTGAACCTATCATCTCCCGAAATTCCACCCACAGTCCTCTGAGGACAGAGTATGCGATTCCTTGGCTTAACGGTAAGAAGCGGGCCATGTGGTGGAAGGTGTAATTTGTGCTCGGGGTGGCTCCCTCTCCGCCAGAGCCCCCGCTCTAGTTCGCCCTCTGCCGGCTCCCAGCCTCATGGGAAGGTGTCCGTGGCTCACCTTCCTGTGTTGTGGGGTTCACGTCAGGCCCGGTGAGGTGGGGGTTCTTCTGGAACCACTCGGGGCTCCACCGCCAGCATTTGGGGGCTTGTTTTCTTCTCTGCTAAGTAAGCTGGTTGTGTGCTAAGTCACGTCTGACTCTTTTCAACCCTATGGACTGTAGCCCACCAGGCTCCTCTGTCCATGGGATTCTCCAGGCCAGAATATGAGAGTAGATTGCCATGCCCTCCTCCAGGAGATCTTCCCAACCCAAGAGATTGAACCTGTGTCTCTTATGTCTCCTGCATTGGCAGGCAGGTTCTTTACCACTAGTGCCACTTGTGAGCTGGTTTAACCTTGCCTTTACCCTCCTTGAAAGTAGATCTGAGAGGCTCAGATTGACAAACTCGGGCTCGTTAGATCAGCGTGTGACACTATACCGTTATCTCTGGAAGTCACATGTCCACATTGGATTCACAATCAGATGGCTCATGGCTACTAACAGGAGACTCATCTCCTGGGCACTGGCCAGCCTGCCAGAGCCTTGGGTCACCCGGATCTGGTGGTCAGGAGTTTGTCTCTTAGGGATGGGCTGTTTAAACCAGCGAATGCATATTCCCCAGTGAGTCTCTAGGGATGGTGGGGTCTGGCTCTCTGTTGCCTCCAGGCTGCCTGCCAGTTTAAAGGTCCAGCCCTCCGTTCTTGGGCTGGACTGGGAGGCTGTGTGTCAGAAGCCCCACCTCCAGCATCTCCTTAGCCCAAGGAGGACAAGCTGGGCCCCGTCATCATTCCTGGGCCCTGGAGTCTGTGTGGGGTGTGGCACAGGCACCCCCCCACGTCCTGACGGGGGTGCCCGGGCCCTCTGGGGCTAATCGGAGCGTCCGTCCCTGCAGAGCCCAGCTTCGTGTTTGCTGACGTGGTACGAGAGACCCCGGAGGGCGAGGACCTTGGGGGCGACAGGGTTTACTTCTTCTTCACGGAGGTGTCTGTGGAGTACGAGTTTGTCTTCAAGCTGATGATCCCCCGGATAGCGAGGGTCTGCAAGGTGAGCCCACCCCCGCCGTTCTCTTTGGTCCCTGCACTTGGGGAGAGTGCGTCACCTGGGCTCCACACTTCCTCTGAGGTGCCTGTCCCCTACCGCTTATTCTTGCACGTCACAGACAGCGGTGTGGATGGGCTGGCGGGCCCGGCCTTCATCCTTCCTGCAGGTCACCTTGGGGACCACAGGAGCACCGGCCCATGTGTGAGAGTGACCGGCTTTCTGTCCTCAGGGCTCTGTTCTTAACACATTCCTTAAACCTCTCCCAGTTTATGGGAAGTTCATTTTCCTATACTGTATTATTAACCAAAACCTGTCCCTGGTGGCTCAAAACAGTAAAGAATCCGCCTGCAATGCGGGAGACCCAGGTTCAATCCCTGGGTCGGGAAGATCCCCTGGAGAAGGGAATGGCAGCCACTCCAGTATTCTTGCCTGGAGAATTCCATGGACAGAGGAGCCTGGTGGGCTACAGTCCCTTGGGTCACAAAGAGTTGGATGTGACTGAGCGACTAACGCTTTCACTTTCACATTGTAATCAGGGGTTTTTCCATTCCAACATAAAGGTTGTGGGGGAGGCGTTATCACTGTGTCCAGAATGAGTACAGACGCTTCAGTTTCATGATCTTCTGTGTCCAGTTCTCAGAGTTTCAGTGCTTCTGTCCAGACCCAGTCATGTTAGGAGTGTTCCATGATTGTTGCTTAGTGCTCTGTTCACTAAAAAGTGCTTTGGGGAAACTGAAAGGTCCAGAGCATCTCGGCAGATAACTAAACAGCTGGAAGGAAGTAGAAATCTGATCTCCTTGAGAAATGCCTTTTAGGGGAGACCTCATCTACGCCACACTGGCCAGAGACAGACTAGGGAGCCTGTGTGTCCTCCGGCCCCTGGCTCTGCCGGTCACTCACAGATGGGTCTTGAGTCTGAAGGTGGATGTGAGCCAAAGGGCTAAAGCGGTGACTGCACAGGAGGACAATGGGGCATCTGCTTTGTGACGCCGATTGTTCTGTCTGCAGTTGGGTGACTGCTCATGGAGCTGTTGTTGTGGGTTGGGTTTTGTGCTTTAATCCATAACCTGAGCTGGCACAGAAGGGGTTGCTGGAGTCACTGGTGGTCTGCAGCTGGCTTTCCTTTTTGGCCTCAGCTTCCTTTCACTGAGGCAGAGCTGCTCGGGGCTGGAGTACATCCCTCATCACCGGCTCTTCTTTGTGGGGAGCCTCCCCTCCTCTCACTGCACACATCTTCGGGGTTCCAGCGGGACCAGGGCGGCCTGCCTTCCCCCCACCTCACCTGTCTTTGGGGTTCCAGGGGGACCAGGGCGGCCTGAGGACCTTACAGAAGAAGTGGACCTCCTTCCTGAAGGCCAGGCTCATCTGCTCCCGGCCGGACAGCAACCTCGTCTTCAATGTGCTGCGGGACGTCTTCGTCCTCAGGTCTCCGGACCTGAAGGAGCCCGTGTTCTACGGGGTCTTCACCCCGCAGCTGTGAGTGCTCCAGGCGGGCGGGGGTGGGGTGTTTGCAACGCAGGCTCCTTCCCCACCACCCCTCCGCACCCTGCCCCCCACCTCAGTGCAGTCACATCACCCCCTCCTCCCCAGGAACAACGTGGGGCTGTCGGCCGTGTGCGCCTACAACCTGTCCACGGCCGAGGCGGTCTTCTCCCGTGGGAAGTATATGCAGAGCGCCACGGTGGAACAGTCCCACACCAAGTGGGTGCGCTACAACGGGGCTGTGCCCACGCCGCGGCCTGGGGCGGTGAGTGGGTGCGGGCTTCCCCCTGGGAGTGGGAGTGCTGGGGGCACGCTGTCCGCTTCCTGGGTCCTTTCCCATCAGCGTGCTGTGTCACAGCCGTTGCTGTCAACTGCCTGAACGAGAAGGTGCTCTGGCTGGCACCAGATGTTTTGTGGGATTAACATTGCACAATAGAATTAGATCTGTTTCCTTTTCTGTGTCTTGCAGAGAAACATGATTTCTTGGCAGAGAGATGAGCGTTACTCTCCATTCGTTAATATGAGTCACATTTTTTATTTCCCTTAAAGTGGTAAATTTGATGTAGAAATCGGTATGGGTATCTAGGCTGTGGCAGCATCTATTTATGATGGATGAGCCGGTGAGCCGGGCTGTGTACATGGTCCATGGGTGGGACTGTGACCTGGGAGAGTGGCCTGAGGCTTAGAGCTCCCTCCCAGGACCGTCCCCTCTGTGGGTGCACCTTTGCTAACAGGTCAGCTCTGTTCCTGCATGTCATTAAGCAAAAGGCCTTTACCTGTGGGTGTGAATTTTGGTGTACACACATTAGGAGCTAGGACAGAAAAAAGAACCTTCATGCTCTCGAACTTTATGCTGTTTATATTTATAACTGGACTGTTTTTAGCCATTTTTCCAGGCTTCTCTTCTGGGAGAGCTAGCAAAAGAGAAATGTGTGGTTTTCAGTTCCAGACGTCTGACATGATTTTTTTCATTTATGAGTTGATGAAAATGACTTCATTGACTACATATAATGAGACACCATTGTGTCCTGTGGAAAAGAAGACAGTTGCATTTCCTACCTGCTTTATAACTGTGTCTTTAGATTCCTGGGAAAAGGTCAACTCAGTGTTTCCATCTTGGCAAGAAATCCATAGTGTACTCCCAAGTTCTACACATCGGGGAAGCCTCAACTCTTGTGTGAGCGCATGCTGCGTGCCCGAGTGCCCATGGTAATGGCTGATATGTTTCCTGCAGTGCATCAACCGGGAAGCACGGGCAGCCAACTTTTCTAGCTCCCTCAACCTGCCAGACAAGACCCTGCAGTTTGTCAAAGACCACCCTCTGATGGACGAGTCCGTGACCCCCATAGACAGCAGGCCCCGGCTGATCAAAGGCGACGTGAACTACACACAGATTGTGGTGGACAGGACCCGGGCCCTGGATGGAACCATCCACGATGTCATGTTTGTCAGCACAGGTGGGTTCCTGGGTAAGAACATGGGTAAGTCCAACCAGGGCTTCTTTGGTGGCTCAGTGGTAAAGAATCTGCCCGCCAATGCAAGAGACACCAGTTCAATGCCTGGGTCGGGAAGATCTCTTGGAGAAGGGAAGGGTGACCCACTGCAGTATTCTTGCCCGGAGAATCCCATGAACAGAGGAGCCTGGTGGGCTACAGTTTATAGGGTTGCAAAAAATCAGACACGACTTGAGCAACCAAACAACAATAAAGTCCAGCTAATCTCTGCCACACGGAGCCAGCGTCTCGCCCAGGTGCCCACGTGGTGGGAGGATTTGTTTGTGTGTGGGAGGATTTCTGAGAAGTCCCCACACCTGGGTGGCTTCAGATCTCTGTGACCATCAGAACACCTGGAGCACCAGTTAAAAATGCAGGTCCTAACCCGGATCTAGAAATTCAGGTCTGATGGGTCAGGGCTGGTGCAGAGGGAGGCCAGGTGGTGCCGTGAGGCGAGGTGAAAGCTGCAGACAGGCACGTCCTTCCTCCCTGAGTGAACAACTGGTCTCGAGACCTGTCCTGACCTGCCACGGGAGGCACACCTCTCCTGGTGGCCTGTAGACGCCAACACAAGCTTCCTGGAATCGAGGTGGTGATCAGGCAAAGGAGCAGCAGCAGCGGGCAGGCTCTGTGGTCAGTCCTGGGTGCTACCCAGCTGCTGGCTTCCCCTGCCTGGGGCTCCTGGTGGGCTGGCACCCCCAGAGGCCTGTGGTGCCTAAGAACCACGTCACATTTATTTGGATGACACAGTGTCGACCATTCTGATGAGGAGTATAGGGCTTAACAAAGAGCTTTTTATTTTTCAGAAAAAGATGGGGATGACCCATGCCAGCTGGGTGTCCAGTTGTTTATTTTGCCAATGACTCTTCCCTTTGTGGGTCTAATGCAAAAACGTCATCTGTTTCTAAGCCTCCTGTTGGGGGAAGGAGTGGGAGGCAAAAGGGTGACTGTTTGCTGCTGTGGCCAACAGTGCCAGCACTGTCCCCTCCTCCCGGGGACTGACCTGCAGCTTTGACCTTGCAGACCGGGGTGCCCTGCACAAAGCCATCAGCCTTGAGAATGACATCCACATCATTGAGGAGACTCAGCTCTTCCAGGACTTCGAGCCCATCCAGAGCCTGCTGCTGTCTTCCAAGAAGGTAAGTCCCCAGGGGGCTGGCAGGGCGGCCCCACATTTCAGTGACCACAGCCCCGGCTGGGCCAGGCAGGCCCTGTCATCCATCTAGCCCAAATGAACCTACCTTCAGGCTCTTACAGAAAGTTCTTCCATGAGCTGTGGGGTACAGGGAAGGCAAAGAAAGTGAAAATGTTAGTCACTCAGTCGTGTACAACTCTTTGCAATCCCATGGACTATAGCTCACCAGGCTCCTCTGTCCATGAGGATTCTCCAGGCAAGAATACTGGAGTGGGTTGCCATTCCCTTCTCCAGGGGATCTTCCCAACCCAAGGATTGAACCTGAGTCTCCCACATTGCAGGCAGATTCTTTACCATCTGAACCACTAGGGAAGGCAAACTGTGTCCTAAAAGTTGAAGAACCTCCCTGACTTGTTGGGACTTATGTGCAATGCTGTCAGGGGCTCCCTGGACCATGGAAACACATCCTCATGTGGGAACTTGGTGAGGTTGAGACCTCATCCTCGGGTGCCATCCATACAGCTCCCTCATTTGCACAGAAAACGGTCCTCTTAAGTGATGACATGCTGTATCTGTAAAGTCCCCTTAGACAGGGTGCTGTCTCCTCACTGGGGGCAGCATGGTTCTTCCATAAAGGGCTGAGAGTGAATGCTGGAGGCTCTGAAGGCTGTGCTGTTGTAGCTCGAGAGCAGCCATGGACAGTCCAGAAGCAAGTGAGTCCTGTTAGGCCCTAGCAAAGCCTTATTTATGGGCCCCAAGCTTTGCAGTTCACATTTTCTTTCTTTTCTATTTTTATATTCTTAATTATTTGGCTGCATCAGGCCTTAGTTGTGGCAGACAGGATCTTTGTTGTGCATAAAAAGATCTCTTATGCATGGTCTTTTATTACAGCACACGGACTCTAGTTGCAGCACACAGTCTTAGTAGTTGTGATGTGTGGGCTTAGTTGCCCCATGGCTTGTGGGACCTGAGTTCCCTGACCCGGGATCAAACCCACGTCCCCTGCACTGCCAGGAGGATTCTTAACCACTGGACCACAAGGAAGTCTCCAAAATTTTCATATGTCACAAAATGTTAGTCTTTTGATTCTTCTTCAACCATTTGAATTATGTCAAAATTGTTATTAGTGGGTGGGCTGCCTAGAAGCAGCAAGCAGGCTGGACTTGCCCTGCAGTCCACAGGCTGTCCTCAGCTGTACATCCCAAGTGGCCTTTGGAAAATGTGCCTCCTGGGTTACAGCTGGGGTGGAGAGTGGGGAGCAGAGCATGGGGCGGGCTTCACATGACCTTGTCCATATCCGGCTCCAGGTGCATGACTGTGAGCTTGGGCGGGCCAGTCCTGCCTCCATTTCCTCCTCTGTGCAGTGAAGTTTGGCGGCCCCTGGGAGGGTCCTGGCCCTGTGCTGTGACGCCCCCCATGCTGTGGCCCCTGGGCTGATAGACTCTGGTCAGCACCAGAAATTGGCCTCCTGGCCACACATCACATTCCCCTCTGCCGCAGTGCCCCCCATCACTCAGCCTCTCCCACCTGTACCCCGTTTGTAAAGCCTGGCTTAGGGGCACCAGGCTGGCCTGTCCCCACTTCATAAGGTGTCTCCCTGTTGTTGAGATTTTCCCTCTGGACCCACTGCCCTCCTGAGCTTTCCTCCCTTCATGCTGGAAAGAGATTGTTCCTCTGGCCTCCCAGAACATCCTCGCTGCCCTAGGTCCTGATGGGAGCTACACCTGGCTTGTAGGGCCCAGGCTCAGTCCTTCCTCAGCCCCGGGGCTGTGGGCAGCCAGGGTTGGGCCCCTGAGAAGCAGGTGAGAAAGAGAAGAAGGCAGTGTCTCAGCCAGGCTTGTATTTGCAAATACTGCAGTGGGCCTTCATCCTCTCCCCTTCATCAGGAGCTTGAGGACTTGCATCTGGTTTTCAGTCTCCTGTTGCAGGGTCCCCTCCCCTCTCAGCCCCTGCAGTCTGTGTCTTCTCCCTCCAGGTCTGAAAGGGAAGGAAGACAGAATAGCCTGGTGGAGTTAGGCTCACAGACTTAGATCTGTGCCTCTCGAGCAGGTGCTTTCGGCCACCCTTCGCCACGCCCTCCCGAACAGTTTGTTGAAATAAGGAAACCCAGGGGCCCTTCTGGCCACCGCCGTATTGCTCGGGAACTTCAGCCAAGTTGGGACAAGGATGCTTAAGGCCTCCAGATGGTCAAATACTCATCAGAACCAAGGCCGGGCCCCCAGTGTGGACACGTGGTGAGAACAGGGCTCAGCTCTGCTCCACGACGTCATTGCTGGACCCAGCTGGCCCTGCCATCCTGACCCAAGTCTTCCTGGGCACTGATCCCACGGGAGGGATGGAGGAGGGAGGAGAGAAGGGAGGGGGCAGGATCGCCCATTGGAAGGTCTCACAGGTCAGTCCTTTGCTCACTCCCTGCCATCAGGAAAGGTCAAGCGGCCAGGGAGGGAGCCTGGCGCCCCGGGGAGGGAATCGCCTTTCCCTACAGGAGCCACCACTGCGCTGGGGCCTGGCTCATTTGCCTAGAACAGGTGGAAATGCATTGTGCAATCATGGGGTCCCACACCTCCTGGGCTGGTGGGCTCAGGGTGGCTTTGGAATGCTGGCTATGCTGCCATGGCAGCAGGAAGCGGCTGTTTGGGGTAAAAAGACACCAGTTCCTCCCTCCCCGCTCCCCAGCGGCAGGCTCTTCTGGGTCAGTCATGCCTGGTCCTCACTGCAGAAAGCTAATGAGCAGGCACCACAGGGCTGGGGGAGCACAGAACGGCCGGCACACAGCCTCCACCAGGGAGCAGGGTTCCTTGTCACTACCTCCTGTCCCCTCACAGCAAGGGCATTGTGGTAAATGCACTTCATAAATTGTACCGTTTCAATTATTTTTGTGTGTACACCTTAGAAGCAGTAAATACATTCACACTGTGAAACCCTCCTCCCCATCCTTCCCCAGAACATCTTATCTTACACCACTAAAACCCCATGCCCGTTAACCACTGAGTCCCCCTTCCTCCCATTCCTCAGCCCCTAGCACCCACCCCTCTGCGTCCCACCTCTGTGTCTTTGGCTACTCTGAGAAGAACCTCATGTCATTGGAATCCGACAACATTCGTCCTTTTGAGACGAGCCTATTTCCCTTAGCATCATATCCTAAAGGTTCATCCGTGTTGTTGCAGCTGACAGGATCTCCTTCCTGTTTGGGGCTGAGTCGCATTCCATCCTGTGCATACCCCACATCTGCCTTATTCACCCCCTGGTAGACACTGGGGTTGTCTCTCCCCTGCTGCATGAACAGGCCTGCTCTCGTCTCTGGTGCATGCGTGGCAGGCGTGCTCTGGGTCCCGGGGCCGGGCTAAGTGTGGTTTTTCTGCGGACGTTCTGTAATGGTGAGATGCCACCTGTGCAGCAAAGGCAGGAGCCCCTCCAGCTCTGGCCGCGTCCACCCACGACCACCCACCCATGGACCCAGACATGGAGAGTCCAGTGCTGCAGCTGAGGGCACAGTCCCCCAGAGGGTGGGGGCCTGAGCGTGTGGACCCAGACATGGAGAGTCCAGTGCTGCAGCTGAGGGCAGTCCCCCAGAGGGTGGGGGCCTGAGCGTGTGGACCCAGACATGGAGAGTCCAGTGCTGCAGCTGAGGGCAGTCCCCCAGAGGGTGGGGGCCTGAGCGTGTGCATACTCGGCACATCTCGCAGGAGCCAGGTGGTACCTAGCCAGATTGTTTTCTCTCACTCAAGAGTTGAGGTGGAATAGTCCTGCTCCTTCCCCCGTGCTGCTATCGAACCTGAGCAGGTCTGCTGGCAACAGCACCCTAACTCCCTCCACACGCCCGATCCCCACGTTCCCGCAACCTGCTTTCTGACTGCAGGGCCACACGTGGCCTTGGCACCTCTCCTCAGTCCTCCCCGTCTGGATGGCTCCCCATCTGCCCTCGTCTTGGTGACCTTGACACTTTTGGAGAGTACTGGTCAACGTTTGGTGGAATGCCCTTGAGTTTTGGGCATACCTGGTGTTTCTTGTGTTTAGATAGGGGTTGAGCATTTTGGGGAGATGACCTCTGTCTCAGGAATGTGGAGTCAGTGTGACCTCTTGATTTTTTTTTTTTTTTTTGGCTGCGTCCAGTTTTACTTTTAGCACGTGGGATCTTCATTGCAGCATGCAGGATATAGTTCCCTGACCAAGGCTCAAACCTGGGAGCGTTGGGAGTATGTAGTCTTAGCCACTGGACCACCATATTATTCCCCACACTCTGTGGTCGGTGGGAGCAGCCCACCCCAGGGGGCCAGAAGCCAAGCCCCAGCTCCTGGAGGAGGGGTTGAAGAATTTGGGGGCCACATTCAGCCCCCACAGTGGCTGACACTTAGTTGTGGGCAACCGTGGGCTTCCCTGGTGGCTCAGATGGTAAAGAATCTGCCCTCAAAGCAGGAGACCTGGGTTTGATCCCTAGGTCAGGAAGACCCCCTGGAGAAGGGAATGGCAACCCATTCCAGTATCCTTGCCTGGAGGATTCCATGAACAGAGGAGCCTGGCGGGCTACAGTCCATGGGGTCGCAAAGAATCAGACGTGACTGAGCGACTAATGCTCTGAGGCTAAATAGACACGCAGTTCTGTCTTGCCCACTGACTTCCATGTCCACCCGTGGGCCTTGCCTGCTGCGGTCACTGCTATGAGGTCTCAGGCCACTTTACTGTTCCACATTCATTGGAGTGGGTCAGCTGCAGTCATGCGGGCTCAGCCCTGCCCTGTTGGGGAGCAAGGGCTGGAGGCTGAGTGGGCTGTAGGATGGGGGGATGGAGCCAGCCTGGGACAGGCTGCCCCCCTCCCCAACCCCGGCCACCTGCTCCGCTCTGCATGAGTGTCCGCACCCTCGCCAGGGCCCTTCTATAGGATCCTGCTGAAGTTGCCCACTGGGCCAGTCACCCCAGGAAACTTTTCCTCTCCTCCGAGTCACATGATCCCAACTGTGATCTGAGATGTTGTCCTGATTCCTTCTTACGAATACCAGGGTGCTCCTGGCCTCAGTGCCCAGGTCTCTGCCTACGTGGACAAGCCAGCACTGGGCCTGGCGCTCTGTCACTTGCCTTCACAGTGTGACGCCGTTGCAGGGGCGCTGCCCTCGCGGCTGTGCTCACACATGGTGGATCTGTGACCCCTGGGCCTTCGAGGCATCACAGGCCAGGGGATCTGGGGTCACACGGGGACTTTGCACTCCAGCCAGACAGGTTACTTGAAAACAGGTTTCCAAGGACAGAGGCTCTGTCTCATCTGAGTCTCAAATAGGAAGCGCTGTGTAAATTTGGCAATCTTTTGACATTAAACAAAGGCCTTTCTAGAATGTCAAGGTGAAAGTGACTCACTAGCAGAGTAGAGAGAAAACTCTGAGCTTCTGAATGGCCGGCCCTGAGTCTGCTGGTGGGCTTCCGGTGGACACTGAAGGGCAGCCTTCATTCTAGCTGAGCTCAATGAGAACAATCAGCCTGCCCCGATGGCCTTTGCACCCAGTTTTCCTTCTGTGCTGCGGGCTCTGGGGCCATCGGCCTGAGAGGGAGATGTCCCAGGCCCAGTGTTGTGGAGCATGGAGGAGCCTGTTCTGCTCTCTGCTACTTTCCCTGGTGGCTCAGATGGTAAAGAATCTGCCTACAGTGCAGGAGACCCACGTTCAGTGCCTGGGTTGGGAAGATCCCCTGGAGGAAGGTATGGCAACCTACTCCAGTGTTCTTGCCTGGAGAATCCCATTGAGAGAGGAGCCTGGCGAGCTACAGTCCATGGGGTCACAAAAGAGTCAGATATGACAGAGCGACTAACACTCACAGACACTCTGCGCGTGGCTCTCCATTTCCCTAGCTATGTTCATTTCTTGTAGATGCGAGAGCAGTGACTGCCTCCTCACTTGTCTTACCCTGTTTATTAAAACTCTGCTCTCCTCCAGCGTTCACTGCGGCCTCGCTGGATTCACACACTGTTGTCTATGTGCTGGTGTTCAGGTGTGGGAACACGAGATGGGTTTTGGAGCCTCTGAGCCTCACTCTGGCCTAGTGAGGCTGGGAGGGCAGCCGGGAGTGTCAGGCTAGCGCACCTTCCTGCGCAGAGTGGGCAGAGGAGGTGCAGAGAAGCACTGCTGACAAGTAGGATGAGGGTGGGCACTCAGAAGGGGAGGGAGGGGTTTGGAGCAAGGCCCAGTGTACTCTGAGTTAGTCTGTGGGCTGCCCCCAGCCCGCAAAACCACGCGCTGCCCATGATGTCACAATGCTGCTATGCAGATCTGTCTAGGATCTAACCTGGCCTCGTACCACTTCCTCCTCCAGAAGCTCGGGGAGATGCCTTGTCACCATTCCTCCCTGTGAGCTAGAGAGGCACCCAGCCCTTGAAGGCTGCCCCACCCCATGCCCACCGCTCTCGTCTGTTTCACACCCACAGGGTAGGAAGTTTGTCTATGCCGGCTCCAACTCGGGCGTGGTGCAGGCCCCTGTGGCCTTCTGCGGGAAGCATGGCACCTGCGAGGACTGCGTGCTTGCCCGGGACCCCTACTGCGCCTGGAGCCCGGCCATGGCCGCCTGTGTCACCCTGCACCAGACTGACGGCCCCAACAGGTAGCGTGCGCGGCATGCGGGCACCCTGCCCAGCCCTGTGGCCTGATGCATGTGCACCCTGTAACCCGTGGCCCATTATCTTGCAGGGGGATGATTCAGGAAATGAACGGGGACGCATCTACTTGCCCTGGTAAGTCGCCCGTCCCCGCCACCTCCCCTTTAGGGGCGGCCCGGTCTCCTAACCATTTCATGACGCTTTGGTGTTGTAGCATTTCGCACGTTTTGTTTTTCTTTCTCTACTCGGAACAGAGGTCGAGTATCTCGTGGCAGACCCCCGTGATGTTTCTCTGTCCCTTGTATCACAAAACAGGATGCTGAAGCCATGCAGAGTGTGTTTACTGGGAGGCACTCTCATCCCAAACCGTGAAGTCCACTCTTGACACGCCTCTCTCTTCCGCTTACCTTGGGGCTACACCTCTTGTGGGGCTTCCCCGGTGGCTCAGTGGATAAAGAATCCATCTGCGATACAGGAGATGCAGGAGACATGGGTTTGATCCCCGAGTTGGGAAGCTCTCCTGGAGGAGGGCATGGCAACCCACTCCAGTATTCTTGCCTGGAGAATCCCATGGACAGAGGATCCTGGCCGGGTACAGTCCATGGGGTCACAAAGAGTCGGGCACAGCTGAGCACACATGCATACACACCTCTTGTGAGCCGGAGGAAGCTGCTCAGGAGACATTAGTTCCCGTTCCCCTCAGGTCATCCCATCCCTGCCAGGAGGTCAGGCATGTCCCAGCTGAAGGCAGGTGTGCCCTGGGCTCCCATCCCTAACCTGACAGATGTCATCAGTTAAGACAGGTTTAGGAGGAGGGTGGCAAGGCCCGCCGAGCTGCTAGCAGAAGTCCGATGTGTTTGACTTGGCGCCGCCACCAGAAGGCACAGCTGGCTTCTGTGCAGCCTCCCTGGCCTGGGGAGTTCTCCCCGTCCCCCGGGCTGCCACTGGGAGCTCATTTTTGCTTTTTGGTCACGCATGTCTTTATCTCCTTAGCTGTTCTGGAAGATTCCATGTTGCTCCACTGGGTGAAATTCTTGTGTCCTCTTGTACGTGTTGACCTATTTTCGAGAGACGTGTTGAGCGGGGTTGTTGATGCTGTGCACATTTATTTTAATGTTCCAGATAAAATTAAAGAAAGTTACCTGCAGCATTTTTTCAAGCATGGCGGCACAGCAGAACTCAAATGTTCCCAAAAGTCCAACCTGGCCCGGGTGGTATGGAAGTTCCAGAACGGCGTGCTCAAGGCCGAAAGCCCCAAGTACAGCCTGGTAGGCAGAAAGAACCTGCTCATCTTCAACCTGTCAGAAGGAGACAGCGGGGTGTATCAGTGCCTGTCGGAGGAGAGGGTCAAGAACAAGACAATCTTGCAGGTGGTGGCCAAGCATGTTCTGGAGGTCAAGACAGTCCCACGAACCACAGTGGTCTCTACCTCGCCGGCCACTCGGACAGAAGGCAGTCGGATCACCCCCAGAGTATCAGTGGGGCCCACCCCAGTCTCCTTTCCCCAGACCCCAGCTGTGCGGGTCACCACGCCGGGTGCTGTCCCCCCACCGTCCAGCCCCGTGGCACCCACCAGTACATCCTGCGAACCAAAGATTGTCATCAACACGGTCCCGCAAGTCCACTCGGAGAAGACACTGTATCTCAAATCCAGTGACAACCGCCTCCTCATGTTTCTCTTCCTCTTCTTCTTCGCCCTCTTCCTCTGCCTCATCTCCTACAACTGCTATAAGGGCTACCTGCCCGGACAGTGCTTGAAATTCCGCTCGGCCATGCTCCTCGGGAAGAAGAAGCCCACGTCAGACTTCTCAGACTTTGAGCAGAGTGTGAAGGAGACGCTGGTGGAGCAGGGCAGCTTCTCCCAGCAGAATGGGGGACAGCCCAAGCCGGCCCTGGACACCGGCTACGAGACGGAGCAGGACACCATGGCCAGCCGGCTGCCCACGGACCGGGAGGACTCGCAGAAGATCGATGAGCTCCCGGGCAGGGACCGGCCGTTCGACGTCAAGTGCGAGCTGAAGTTCGCCGACTCGGACGCGGACGGGGACTGAGGCCCCGGCCGCCCACAGGTCCCTTGTGTTGCCAGCTCAGCGCCCCATCCAGTGCTGCATAGGTAGCCATTGTCAGCAAACCTCCGTCTTCTGTGTCTTTTCTCTTGGGTCGCGCTTGTGACTTGGTTTCTCTTTGTCCTTTTGGAAAACAGCGAGCATCGAGTCTGGCCTCCCTGGTCGGTGGGGCGTTTGGAGTCAGGCCCGCAGGCTCACCCGCAGCCGCTCTGCGGCGGAGAGATGGCCACACTGCCACTGGCCTGAGAAGAAGGTCTATGAACGTCCCCTCCTCGTAGCAGCCACTGAAAGATAATTTAATTCCAGATTGGAAATGACATTTTAGTTTATCAGATTGGTAACTTATCACCTGTTGTCCAGGTTGGCACAGACCTTTCCTTCCACGTCATTACTTTGTAGGATTTTGCTTTAATTATGTTGGCGTGTTGGGTCATTTTATTTTTTTAATTACTAAAGCAGATGTTTTAATATTTGGAAGGTGTACATCTTCTGAATTTTGTTGTATATTAGGATAAAGGTATGGCTTACGTTGCTTAAGATTCTCAGGGATAAACTTACTTTTGCTAAATGCATTCTTTTCCGCTTTTAGAAATGTAGACAAAATCATCTCTTGATCGCACTTCTTTTTTTAATTATTCTTAAAATTTTGTTCCTTGAGGGAAGCATCGTTTTCAGAGATTTTTCTTTCTGTACCTTTTTACTCTTGTCTTAACTCTTTCGAGGAAAAGGCTGTGGGGGACCATCCCACGACACTGGGCAGAGTTTGGAGGGAGGGACGGGCCCCAGCATGCTCTGGATGGAGCTGGGCTAGCCTAGAGCTGAGAGGACAAGCGTGTTACAATCTAATGCCCATGGCCACTGGTGAAAACCTCTTGTTCAGGCAGAATGTTCTCCAGGATGTCTTGGTCATCTGAACATCTCCTTTTCCATTTTGCTTCCATCTCATACTCTCCGCCCGCCCAGACTCTCTGTTTGGCCTAACTGAGCTGTCCACAACTGGAAAAGAGCTGGGTGGCCAGGGGGCAGCCAGGTCAGTGACCACAGCCCCCCAGCCCCCACATGCTGCTGCCGCAGATCTGCCAAGCCTGGCGCCATCTGTCAAGGTGCAAGTGGGCCGCACGATCCTACCATCACCGACGTCACACTCCACCTCCTGCTTTCCAGACGCCCACAAGAGGAGGCTTTCTTTCCGTGGCAAAGAGCAATAAACTCTGAGCGTGTGTGCCTGTGTGGCCGATGTCATCTTCCAGCATGATAGGATTTGACCGTTCTGGTGTAAACATTTGTGTTTTATAAGATTTACTTTGTTTTTATTTTTCTACTTTGAATTGTATACATTTGGAAAGTAACCGAATAAACAGAAGCTTATATCCTTGATGCGGGCATGTGGTTCTCTGCGGCTCCTCCGCCGCCTCCCCGCATGACCTGGGCCCCTTTTCTCTCCTCTGCTTCATTCTCCTTCCCCGGCATGCGGTGCGCTCCTGATGACTTCTCCTCAGAGCCCTCTCTTTTCTGTCCTCTGTCTCGCAGCCTCATCTCCTCTGCCCTTCCCTCCTCCGGGGTCCTCTTCCCTGTCCTGTCTGGGCCCCGACTCATCTTCCTCTCCCCGAAGCCCCTGGCCGGCCTCGGGCCCAGGGCCTGACAGCCGCCTGCAGGTCACCTTGCTGCCGCCCTTCCTCAGCGACCAGGCCCAGCACGTGCATGCCCTGGGAACCTTCCATCTCTTCTGCCAGGCCACAGGTGAGCAGGGCACCTGTCCAGGTGTGGGTGGGGGGGACTTCCTCCAGGAGCACTGCCTTCCTTACTGCATCCCTCCGGTAATCTCCAGCGACGCTTAACCGTGACCCCAGAGCTGTTCCTGTGGACAGTAGGGGTCAGCCAGTGTTTTCCATGAAGGACCAAACTCGGACTTTGCAAGCCATGGTTTCTGTTGCAGCTACTTGGCTCTTCTTTTGTAACCTGAAAGCTGCCAGTGGGTGGGTGTGGCCATGCACCCAAATTTATTTGCACACTCGAGCTGCAGCTTGCCAGTTACTGGTATATAAGGTTACTTCTGTGTTGGCTAACAATTTGGGTTTAATAGACGTGGCATCTGGAGATTTAAAAATGAACTTTAGAGCCTCCAGAATGGGAATTTGCTTTGAGATGTTTAAACGCAGAAAAGATGTCAAGTCTAGTGTGCCCTCAGCCATAGGCAGTGTTGGCTCAGTGCTGGACAACACTGAGATGGGGTGTCAGCCACGCCTCTGTGCTGAGCACGTCCCATGGGGGCTCTGGGCAGTGCTCGGCGGCCTGGTCTCCCTGCTGCCACCTTCTAACTCATTAGTAGCTGCAAACACACAGCATGCTCCAGGCCTGCTCAAGAATAAACTTAGGAGGAAAAGCAAATCTCTTTTTTTGTTTTCACTGTTTGGAGAATTTAAGCAAGCTGTGGGAAGTATTAAGCTGCTACCCACTTCCCTGTGGGTTGACTCACGAACCTTCAAGCGGCCATGTCCACTGTGACCCTGCACTTGTAGCCGCTGGTGGCTCCGTCTAGGCCCCAGGCATTGGACAGGGAAGTTGTCTGTGAAGGAGATGCTTGCAAACAGACCTGCTTGGGGTGGGTCCATGTGGCCCCAGGTCACCTGGGTGCTGCTCTTAGCCCTGACTCCTTGGGCAGGCGCTGGGGAAGTGCTTCAGCCCTCCCTGGCCCAGCCCGCAGTGGCAGCATCCTTCACAGCCACGCTGGGGAGCACTCAGCAGTGGGAAGGCGGAGACACTTGGTACTGGTGTCTCCAGGCTCCCTGCTGACAGACGCAGGCCTCAGGATCCCACAGATGGCCTGTGAGGGTCCACCGCTCGATGGAGCAGTTTCACTCCGTCTCCACTCGGGGACCTCCCCTTCCCGAGGGCGACCTGCTGGTGAGGGGCGGAGTGGACGAGAGCACCTCTCCTCTGCTGAGGCCGTGCTGGGGGCCTGTCCCCAGGCTTTTCCTGCCGCAGGTGGCTGGGTTGGGTACCCCCCATGATACATCCAGATCTAGGTGGGTGTTGCCCTTTTCTTCTAAATCTAGCCCATGAGCCCACACTGGGTCCCTGTGCAGTGCGGGTGTTCAAGTGCACAGTGTTTAAGAAGGCAGCAGCCCTGGACAGCTCCTCCCTCAAGTGGTGGCCGGCTCCGGAGCTCCATCAGCCGGTGCAGGCTGTGGCTCTGCACAGGTGTCAGCTCCTGCCTCCACCTGCGGGCACCTCCCTGTCCAGGCTGCTCCCACCTGGCCTTGGCCTGGGTGTCACTATGGAGCTGGGCTTACCAAACTGTCCCACAGTGGCTGGAGCGCTGGCCCAGCTAAGGCCAGGTCAGCTTCTCACAGTGGGGACAGCCTTACAGCTGAGTGACTCTGAGGGGCTTCTCTGCATCTCCAGATTATGCTGGTGGAATGTGTGTGTGCTTGGGTGTCTGTATGTTGATATGTGTACATCATAGGTACGTGTATGTGCTTTGTGTACTGACCTATCTCTGTGTGCACGTGTGTGCCTGTATGTCTGTGTGTTCTTGCATGAACATGTGTGCAGACACCCGTGTGTGCGAATGTGTTTCTCTTTGGTGCAGAACAGTCTGCACAACTGTGCCTTGTGGCCATGCTTCTATTCAAAGGCCTTGAGGCTTGAGTGTGGGGAGGATCAATTCTGGGTTTGGGGGGTGGTTCTCCTACCTGCTGGCTGTCTTCCATTTGAAAGTTAGGAGTTAGGAAAATACCGATAAATGGAGAAAAGGGGTTCTGAGCTGGAGAAATCATGAAAGCATGTAGTCGTGTTCTGCTTTTCTGAAAAAAATCCATGCTCTTATGGAAAATTAGAACAGATAAGCAAAGAGATATTCCACTATGTGCATGTGAGCACACTTTATTTTGCCTGTAAATACAGATTAAGATATGGGACATCTCAGAGGTGTGGCAAGTTCAGATTCAGACCCATTGCAATAAAGCAACTATTGTAATAAACTGAGTTGCATGAATTTTTTCCTTTCCCAGTACATTTAAAACTTACATATACACTATACTATAGTCTATTAAGAATGGAATAAGCATTATGTACCTTAATTTAAAAATGCTAATGGTCATCTGAGCCTTCAGCAAGCTGAGGCACTTACAACAAAGATCACCAGTCATAGTCACCATACAATTATTATATTAATGATAATGAAAAAGTTTAAAGTGCAGTGAGAATTACCAAAGTGTGATACACAGACAGGAAGTGAGCAAATGCTGTTGGAAAAAATGGCACCAATCAACTTGCTCAATGCAGGGTTGCCACACACCTTTGATTTGTAAAAAACATAATCTCTGCAAAGAGCAATATAGCGTAGCACAGTCAAACGAGGCAAGCCTGTGCAGATCACAGCGATTGGTGATGTGTCCGTATGCATGTCTGTGCAGATCATGTGGTTGCACATGCACGTATATACACACAGAAAGTTTTGCTGTTGTTTAGTCGCTCAGTTGTGTTTGACTCTTTGCCACCCTATGGACTGTAGCCCGCCAGGCTTCTCTGTCCATGAGATTCTCGTGGACTCTGGAGAGCTTTCCAGGTGGCTCAGTGGTAAAGAATCCACCTGCCAATGCAGGAGACAATGGGTTTGATCCCTGGGTCGGGAAGATCCCCTGGAGGAGGGCATGGCAACCCACTCCAGTATTCTTGCCTGGAGAATCCCATGGACAGAAGAACCTGGTGGGTTACAGTGCAAAGGGTCCTAAAGAGTCCCAAAGACACAACTGAGTGACTGAGCACACACACACACACGGACTCTGAGCCACGCGGGGGAATCCGGAGTGAGTGTCCTTGGTGCGTACTCCGAGCATCTGGGTGCTCAGAGACCAGAACAGCACCCCTATGGGGGCACCTGGCCGTCCAGTAGCTTGCAGGACTCGGTGTGAGTATGGGAGCTGAGCACAGGGAGGGGGATGCCTAGAGCTGCACGGGACATGGCCTGATGACTTGGGGTGGTCTCTTGCACCCCCCTCCAGCTGGGGGCTCTCAGGCCCTTCGCCTTTAGGATGGGTCGGCTTTCCTCAAGGGCTGTTGCTCAGAGGAATTCTGGTTTTGTCACACAGTGGAGTATACTGGAGAAGGAAATTGGAAACCCACTCCAGTATTCTTGCTGGGGAAACCCCATGGACAGAGGAGCCTGGCATGCTACAGTCCATGGGGTCACAGAGAGTTGGACACAACTGAGCAATTAAAACATAGTCAACTCTGCCTAGCGGTTTCCTTGGACAGGGTGGGGTCACGGTGGAGCCAACAGTCCCACAAACCTGAAGTGGGGGGTGGGGCCCGAGACTGCTGGCGGCCCCAGCCCACAGTGGCTGTGAGGGATGGGCCCAGCACCCCAAATTTCCGGGTAGCAGGCCCCTGGGAGACAGGGCAGGTGGGTTTGGCTTGCTGCCCTAGGTCCCCACTGACATAGTGTATTGGCCCTGCTGACTGGTTTTAACTTTTAACTTCCTTTCCCTCTCTCTTTAATCTCTTCTGCATTCAGAATGAGTTGGATAGTTTTTTAAAAAGAATAAATGGAACGTAAGTATTGTAACATTTTTCGTACTTGACACGGTTAGATCCCCATTTAGAGAACATTTAATGGTGCTTCATGCTATATTCATGGTAAAGGTGCATGCGGGAGTGGTTTTCATGTTGTTTGTGCCCCAATGACTGTGGGTCTAAGGAGAATTTGGCTCCTGAGAGGTCCTGGTCTGTATGGTTCAGGGTGACGAATTGTCCCCAGCTCAGGCCACCTGGGTTCTTTGTCTCGGCGTTGGTCAGGAGAACCTATCCGAGGCTCCTGTGACCCATGTTTGGGGCGCCCGTCCTGGGGACTCAATGCGTGTCATCAATGGGCAGGGCAAGGAGATGAGAACCGACCTCACTGACTGTTCTGAGAAGCCTTTGCATTTTTGACCAGTCATGGCTCATGAGTATCAGCTTTTAGAGTTGACCACCCTGAGTTGCCCACCAGCAGGGGAATGACTAAATGGGGCACGGTGTCATGAAGAGCCTTCAGTTAAAGCAAGGCAGGCACCCAGCAGGTGTCACAGATATGGGTGTGTGTACCTGTACATGTGGATCTGCATATATGTATAAGCATGCATATCTGAAAATTATAGAGTTATCTGTGGGCAGGGTACAAAATGTTCTGTATACAAAAATGTACCTTGTACAAATTATGGTTTCCCAGTTGGCTCAGTGGTTAAGAAACTGCCTGCCAATGCAGGAGATACAAGAGACGCAGGTTCAATCCCAGGGTCAGGAAGATCTCCTGGAGAAGGGCATGGCAACCCACTCCAGTCTTCTTGGCCTGGAGAATCCCCTGGACAGAGTAGCCTGGCGGGCTACAGTCCACGGGGTCGCAAAGTGTCAGACACGACGAGCACACATACAATAGTGATAGAACAAAACACCAACAATCCCACCCAGAAAACAAGTGAACAGACCCCACGGTCCCCATGGGACCAGTACGGCAGGGAACTGCCATGAGAATCGCTTCTGAACACCTTTCAGAGCTCCCTCCAGAGCCTGTGACTTCTGTCTTTCTTCCACATAGCACTCTGCTTTATTGTTGAAGCAATATTTGCTTCTTGTAGTGAATTTGAGATTTTAGGGAAGTATAAAGAACAGAATCAAATCACATCTTTGAGGATCCTGAACGTGGTGGGTCAAAGGTGAATAGGCCCCAGGGGGTCACACAGGGACCCGACTTGCTAGGAGTCCGTCAAAGGTAATTTTATCTAAACTAGACGTCTCTCCCCTTGTAAAAAGCCCAGCATGTGACAGAGAAACATCTCAGCCAGCCTCCTGCACCTGACTGTGTACACACGTCCCCACTCACAAGCACACCCAGATGCCTGCTGTTTCCGTGCAGGTTTTTTAATCCTTCGGCTCTATCATCGGCTGCTCGGTGAACTCCAGCCACAGATAGACGTAGTCCTGGTAACTCTGAGCATCCTGTGTGAAATGTTTCATTATGTCCTTCCCAGGCTGGTGGGCATCTCAGAGGGAATTGAGCTCTTGAAAGCTGATTCTCAGGCAGGACTGTGATCAGGCAGGGCTGCTCTGGTCTACGTCAGAGTGATCTGCCCGCCTGCTGCCCAGGGTGGTCCAGTCAACACAGAATAGCAGGCGTTTGTCAGGGAGCTAGGACCCCCTGGTCCACATGGTTGGGGTGCTCGGCTGGCACAGGCAGTGGGGGGAACGGCCCCAGCACGAACCCCTGCTCCGTTACTGGGAGCAGCAGAACAGAGGGTGTGGGTGTCCCCCAGAGCCCTCAGGGAGCAGGGCCTGCCTCCCCCTCCTACCCGGCTCTGAACCTCTCGGGTGCCTGGGGTAGGCGGCAGCTGCTGCCGTCTAATGCCTGGACTGTCCTGTGCTCCGTCGCAGCTCAGCTCAGCCACAGGGTCTGCACACACCCCAGGAAGGAGCCGAGGTGTTGCTGGGTGTTTCAGTCGTGACTTGTCCTGCCTTTGGCCCACATTAGAGTGGAAGCCGGTGTCTTATCAGATGCCGAGGAAATGCCCCAGCTTGTTTGTTCTTTAGTAGGGACGGGAGGTGGGTCTGACTCAGCACAGCCCTTGGGGCCCGGGGTGAAGCCTGAAACCCCGGACTCATCAGCCGCACATTGTGCAGGGGGATGGGGACCCCATCAAGGAGGTGCCGTGCTGAGTGAGGCTGATTCCAGCCTTGGGGCCAGAGCCCACTTTTGCCCCAGGCTCTCCACTGGTCCCCAAGGCCCACACCCCCCGGCCTCTCTGTAATGAGCATGGGATCTGGGGGTGCTGGTGCACGGAGCCCTGGGATGCTTCAGGAAGGGGGCTTCGGCCTGGGCCCTTTTCCGCCTCCAGTCCGTTGTCCTCTAAGTCCTTATTCTGTAAGACAGGCCGTCAGCCCTTCTCAGCACCCCGGTGCGCCTGGGGCTCCTGGCGGCAGTCCCTACCCTGGGCGTGGAGGCCCTGCCAGGCCCCAAGGGGCAGGCAGCTCTGACCTCCCGATGCCCCAAGGAGAGGGAGCAGGCTTGCAGGGGCAGAGCTTTAGGCCAAAGGTGGGGGCAGCAGGGCCAGTGGGCATATGAGTTTCCCAGGCCCAGACCCTCTGTGCGGAATAGACACCCTCTCCAGAGCACTTCACAGGGGTGCACAGCCCAGTAAGAAAGGAAGAGAAGGTTCACTCTGATGTCCCTGTGTGTGTGTCCTGGGGACACGGCCATGCAAGGGTGCTTTGAAAAAGGTGCCCGAGCAAGGTCAAGGGGCAGGGAGCCACGAAGCACAAGGTGGTGAAGTGTTTGTACCCCTTTGCTCCCAGAGGTCACTGGGGACCACAGTGGGGAACCACCTCCAGGGAAAGGTCAGAGTCTTAGGAGAAAGCTGTCCTGTCACTTTGGGACCAGCTGGGACGAGGCCCCTCATCTGGGAAGCCCCCACACCCTGCCTCCCATACCAGAGTAGTTCTCATGACCCCTAGTAGGGGTCCCAGGGGTGAAGATGGTCTGTGTATCCCCAGGTCCTGCAGACGTTCACTTCCTCTGGGAGAAGAACGGGCGCGAGCTGGAGGTGTGTGTGCCCACGCAGACCCATGCACTGCCCGACGGCAGGGCCCTCGTGCTCAGCTGGCTGCGAGACGCCCTCCGGGAGAGCGCCGAGTACCGCTGCTCTGCACTATCCTGGGCCGGGAACAAGACCTCCAGGGCGCGGGTCACCGTGACCAGGCTCGGTAAGTGAGCTTCACTGTTTACCCTTGTCCCTTGAGCAGCAAGCAGGCTTGCATGGGGACGTTTCAGTCTGGGGATTACCTAGCGGCTTTCACGAAGACAGAAAGTTACTTTTTCACTGTCTTATCTCCCAGCTGCATGCCTGTGTGTCCCTACCTGCATTCATGCATACATGCATACACCCATGAGCACACATGCTGACTGCCTATCCCATCCTCCCAATCCTCCCAATATTAGACTCTGTTACATTATTCGGTGGCTGACTCTGTAGGGCCAGGTAACAACGCTGTTGTGATTTCCCCTTCTGTACTTCTGTTTCCCACATAACCGACCACTGTGCCCACCCGTTTGCTTGGTTCATTGTTGTTTTTCTTATTCACTTGCTAAGTTGTATCTGGCTCTTTATGACCCCATGGACTGCAGCAGGCTAGGCTCCCTGCTCCTTCAGTATTTCCTGAAGTTTGCTCAGATTCATGTCCAGTGAGTCAGTGATTTAAACATCTCACCCTCTGCTGCCCCTTTCTCCTTTTGTCTTCAATCTTTTCCAGCATCAGGGTCTTTTCCAATGACTCAGCCCCACTCTCATCAGGTGGCCAAAGTACTGGAGCTTCAAACTCGGCATCAGTCCTTCCAATGAATATTCAGGACTGATTTCCTTTAGGATTGACTGGTTTGATCTCCTTTCTGTCCAAAGACTTTCACAAGTCTTCTCCAGCACCACAGTTCAAAAGCATCAATTCTTTGCTCAGCTTTATGGAGCAACTCTCACAGCCATATATGACTACTGGAAAAACCATAACTTTAAATATACAGACCTTTGCCAGCAAGGGATGGTTCTGCTTTATAATAGGGTATCTAGATTTGTCATAGCTTTTCTTCCAAGGAGCAAGTGTCTTTTAATTTCATGGCTGTGGTCATCATCCATTGGTTTTGGAGCCCAAGAAAATAAACCTGTCACTGCTTCTGCTTTTTCCTCATCTATTTGTCAGAAATGATGGGCCCAGATGCCATGATCTTAAGTTTTTTAAATACTGAGTTTTAAGCCAGCTTTGTAACTCTCCTCTCACCTTCAAGAGGCTCTTTGGTTCCTCTGCTTTCTGCCCTTAGGGTGGTATCGTATGCATATCTGAGGTAATTGAAATTTCTCCTGGCAGTCTTGATTCCGGCTAGTGATTCTTGCAGCCCAGCATTTCATGTGATGTACTCTGCAAAGTGAAGTTGCTCAGTTGTGCCCGACTCTTTGTGACCCCACGGACCGTAGCCTCCCAGGCTCCTCCTTCATGGGATTTTTCAGGCAAGAATACTGGAATGGGATGCCACTTCCTTCTTCAGGGGATATTCCCCACCCAGTGATCAAACTCAGGTCTCCTCCATTGCAGGCAGACTCTTTTACTGTCTGAGCCACCGGGGAATCCCAAATGAAAGTGAAAGTCGCTCAGTCCTGTCCAACTCTTTGGGACCCCATGGACCTTCAGGCCAGAATAGGGGAGTGGGTAGCTTTTCCCCTTCTCCAGAGGATCTTCCCAACCTGGGATCAACCCGGGGTCTCCTGCATTGCAGGCGGATTCTTTACCAACTGAGCTATCAGGGTTTTCTGCAAAGAAGTTAAATAAGCAAGGTGACAATACAGCCTTGACGAACTCCTTTCCCTGTTTTGAACCAGTCCATTGTTCTTGGTTGTTGTTTTGCTTGGTTCATACTTGTCATTACTGCCACCCAGACTCTGCAGTGAAATCCCTGATCCGCACAGACATACTGGGTCCTATTGTCAGCTCCCCAGACCCGCTGCACCAGGAGCCGTGTACCTCCTGGGGACCAGCCCTTCCTGCTGAGGCTGGAGATTCCGTTCCCCTGGTATTGGGTCTCATGACCTGTTTCTGGTGTTCCTTCGACTTTCTCCGTTTTTCTCTTAAGTGACTCTTTTGGCACACTCAGGGTGTCTGGTGAGGGGAGGGGGGAGAGCATTTTGAGAGCCTGTCTTTTCTCCATCTTCACACTTGAATCCAGCTGGGTGGACAATTCTGATGTGAAAATGATTCCCTAGTGTGTGATGCTGGCTCCGTCTTCTGCTGCTGAGGGTCCCCCTGTGACCCCATGTCTTTCTGAGCACTGTGTCAATCTGCGCCTGGCTAGACCCCTTACACACGGTAGCCTCTGCCCTTCACCTATCGGTATTCAGCACTTTTCTCATTTCCTGTCTCCATGAAACTGTTCTCCTAGATCCTGGGCTACTTGGCCTGGCCCTCTGTCCATCTTCTCTATCCTGTCACCTCTACTTGTTAGCTTTTCTCAACTTTCTCACCTGTTGGTGAATTTTTTTCTCACCTGTCACACCGTCACTACTCAAGAGGTTTTCATTCTGTTGTCATGACTTCATTCTCTTCTCGTCTCATCAATGTAGTATCTTCTCCCCTTTCTAAGGTTATTGAGAGGATTTTCCAGTTCTTTTCCCTCAGCTGCCCCTTTTTTGACGGTTCTGTTTCCCTCCCAAGTCTTGGGACCCTTGATGGTCAGTTATTTACCCAAGGTGTGGCCTTTGGATGGGCAGCATCTACCTGGGAGCTCCTTAGAAATGCAGAGCCGCTCCCAAGTCCGGGGGGCATCTCAAGTTCTCCAGGCAGTTCCTACGTGCATTAGGGAGTTGGTCTGCCCTGCACCCCTCCACTGCCACCATGGAGAGGCCTCAGCTAAGCCCACATGGCTCAGGTTGGGTTATCAGTGAGGACACCGGTTGGCAAGAAGCTGGAGCCTCATCACTTAGTCCATAAGCCCAGCATTTGGTCTGCCTTCAGTGCAGGCACTGCCCAGGCCCCCGGGCTCTCCAAGACCACCAGTCTTCAGGGGCAGACACAGGGCAGCATCCTGACTGTGGAGAGCAGTTAGGGCCTGGGGGCTGTGCACTCCTTCTGCACAGCCTGTAAGCGGCCTGCGAGCCTGCGCTGTCTCAGCCCCCAAGGTCCCAACCGCCTCCCCACTGCCGGCCTGGGACCCTGCATGCTTGCTTGGGTCTGCTGGTTCTACCAAAGCTGTTTCCACTGGTCCCTCTGCTTCTCAACTCCCAGGTTTTCAGTTTTCTCTCCTGTTCTCCATCCATTTTCAAGATAGAGTTTATATGTAAATGTGCATATTTTAAAAGGTCCTTTGTCCTTTGAGTGGGAATTACCAGGGAAGAGGAAATTACAGATACTCTCTCCCACCTATAACTTCCGTTCATTTCTATAAAATGCCCTTGGTCAAGATAAGAGGAATTATCTTGTGAGAGGCTGAGATGGTTAGATAGCATCACTGGCTCAATGGACATGAATTTGAGAAAACTCTGGGAGATAGTGGAGGACCGAGCAGCCTGGCATGCAAGTCCACGGGGTTGCGAAGAGTCAGACTGTGCAATTGAAAATAAGTGCCTTACAAATTGTGACCTTGTATCCGTAAGTCAAATGATCAAAACACACGCAAGGAGGTGCAGTGTGAGTGTGGCAGGTGATGTAACGGGACCGAATGGTTTCGCAGCCTTGGTGCCCAGTCTCCCTTGAGGGAGGTGGCAACAGCCCCTGCCCACCACGATGAGTGCAGTGCCCCGTGAGGTGTGGGGAATTGGCCCCTCTCCTGGCTGCACCGAAGGTGCCAGTGAGATGTGGGGGACAGGGCCAGTGTGGCCTTGGGGAGCAGCTGCCATAGGAGCTAGTGGGCCTGGGGATGGCAGACAGGGGACATGACTGGGGAGGTCCCCCCCCCCCAAGCCAGGAAGTGAAGGCCTGAGGAGTAAATACCTCACCCTAGCCCAGCAGAGAGGTTTCACTCAGCTCTCAGCCCGGCCTCTGTGGATGGAGGGGGCCCCCCACCCCGGGGGCCATGAAGGCCTGGAAACTGAGATCTGGAGCACCCCCTCTACCTTGCAGAGGCGACCCAGCAGGAGAGGTGGACCAGAGAGCTCGCCAGCTGGAGAGCCGTGGTTGGGGAGCACGACCGCATGATGCAGAACTGGAGGAAGGCGTGGGTATGTGGCCAGGCCCGAAAGAGGGCAGGGGTCTGGGATGACAGCTGTCCCTCTTGGGGACCCATCATGCCAGGGGGCCCCATGTGCTTTCGCCTGGCCCACCAAGCAGTTGTGCTTTCTGAAACCCACACCCCTTCTACCTGTTGCCCTCCAGCCTGTGGCGAGGGAAAGGGGGCTCTTACAGGAACCCAAAGTTAGGTGGGGCCAGCTGCTTCCAGCAAGCCCCCCACGGTCACCCTGACCCTTAGCCCAGAGCTTAGTAGGCCCAGGCTTCCCTCCTTCAGGACCCTGGACCCCCCGGGAGCACATGGGAAGCAGGTTCCAGGCTTTTCTGTTCTGCCAAGAACTGAAGTCCACGGTGTCTTTCAGGAAAGCTGTAACCAGGACGTGTTCTAGCCACAGGAAGCCGTGCTGACCAGGCTGGCCGTGCTGCCACCGCCACGCAGCCCCGGAGGCCTCAGGGCAGTGGGCTGTCTCCCTGTCCGCTGGACACGGCTCTTCAGGTTGCGCAGCAGAGAACATGGAGCCGAGGGGCCTGCGACAGTAGCCAGAACATGTTTTACTCAGGTACTTAGATGGGACAGAATGGCCTGTCTGGCAGGAGCAGGAAACTGAGGTTAACAGGCTAGACAGAACTCTGGTTAAGACAGTAGTGTGTGTGCCGGATCCTTTTCCACAAGCACTGCTGTTGCACTCCACAGGTCTGAGTTAATTTCGTGTCATGCAACGGGTCGTCCTTCACACAGCCGTGTTAGCTCTTGTGACTGCTGGTTTTACTGCTCTGGAGCCCCCTTCACACTCAGCTGCTCAACTCTAAGAGACAAGGCAGGAAGGACAAGGCTCCAGATGACCAGAATTTGCCTTTAACCTTCAGTGCTGAGGTCCAAACTCAGGCGCTAACTTGGATGGGAGACTTTGTGTTATTCCTCACTAATGTCAGAGCCTGTTTCCTAAAGGTCCAAGTGTGCACCTGTCCACTCACAGCCATGGCCCAGGTGTTGAGCCTGTCTGATGGAAAAACCAGCAGATCAGCATCTCCTGGGTCCCGGTCACTCTGCTCACGGCGGTACGGGCCTAGTGAGGCTACTCTGTCCATGTGCTATGGGGTCCCCAAGTTACTCACGCTGCACCTGGGGACTCTGCCATGTGTGTAAATGTGGTGGCCAAGGCTCTTCAGCCTGGAACTTTATAGGCACTGTTTGCAGAATGACTGCTTTTAGTGGAATGCTCATCTATCATAAAACCAAAATCTCTGTTAAATTAAGGGGTACTTCTCATGACCCTAGCAAATGGACATCATCTCAGCCTAATGACCACAGCCTGTTTCCAGACTCCCTTGTTCTGAAGCCGAGTGCCTCTGTTCAAGAGCAGCACACGTTTCCAGCCAGTCACCTCCAGGATCCACTGTGAACAAGGCTTCTGAGGATGGCTGGTTTCGGGGTCAAAGTCATCCCGGTTGCCACTGAGCTGCCGGTCCGCCTTGTCAACAAAGGCCGAGCTGGCTCACAGATCACCCATGATGCACTGTGACAAGACCTTTGGTGCAACATCCATCCACTCTCACTGTGGCTCTCTTGTATGGTGGTTGCTCTGCTCTATGGGCAGGGCCTTCTCCTTGGTGCTAGGATCGGAACAGACACTTGCAGTTACTGTAACATCAGCATGCAGGGTTCTGGTGGGAAAGGCAGTTATGAGGATCTGATTCTCTGAACTGTGGGAAAAAAAATAAAAGAGTTCCATTGAAACGTTTGCTCCATGAAGAATGTCTGTACTGGGGACGCCTGCCCGCTTCCCGCGGTGCCATCAGCATGGAGTAGGTCACTGTGTCACCTGCGGCAGTGGCCTCTGCCAGGAGGTGACACCATGCCCTGGCTGCCAGGGCAACCCAGTGTTAAGTCACACAAGAAGCGAACCCTCTCAGCAGCTGAATGTGATGTTAAAACCCACCTACTTTGTTCAGCTAATCTGACCACCACAGACCCAGGGGCCTTGGGGGCTCTAGACAACCTGCACCTCTAGCAGAGACTTTTTAATGTGGGTTTTTGTTTTTTTTTTTAATGTATCAGTTTTATAGTTCTAGACTGCTAAATACAGCTGACAAGTTAACTTTCTTCCTGTAAGTTCATTATGGAAACTTCACTCTCAAATAATCTATTTTCAAACCTACCACAGTTAATGGGGACGGTGGGGCAGGGACCCTCCCTGCTGCTGTTCCTTCTGGTGGCCCTGAGGGAGAAACCTGTGACCGGATGGAGGGCTTGCTGGACCAAATCGCATGTTCCTCACTGAAACAGCTCAGAAAGTGTATGGGAGAGCAGGGCACTCACTGGGAACAACAGATGAAAAGACAGACTAGTACTTTACACAGACAGCCTCCACCTCGCCGCCAGCCCTGGCCACAGCAGGCTCTTTCCAACTCACCGTGCTGTGCTCAAAATCATTCGGTCATGTCCGACTCTTTTTGACCCCACAGCCTGTAGCCCACCAGGCTCCTCTGTCCATGGGATTTTTCACATAAGAATACTAGAGTAGGGTGCCATTTCCTCCTGCTGGGGAACTTCCCAACCCAGGGACTGAGTCCGTATCTCCTGCATCTCTTGCATTACAAGTGGATTCTCTACCACTGAGCCATGCAGGAAGCCCTTCCAACTCATTACTTCAAGTTATTTTGCTTCCCACAGGCCACTCACTCACCAAAGTACATCTGCCATGACTGAACACATGAACAAGCACTTGCAAAGCCCACAAGATACCTTGCTTGCTTGACAAACACAAAGCAGTCAAAGTCTGGTCCTGCTATTTCTCATGTGACCAGCTCACCAGCAGGCTGGACCAACGTAGGTCCAGCAACAGGATCTCTAAGGGCTGGAGATTTCAGTCACTACCTTCGAGATCCAAGAGATATGAGCGCAGCAAACCTCTTCCTGCTCGGTCCCCTTCAGCTCAAAGAAGAGTGCCCCCAAAATACAGATCAGGATGTAGGAAGTGCTGATTAGACCAAGGTGACCAGAGTCTCCAGTGAAATTAAATAATCACTCTTTATTCAAAATAAATAAGCCCTCTTACTTACAGGAAAATACGAAAGTAAACTTCTATCCTTCTGGCCTCTAAGAAACCACATTCGCAATATGTTCATTTACAAAAGAAAGAAAATATTCTTAAATTATCAAAACTGAGATTTAGGAACTTCAAAATCGTTTCTTTGAAAAATAAACAAAAAGGAATATTCATGTCAAAAGGTCACAGGTTAGAGAACTGATTTTCCTTCTGAGGCTCATTTTAGCAGACCCTCCAAGTATCCCCAAATCTTCTGGCTAAAAAGCCATATCCTGAGAAAGGTATTCCCCGTACCCCATCCCCACGGCTTCTGCAGGGCTGTGCGGGTCACCGGGGCTGGGAACACGGGGTGAACTACCCCGACTTCCGAGCCACATCGCCTCAGCCCGCCGCTGCTTTCCACAAACTAACTTGGCTCAGCTGTCCTGCCATGGAGAGATGTCCGACAGCAGCAGAGTACTCTGAGTACCATCTTGTCCAGCATCTTCCAGACTCATACAGTGCTCAGAGAGCCGAGGCTCCATCCCAAGGCTTTGTGAGAGGGTCTCCGCCAGCTTACCGAGTGCCCCTCTGCAGGACTCGCAGCTCTTGGACAGCTACAAACACTGCTGGTTACTTCCCCAGTTGAACAGCCATACACAACACAAGTAGGTGAACGAAAAAATGAGAAGAAAAAGGCCCCAAAGTCTTTCAACCCCCCCACCCCCACCTCAAATACACAAACACGCAGGAACGAACTCTTCTTATAAATTCAAGTTCATCATCTGAGAGGTTGAAGCCTCCAGCGATTCCTCCAGCTCCAGGGCACACTGGCTGTACGCTTCCAGATGGCTTCTCCAGACTTCAACTGGAAACAAGAAAGCACACCACTAACAGACAGGCAGTGTCAGCCAGGCAAAGTGTCAGTCGCTCAGCTGTGTCTGACTCTTTTCGATCCCATGGACTGTAGCCCACCAGGCTCTGCCCATGGGATTCTCCAGGCAAGAATACTGGAGTGGGTTGCCATTTCCTTCTGGGTTGGGAATCTTCCCAACCCAGGATCAAACCCAGGTCTCCTGCATTGCAGGCGGATTGTTTAGTATCTGAGCCACCACAGTCAGGGAAGTCTCTTGGAAAACAAGCAGCACACGGCCTGCCCAGCAACCTGGCTCCCTGAACGGGGCCTGGAAAGGACTCAAGCAAAAACCCCCAAATGCAACCTCCCCTCATGAACAGGATCACACAGGTCGGTGCATGCCAGCCTTGACAACCACCCGCAAGGGATACAGCTGTCCTCACGGCTGCCCTCTGGGTGCCATGTGACCCAAGGAAGGTCTGTCTGAGACACCCATTGACCAGCCCTCCCCTCCCACATCTGAGACCACCTCTCAAACATGGGCTGGGGCTTAACAGGGCCTTCTGCAGCTCGTTTGGCCACAGTGGCCATGCCGCTCTCCTGGGCGCCCTGTTCAATCAGCATCAATGAAGACCTAGAAGACGATGGGCCCCAACCCCACTGCCCCCAGCACTCACTGTAGTGTGGCTCCTCTTTTCCAGTGGGGGCCAGGGGGCTGTCCTCCGCAGGGCAGCTGGGGCCCTGACTGGGTGGGCTGGTGGGGGTGCAGGGGCCGAGCTCACCCAGCGGCTCCTGGCGTGCACTCTCCAGCATAGTCCTGTAGGCCTGCCGGGCCGCCATCGTCAGCTCCACCATCCTGTGGAACTGGTCCTTGAGCAGAAACCAGAGTACAAATGAGGTCCCCTGCAAGCTGGTGAAGGCACCCTCTACAAGGAAATGGGGGGTGCCCGCCTGTGTACCAGGGGTGTTGCCCTCAGGCCTTCCTGAGACTCCTCTGTAGCACCAGTGAGCCCAGAGCTAAATTGGAATCACACTTCTGGGTTTTTAAGGAAACCAGGCCCCCAAGGCTACTGCTTTCAAGACTGGGGCCCCTGGGGCTCAGGGCTACTCTGCCAGTGAAGCACAGACAACCACCGTCCCCCCTGACTCCCTCCCAGAGCAGACAGGCCAGCACCCCCCCCACCCCGCCTCACCTGGGCCCCGTCGTAGCTGAAGATGCCCACCACGCTGACGGGAACAGCCTTGTTCAGGCTGCGCCCCAGAGCTTTGCGGTTGAGAGCAAACACAAAGGGGATGTTCTGGTCACAGGCGTAGTCAATGATGGTGCGCAGGGTGTCGTCTAGCCCACCTGCTTGGAGGACAAGGAGAATGACAGGGGAGGGCACCCCAGGAGCGCACTGGCGACACTGGCTGCCAAGAGCTTTTCCCAATGGACGATGACACTCCCGGCTACTTCCTTACCCGAGCCAGCGTCCCAGGCTGGGTTTCACTGGGAAAGCCAGTCACTGCAGTGGAAGTACACTGTTACCCTCGGCCACACGGAAGAAATCAACTGTTCTAGAGACACGTCTAAAGCAATAAATCACTATAAAATACGTCCACATCAAGTCAGCAGCTGGAGCTGTATCAAACAGGACAAGGAAGCCCTAGCCATGTTCACTGAATACTGTGTGCCAGTCTGGGTCTAATGGCCTCGGGTGGATTGGCTCCTTTATCCTTACAAAACCCTGAGAAGGGAGGTGGTACCCACTCAAAAAGATGGAAACCCGGAGCCCAGGGAGGTCACGGAGTGATCCTACCCTGCCTCCCAGTGAGACACCAGCCTGGTAAGAGGAGGGTGGGAGGGTAGGGGTGGCACCACAAGCAGAGAGGGTGAAGAAGCTGTGTGTGTGAGTGATGCTCACGCAGTCAGAAACCCAGCAACACTGACAAGCTGCTACCGACAAGAGAATCGCATCCGGTCAGCTGTGCGTGAGTAACATAGAAACCACCCATACACGTGCAAACACCAGCCAGATAGAACGCAGAACGGGAGAGGTGATTCCACGTGCAAGTGCAACTGAAGGCTACAACAGGTGAGGATAAATGTAGCAAGAAACATGAGCAATTTACAAGGCAGCCTCAACATGCTAGTGAAACACAAAAGAAAATCTAAGCCAAAGGCATCTATGCTCTTGAATGGAATGAACCAATATGATCATATGTCAATGCTATGTTAACCTAAAACTTCTTATACTGTAACTTACTCTAAGTGGGGCTTTTTTTGAGAAATACAAAATACACAAAATGAGAATGGCCTTTTGAAAAAGGAAATGAATGTCAGGCTAGCATTTGCAGATATTAAAGCTTGCTACAGAACTGTAAGAACGAAAATTATGGGATACAGAGTGACAGAATGAAGGCCCAGAAATCACCCGAATGTGTGGCACTTAAGCAGGTTGGCAAGAGCCCCCTGAAGCACAGAAGGTGCAAACAGACAGCGGGGTCAGCCTCTGCTAAAGTCCATTTCAGACTGAAATGCATTCTACCTAAATAAATAAAAATGAAAACATGGAACAAGGAAAAAAACTGAATTAAAAAAAAAATTAATAACCCTGGAGTAAAAGGTTGAAGAATAACATAAAACCTAGATGTAATAAAAACAAGAAGAAAAAATATCCACATACACACCCAATCTCTGAGACTTAAAGAAAAACAGGCACATGACAAACTGGAATAACATTCACAATTCTTAACCAAAGTGGCTATTATTATTTAAAAAAAAAAAAAAGTATATGTGAATATAGAAGACTGACATCCTGAAAGACAAATGGGCAAATAATCAACAATTCGCAGAAAATGCCAAGCCCTTAAACAAGTGGAAAGATGCTCAGCCTCGCCTCACAGAGAACGCTAACAGAATCACCTGAAGACCGGGGGAGGCCGGGAGGAAGCAGCATGCCCACCTGTGGGGGCTGCAGTGTCCCCTAGAGGCAGTGTGGCCCTACCCCAGTTCCTCTGCAAACTGACCACTTCCTGAGGGAACACACAGCATCTACAGGAGAAAGGAAAAATCTCCTAAGATCTCTTATCAGCTGGTACCTAATTACATATGATTACCTAATTTTCTTTCCAAAGAACAACTTCTCAAATGCACACCCAACCTCGGATATGCAGATGTTATCACTCTAATGGCAGAAAGCGAACAGGAACTAAAGAGCCTCTTGATGAGGGTGAAAAGAGAGTAGAACAGCTGGCTTAAAATTCAACATTCAGAAAACTAAGATCATGGCATCCGGTCCCATCGCTTCATGGCAAATAGATAGGGGGAAAAAGTGGAAACAGTGGCAGATTTTTATTTTCTTGGGCTCCAAAATCACCCTGGATGGTGACTGCAGCCACGAAATTAAAAAACGCTTACTCCTTGGAAGAAAAGCTATGACAAACCTAAACAGTGTATTAAGAAGCAGAAACATCACTCTGCCTACAAAGGTCCATAGAGTCAAAGCTATGACATGGCTTTTCCAGTAGTCATGTATGGATGTGAGAGTTGAACTATACAGAAAGTTAGACCATAAGGAAGGCTGAGTACTGAAGAATTGATGCTTTCGAACTATGGTGCTGGAGAAGATTCTTGAGAGTCCCTTGAGAACAAGGAGGTCAAACCAGTCAACTCTAAAGGAAATCAACCCTGAATATTCATTGGAAGGACTGATGCTGAAGCCGGAAGCTCCAATCCTCTGGCCACCTGATTATGACGAGCTGACTCATTGGAAAAGACCATTATGCTGGGAAAGACTGAGGGCAGGAGGGGAAGGGGGCAACAGAGGATGAGACAGTTGGATGGCATCACTGACTCAATGGACACGAGTTTGAGCAAACTCTGGGAGATAGTGAAGGACCAGGAAGCCTGGCGTGCTACAGTCCATGGGGTCACAAAGAGCTGGACATGACTTAATGACTGAACAACAACTGCTTTTGAGGGAACTGGGAATTCATTCCACAGCTGATTTAATAGGGAATTAATGGTTAAGCCCCACATCATTTTAATCTGTCCATCCCCTCCCCAGATCTACCCACAGAGATCAAACGTGATAAGGAAGCAACTTCTGGGGATATGAACTTTAAAGACAATTCACTCCTAGGCAGGTGGGGGAAAGGGGGAGGCAGGACAGGTGATATCTGCGTTACTTACAGCGAGATGTTTCCAACGGGAGACTGACAACTCTCCTAAACGTCAGCTCCGTGGTCTCTCACTCAGGGTGACTCAGCTTCGTGTCCACCCCAGCTCAGGAACTGATCACAGAGGGTATTTGAGCAGTGTGCAGAAAAGAGTTATAACAGGACTGGCCAGATGGCTGCTCTCCTCAAAAAGGCCAGCTTACTTACTTGGCTGACCTTTGGCTGGTGCCTGAACTTGGGCTTTGGGGGTGCCCCTGTGACCCCATCTGGTAAGAGTGACTCCTGTTCCCAAAATGCATATGCAGATTACACTCAACACTGGCTTTCCTTCTGCAAGTCTGGAATGTGGGGACTTGCCTGGCAGAGGGTGTCCTTGTGATCAGCCCCAATAAAAATCCTGAGTGCTCATCTCTACTGAGCTTCCCTGGTAGATGACACTACACTTTACACGTGTCACTGCATCTCGTTTTGGTGAATTCAGCCTGTCCTGTCTGACTCCCCCCCGGAGAGGATGCTGCAGGCGTGCACCGCTTTCCCTGACGCAGCAGCCAAGTCTCAATGATTTTGCTCAGCTCTGTTCCCAGCCAACATCACTTGTGAGAGCTGAAAAATATCTCCAAGTGCCAGCTTCTCAAAGTTTCACAGCGAGACCAAACAAGTAAATGCTATATCCAGTCAACAATTCCCATTTAAAGTTTAAGTTCAGAATTATTAGGCAAAATGCCACTCTGAGCAAATAATAGTATTTCAACATAATCCCAGGCCATAATACTCAATTTTACCTTTAAAATGACTACAATCTATTGGCTGTCTTTACCAAGGAAGAAACATTCCTAGAATATGTAATCAAGTTCCTTCTGCCTCAAGGCAAAAAACAAACAAAAAAGGCAGGAACAAATAAGTAAACAACGGATTTTAAATGCATTAACAAATCCTTAAGATGCCCTCTCAGCTCCATTCCCTGGCACAATCATAGGAGTGGGGGCTTAGAGAAAGAGCAAGGCAGACCACCAACTGAATATACATATTCCCAGTTTTTGGTTTGCCTTTTAAAGACAAAAATTCACAGGACACTCTGAGACAAGTAAAAAATTTTGGAAGCTGAAACACCAACAGGTGAGTCAGCTGCCCTAAGCCACCAGCGGGAAACGCCCTGAAGCACCAGTGGGAACACATCTATACCCTAGAATTCATCCCCCAGAGCTTGGCAACTAACGGGCAGCGCCGGGCATTTGAGAGGCAGTGTGGAGTTCAGACGAGGCGACAGCAAGCTGGTGTCCGGACCTGCTTCACTCAACCAACACCCGGTGCTGGGCCTGTGGTGCAGCAGGGCAGTGGGTCTGCAGGACACAGGGCCCATGAATGTCAGGATAAGGTCATGGTCATAGGGTAGAGGTCAAGGCCTCCACCCTTCACTCCAGACTCCCCGCAGAAAGTAAGAGTTCTTCCCCCGGAAACGTGGCATCAGAAATGCACCCCGCATGGTGCTTTCCAACAGAGCAGCAGCTCAGTTGCCATCCCACAGCAGAGGTTCTAGCCTGGGGTCCTTGAAGTGGCAGCAGCAACTAAGAACTTACTAGAAATACAAATTCGGGGGTTCGCTGGACCTGCTCAGGGAGAAACTCTGAAATCGGTATTTTCATCAGCTTCCCACGTGACTCTCATGCTCACTGCAGTTGGAGAACCACTGCTCTCAAATGCAGCTCAAAGCCTTTAAGTGCTAGCCTCACCCCCAGAATTCTAGTCAGCTTTGCTGTTGCTTGGTCACTTGTTGAGTCCAACTCTCTGTGACCCACTGGACTGTAGCCCGCCGGGCTCCTCTGTCCATGGGATTCCCCAGGCAAGAATACTAGAGTGGGTTGCCACTTCCTACTCCCGGGGATCTTCCTGACCCAGGGATCGAACCCAAGTCTTCAGCACTGGTAGGGGGATTCACTCAGCCACCAGTGAAGTCGCTGGTCAGCTTTAGCCGCTGCTAAAGACAGACAGGCAAGCAGACCTGGGCATCTGCAGAAGCCTCCACCACGAGCCCAAAGAGCAAACCACCTGGGCAGGGAGGCTGTGCAGGGAGAAAGGACCCTCACATCACTATGGTTCTCAGGGAGGAGACGTATCCACGAAGCAACCGCTACAAACACAGGAACTTTGGAGAACAAAAAAAATAGCTCCCAGAAATAAAAAATAACAGCAGAAATGAAATATTAAGAAGCATAACTGAAGAATCCTTACAGAAAACGGAACCGAAGAGCTGAAAAGAAGAAAACTAACAGGTGGATGACGGTGCAGGAGACCCAGCATCCGAGCAACACGGTTCTAGGGGAAGTTGAGAGAGGACCAACAGGAGGGAGATTCAGAGCACAAACCCAGCAGCATGTCCCAGAACTGAGCACACTGCCTGTAAGCCGTCCCACCTCCCAGAACCCTGGGCACAGGGAAGTTCCCACAAGCTTCCAGAGAGAAGGGAGAAGAGAAAGGTCAGAAATTGGAAAGACTGGATCTCAAGCACCATCTCCTAGATGTCCCGTGGTTTTTTCTCATAAGCCACTGACGGGGGGATGCACACGCCCCAAGACAAGGAGTATGTGAGAGCCAACGACCACCAAAGCCCACCAGAAGACACATCCCCAGGATGACAGCTGCATGGGAGGCACAGAGCTAGAATGGCCCCAGAGGAGGAGCTGCAGAACGTCTGAAGCAACCACTACTTTAAGAGGGGGTTCAGGCAGCTGGCTGAGAGCCTGAGGGGTGATTTGTATAAAGCCCAGCATCTGCCATGGGATTGTGGCCGGAACACTGCCAGCGCACAACCGAAGGGACAAACCTGAGAGCCCTTTCTGATAGCAGGGACTGGATCTGCCCCCAGCTAGGACGGGGATGAGTCCACGGGGTTGGCCATGAGCAGGTCCAGCTGCTGCCCAAGGGCCCCTGGATGCTGCAGACAAGTCAGGAAACCTCCAGTGTTCAGACTGCAAACAGCAACCGGAAAGATTCAGCATGGGGATCTGGACCAGTTCCCCGAAAGCGCTGTTGCAGCCAAGTGGAACTCTACACCGTGGGAGAGAACAACAGGACCGGAGGAGGAGTCTGAATGTCAAGATGAGACGGAGGACTGGCATCTGAGTGACGGGATCCTGCTCCTAACAGCCCCTCTATTGCGCAGCCCAACGAGGACTTGTGCTCTGTGGCCCACAGAGTGGGTCAGCTGAAAGTCAGGGAAACGTCAGACATCTGTCTGGTGGTCACCTTACCCAGCACATCACACGCCGAAAAGAGAGAACCAACCTTCCAGCATCAGTAAGATGGCCCAGGGCTTGGAGAAACCCACACCTTTAGTAAGTGGACAGGCGAGTCAGTCACACAGAGGAAAAGCCCAATGCAGGGACTGCCTAGCTGCCGGTCACGAAATCTGTGGTATGAGGGACCACCCCCCAAAGCTCCAGAGGAAAGCGGCTCTGCACCCCGCCTGCTACACGAGGGTGACACACCCCCTCTGGTCCGCGTGGGCCAGCCTGAACCATGTCGTGAAGACAGCAGGGGCCCAGCTGCTCAGAGTGATCACCTGGTGATCCAACAAACTTTGAAAACAAATATGTAAAACAGACAGCCAGTGGGGATTTGTTGTATGATGCAGGGAGCTCAACCTGGTGCTCTGTGACAGCCCAGAGTGGTGGGATGGGGTGGGGTGGGAGGTGGGAGGGAGGGGACATACGTATACCTATGGCTGACTCATGTTGATGTGTGACACAAAACTGTAAAGCAATTATCCTCCAATTAAAAATTAAAAAAAAAAAACTCAACTAAAAGAAAATGAAACAAACTGCACTTCCAAGGTCCCCAACCCCAAGTGGCTGACGTGGGTGTGGTGGCCAGAGGGCGTGCACTGCAGGAGCCACACAGCAGCGACCACACGGCACCCTTACCTTTCGACTGTATCTTCTCACAGTTTGGAGAGATGATGATGCATTTCAACTTTCTGAGCTTCAGATGTTTGAGGACTTCCCTCAGCCCCAATACAAGTCGGCGTTTGGCCTTAGCCTTGACTGGATCTTTCTGGTACATACGATCTTGGAAACGAACCAGCTCTTTCAGCAGGTCCGTAACACAGGCGTCAACTTCTTTACTGAGCATTTGGCTGCAGTAGCTGAAAGGAACATTAGACACGGTCACCTTTCCTCTGGCTGCGACACCTTGGCATGCTGCTCCTGGCACACCTCAGATGAGGTGTGGGCACATCATGCTTTCATGAGTAATGCCAATCAAAAAGGTTGGACTCCTGACTGACAGAATTTAGAAGATATGGATGGAGGCATCCTCCCCACCCCAACCAGAAGGGACAAAGACTTCTGGGCCCCACATCCCCAGGGCAGACACTCCGGGCACCTCTCCTCGTGAAGACAAACATCTACAGTCTACCCTGAGAAAAGGGGGAGGGAAAGCAGCGGAGCACCCGAGGAAACTACACACAGAAAGGGGCCTCAGACCATGAGCTGTCACCTTACTGCCCGTTCCCAGTCACAAACGTGGATTCAAGGGCCCCTCTGGGATCACGAACGAGGACAGAGACCTCTCACGAGCAGGTGATGTAGCCCTGGCATGTGTTAGGACCAAGTCCTAGCCATCTTCCACCAGGAGGACACAATCACCACGGCCCAGCCTGGCCGCTTTACTGTGCCGAGCATGGCGGGCAAAGAACTCGAGGCCCAAGGTCAGAGTGAGCACAGCGCCCCAGGTCCCACAGTGAGCCCAACACCCCAGCGCACTCACTCCCTGAACCGCCGGCTGTGGATCTTGGGGCAGGACTCCGTCTCCTTCTGGGGCTCAGCTCCCAGCTGCTCCTCTGACTTGCTCTCTGCCACAGGAACACAGGACACAGACTCTTTCGTTTCCCCTGGAGTTTCAGAGAAAGAAGTCACAGCAGGGCCCCTGCAGGGCTCAGTGCACAGACAGAGGGGCCTGGGGCAGGAAATGCGACAGCATTGCCCAAGCACCCAGACTCAGCGGCTGGCCTCTCTGCCACCCATGGGTGTAGCTCCTAAAACCCTGGGCAGCCTGTGTGGCAGGGGCCTGTAGGCTGTAAACGCACCAGGGTGAAATGCAAGCAGGAAGTGTGCTCGCCATTTCTAATATACACCCCAAGCTGCCACAGCATCTCTGCTTCTAACGGAGGCCATGTGGAAACTCCTATAACACCCATGTGCCACCTGGCATGTTTGTACACCTCAACGCTATGCTGCACTGACAGTCAGAACTACTTTCATAGGCCACAGACATACTGCCGGCCAGAAGCACACACAAGATTCCCCTGGAATGCAGCCTGAAAGCTCACGGGTGAACTGCAGACAGGGGTGAGGCCTTGGACCAGAATCCCGGGGGCTGGGGGCCGCTCTGCTCCTGAACCGGGTATGATCTGTGCACTGTTCCGAAAGGGTGATTCAATAAAAAGCTTACTTAACCCATTTTCTGGAAAGACACCATGTCTCACACACTTGTGGGCAAGCCGATTTGCAGTTAACGGTGTTAATTCTCATGGCCATTTCAAACTGCAAGGACCATCCAGTATCACACACATCAAGCTCAGGGGCTTCACCCCTTTGTGTCTCCCAGCCCCGAGAAGCAGAGGCACCAGAAGCTCCACTTGTTCACAGGGATGTCCTCTTACTGTCAAGTTAGGACACTGAAAATCATCAGCATTCACAAGGCCCAAGGCCCACCTGCTTTTACCACACAGGGATTGGGGCTGGTCAAAGGCCAGACAACTGGCCATGTATAAGGCTACTCCCGCCGAGGGATTCTTTGAGAAGCAAACCAACGGAACTCAATACCTAAGACGTCAAGCGGCCTGAGGACCTGGTCGTCACCGCCACTCTCTTCATCCTGCACATCGTCACTGGTAAAAGCTGGGCTCAGAGCATTTTCCTGGAGACGCTGCTGCTTTCTCTCTTGCCGTTCTTTCAAAATAATCTTTAAAGTTAAATCAACGATTGAAACACCTCAACGCTGGCATCTGAAAACAAGCTCTTCTGTGAAGTAAGCCCCCACACTCAGCTGGCCGGCACTGTACCTGTTTGTGCCCTTATCCCCAGCCGCCTGCCCCCTCCCTGTGGGCAGCCCAACCCTCTCACCCATGGCCCAGGAAGAGCAGGCCCCCTGGGGAAACAGAGCAGTGCATGAGAGACCTGGGTTCTGGTGCAACCGAGACCTGGGTTCTGGTGCAACCGTGCAGCTCAATCTGGCCCCAGGCAAGACATGCCTTTCTCCCTCTGAGCCTCACCATACCCCACAGGCTACTCTCAGAGTTAAATCAAATACATGTGGCAGGAAGTGTCCAATATTTACCACATCAGAGCATCAGACACAATGCCTCGGGGTAGGATGAGGGTAAAAAACATAAATGAGAACAGACTCCCCCCATTTCTGGATTTCTGTCCATGTCACTCCAAAGTATGGAATGAATAAATAAATAAGGCCTCCCCACTCCAGCAGCTGAGGTGCTCTGCAGGCCAAGGGAGAGCGAGGGATCATCTTTCAGAGAAACGTGCATGCATCTTGATTAAGAGCAGGTTCAAATGAGGGTAAATGTTAAAACTTTAAAACCCTACGAGTCAAAAGCAGAACAGATGCAGCAGTCTACAAGTTTACTCATGCCCGATTTCAAACCATACACCACACACCTTCTTCAACGGGGTCGGCTTCTTGGCCTTGGGGACCTCCCTCTGCTTCCCTTTCTTCATCATGGGAGAAGTGGAGTCTAGCGGGTTGTGCGGGGTCTTCACCTGGGCAAGGCGATGGCCCTTCTTCCCTGACATGGAGTCTTTGGAGAGGACGGGCACTGCCCCAACTGCAACACAGTAGGGACACAGGGCTCAGGCTGCCACCTGCCGCCTGCCAGGCTCCAGAGGCAGGCTTGCTGCAGATCTCAGGGGCTCCCTGTGCCGCCCACCCATCCCCACAACCTTCCTCATCCCCATCAAACTGTCCCTGAGGGAACCAGGTTCCCATCCCCATAATCAAACCTCCTGTATTTTCCAGCTAAGTCTGATGATGTGTTTGGGTCTCACTTTTTGATGAAGAGCTTTTCCAGTAGCTTGTACTTAAGATGCCCCTTTTACTCCACCATTTTCAGCTGACCCTGCCTTTGCAGAAGTTGGCCACTGGGTTCCTTCTACCTCATGTATATATAGGGATACCTTCTACCTCACTATCTTAAGATCCTAGCAATATTTCAAGTTGATTCTCTTGAGTTTTCTAGACATACGTTCCTAAACTCCCTGCAGACAGTAAATACATGATCACCATCACTGGTCCTAATACTTCCACCGTACACTGTGGTTCTGTTCTACTTCCCACCTTGTTCCTGTTCCAAGGGAATAGTTAATTTGTGCTTACTTTCCCCCAACTTTTTAATTAGGAAAACTTCTAAACACACACCAAATAAAGAGAATGTATAACAACAAACCCATGTATTCATTGTCCGGCTTCAACAACCATCAGTATTTTTCCAAATATATTTTACCCACCCTCCTTAATTTTGGTACATGTTTTTAAAGTACTGCATAGACACAGGAGTGACTCCTGGAAAGGCAACCCAAAAACAAGAAAAAAAACAACTAAGCTGAGAAATCAGCAACCACACACTGTGGGGAAGGCAGCCACCAGATTCAGACCAGGCAGTTCCTTCAACAAAACAAAACAAAACAAAAAACACCCCATCACAATCACTACTTTCAGAAGGAAAAAACAAAATACCCAGTTGCTACAATGTACTAACTAAAAGTCAGTATTCACCAAAATATTGTGAACCTTTCAAAGAAACAAGAAAGTGTAACCCACCCTAAAGAAAACAGGAAGTTACAGAAACTGTCTTTGAGTGCCCCCAGCTGACCAAGAAATGAAGGCAACTGTGAGACTAGAAATAAACCCAGAATTTCAATAAATACAAGTTATAAAAGAGAGAGGCTCAACAGAAGATTTGAGATGGTAGAAAAATCAACGAACTTGAAAATAAATCAACAGAAACCATTCAATGTAAGGAAAAGATTTTAAAAGAGCCTCTGGAGACCTGTGAAGCAACAACAAATGTACCAGTATATATAATGTGAGTGCCAGGAGAGGGAAGAGAAAAGACAAAATATTTTGAAAAAATAATGACCTTAAATTTCCCAAATTCAATGAATATTTCAATTGATAAACTCAAAACAGGATAAATATTACTCAACCAAAGGTAGGACTTAATACAGAGATTCCCACATAGACACATCATAGTCAAACAGCTGAAGGTCAAAACAAAAACAGCAAGCGAAAAACAACTCATCACAGAAAGTGCATCAACAAGACAAGTAATATTTGACATCTCACTGGCAACAATGGAGGCCGGAGGGCAATGGAATGACATTCAAAGTGAGGGGGAAAACCTGTCAATTAAGAATTCTATATCCAGTGAAACTATCCTTCAAAAAACGAATCAAAAATATAGATGTTTCTAGGTAAACAAGGACTGAATTTGTTGCTTGACTGATTTATTTATAAGCAAGTACTTTCTTACTTTTAAGAAAATTAATTTTTTAAAGTAAAGGAAAAAAAATCAAAGGAATCAAAATGGTACTATATATTTATTTAACATAAAAGAAAACAGCTAAAGAGGAACAGAGGAATAAATTAAGACATGAAAGAATCAGAAAAAAAAAACAGCAGTAAATTCAACCACAGTAACAATAGCACTAAACCTGAATGAACAAAGCACCCCACTCAACAAGGAAGAGATTTTTAGCCTGGATTAAACAGAAAGCTCTGACAATAAGCTGTCCACCAGAAACACATCTTAAAGACATCCGTAGGTGGCCAAAGCTACTCTTCCTTATGCTGCTGGTAAAAGCATTCACCTCCTCATTAATCTGATCAGCCAGTTGGGAAGGCCAAACCTGGGCTCCAGAATAGATATAAGTCACCAAAGGCCTTTAAGTTGTGTTCTGGCAAGAAAGTCCCTTGTAGGAGTGTTTGGTACTCGCTAATCTAAAAATAAAGAGAAACTCTGAATTCCTCTTAGCTAATTTTTACTTTTTCTAGTAAGAATGGTTCCATTACTGATGTCAAAAAGGAAGATAATGGACATGTCAGTATCTGGGCATTACTGGGATCTGTGGCCAAAACATCCTTTCGATACTACCAAAATCCAACAACCAATCTTACAATCTAACAACCTCAAGCTACTTAAAAATATCATCTGATTGAGGGCCCCTACTTCTTGCCAAATTGTCTTGGACTTCATATACAATTCCATCTAAAAGGGCCACCTTGAATCTAGCTGCAAAAGAGCCACCTTGTATATATAGCCTCAGAGGTAGTTCTCTCATTTTTCTTGCTTTTACCTCTGGCTAGAGGTCTAGAACATTCAGTTAGTAGCTCACATGCTTCCCTGCAGACTCCCCAAGAAGCTACATTTTTCAGAATCAGAGGTTGGCCAAGCACTTTCTTGATTTTTCTGGAAAAGCCAACACTGCAGACCTTTCCCAAACAGATGCTGAGCAAAGTAACTTTGAAGGAGGAATACCTAAGAAGGCTCATCCTAAGCTTTGATACATTTAAGAATTACTCATACATGTGATGTATGATCCTGAAATGAAACAAATTACCAAAATCATTGAGAAAGAAATTTAAATACAGACTGGATACAAGATGCTAACAAAAAAATAACCTTTATTATTATTAGAAGGGAGAATGGCAGAATGGATCAATTAAAAATAAAATCACCATCAATTAGAGATACTGACTGATGTATTTACACGTTAAATGACATGATATCTACAAGTACTTTAGGGGAAAAAATACAGAGTTCCAGATGCAACAGGACTGGCAAAATGTTGGTAACTGATGGAGCTGGGTAATGGGCGTGTGGTGGCGGTCTTCATCATATTTTGCTTTTGACTCTGTTTTAAATGTTCCACCACAAAAAGTGGAAAACAAGGACAAAACAAAACCAAAAGTCCCACTGTGTGCTTGTTATAAACACCTATCGCCCATCCCATACCAAGTGGTTCTAAGTGTACCACATCAGAGGTGTTCCCAGAACCTGCACTTTCAGCTTGCTCCCAGCAGTGCCACTGCTGGCAGTCCTGGGAATACTGCATGAAAAAGAAATACTGGGTTCAGGGACAAGTTATCAACTGGTGCCTCGGTCACTGTATACTTGGACTAAATTAACTGCATTCACACATTTTAAATTTGTACTCTGGGCTTTTAATTAAGGTCACTATGAAACTCACTAAGACTTACTTCTGCTATACCTGTGAGAAGGCTAATTAGGAAACTGCTGACTATACCATTCAGCAGCCCCTATAAAATAATCCACATGAGAAACAGCATTTAGAATTTTCAGCTTCAAAAAACTCCCACCTCCACCAACAAACCAAGATTTCATTTATATTAAGTTCTAGAACAGGAAAAAACGTTTATGGCAGGAAAAAAAAAATCAGAACTTTGGTTGCCTGCAAGTAGCAGCAAGGACTGACTGGGATGGGAAGGGGCTGGAATTTCAAAGGTGCTGATGATGTTCTACACAGCCAGAAGTTTGAGTTACAAAGCTATGTATTTGCCAGAACTCTTAAAGTGATACATTTAAGATCTGTGCATGTCATGAAATGCATATTTTGCCACCAAAGGAAAATAAGAATCACAAATACTGAACTCTAGTTAATGATATGGATGCTTGGGGGTAAAATATACTGATGTCTGCAAGTTACTTTGAAATGCAGCAAAAATGAATACAAATAAATTGGTATTGGATAAATTGATGGATAGATTAGGGTCAGCAAACTTCCTTAAAGGGCCAGAGAATAAATATTTTAAGCTAATGAGCATATACGTACTGCAACACTCAAATGCCATTCTGGTTCCAAAGCAGTCACAGACAATACTTAAATAAATGTGTGTTGGCTGTGTTCTAATAAAACTTTCCAAGTATCCAGGTTGCTTCCCAGGTGGTGTGGTAGTAAAGAATCCACCTTCCAATGCAGGGGACGCAAGAGACATGGGTTTGACCCCTGGGTCGGGAAGATCCCCTGAAGTACGAAATGGCAATCCAATCCAGTATTCTTGCCTGGAAAATTCCATGGATAGAGGAGCCTGATGAGCTTACAGTGCACACACACATACTCTTTGCATGTGTGCAAAGAGTCAGACACAACTGAGCACACATACACACTCACAGCCAGCAGGATATAATTGGCTGACCTCTGGAAAAGTTATGTGACTGAAAAAAATTAGGAACAACTGTACAATCTAGGTAGTGAGTACATGGGTATTCACTGCATGATTTTATTCAGCTTTTCCAGATGCTTCAAAATTTTCAGAAAAAACAAAAATATTCCATTTCCCTTCCCTTGAGGAAACAAATTATGTTTATCCTTTCTAGGATTGATGCCACAATAAAATTATCACCAGACTGAGGGGTTTATAAGTAAAATTACATGATGTCTATAAACTGCTTTAAAATGCTTCAGGAAAAAAAAAAAGTAAGCTTCATCATTTCCTTGGATCCTATTTTTCACTTTTAAACCACCTCAGAGGGAAACATATCTACAAGACTATGGTGGCAAATGAGCATTATTTCTTTATATGACATATTATTACCAATTTTAACTGTCTTGGCGCTCAGGCAGGTTTCAGAGAAAATGACTACATCACTAAGGAACTAACACTGCCACCTGCTGTGTTCCCATGGACAAGCATGTAATTCATTTCTACCAAATGCAGCTTTACAACCTGCACACGGCATTTATACATCATAAGATTTTCACCAAGTCGTCACATCAAGTGGAAAACCCATTTTTTAATAAGACCTATTTCTTAAAACCATCACACTTAATTAACTTTAAAATTTTTGTGGTAAAATACATTTAACAAAAAAACCACTATTTTCACCATTCTTCACTTCACAATTCAGTGGCATCAATTACGTTCAAAGTGTTGCAACCATCACCACTACCCATTTCCAAAGCTTTTTCATGCCCCGAAATAAAAATCTGTCCCCATTAAGCAGTAACTCATTTCCTACTCCCCTCAACCCTTGGTAACCTCTAATCTACCTTCTTTCTATGACAGAATTTCCTGCCTTTATTTAAAGTTGAGTATCCCATTATATGTATATACCACCTTCTGTTTACCCATTCATTTGTTGATACACATTTGGGCTACTTACACCTTTGGTCTACTACAAATAATGCTGCTACAAACACTGGTGTGCAAGTGACTGAGTTTCTGTTTTTAATTCTTTCGGATACATTCAGATGAGTGCACCTGCTAAGTCACGTGACAACTCTACTTTGCGTTCTAGAACCACCAAACTATTTTCCAAGTACACCATTTAATGTTTTCATCAGTAAGTTCCAATTTCTCAAAATCCCCACCAACACTTGTTATTTTCCACATTTCTGATTAGTTATCATAGTAAGTTTGAAGAATTAGTTCCATGTAGTTTTAACCTGTATTTCTCTAATGACTAATGGTGTTGAGCATCTTATCGTGTATTACTGGCCATACATCTTCTAATGGGGAAATGTCTTTCAAGAACTTTGCCCATTTTGTAGAAAGTTACTGAACTGTAGAATTCTTATATATTTGTATATTAAATGCTTATAAAATATTTTCTCCCATTCTGTAAATTGTTTTCTGTCTTGATAACATCATTTGGTACACAAGTTTTTAATTTTTATGAAATCCAATTTACCTATTTTTGCTTTTGTTGTTTGTGCTTTTGGAGTCCTATCTGAAACTTCATCATCTAATCCAAGGTCATGAAGATTTATCCTGTTTTATTTATTCTAAGAGTTTCAAGATTTTAGCTCATATTTAAAACGTGATCCATTTTGAGTTAATTTTTGTATATGGTGTGAGGTTAACAGTACTACTTTATTGTTTTAGCATGTGGAAATGCTAAAACAGTTGTCCCAGTACCGTTTTTTAAGTGATTGTTCTTTGTCCTTTTAATAAACTCAACACTCCTAATCAAAAATTCACTGGCCACAGATATGTGTGTTTATTTCTGGTTTCTCAATTCTATTCCATTGGTCTACATCTATCCTTATTCCAGCACTACACTATTTTGATTACATATCAATAACTTTTGACTGGGCTTCCCTTGTGGCTCAGATGGTAAAGAATACGCCTGCAATGCGGGAGACCTGGGTTCGATCCCTGGGTTAGGAAGATCCCCTGGAGAAGGGAACAGCTAACCACTCCAATATTCTGGCCTGGAGAATTCCATGGACAGAGGAGCCTGACAGGCTATAGTCCATGGCTAGTCCATGGGGTTGCAAAGAGTTGGACACAACTGAGCGACTCTCACCCGCTCCACTTTTGATTACACAAGAAGACCGTCAAAAAACGGTTTACTGACAAAGACGTCAATCATTCATCTGATATGAACGAGCTCTCTTACCTGAGAACACCACGGGTCTGGAGGACTGCTTTGCATTTGAGGAGTGCTGCTTCTTTTCCAGTGCAGTTAGCATGCCTCCCAAATCCAACTGTACTGGAATCTGGCTTTTCTTTCTACTACTTTTAAAATTATTCTAAAAAGTTAAAAATCAGACGTTTACTCATAATACTTTGTTTTACAAACTGTACTTTTCATTTAATAACAAAAAGCCATATAATTAAGGATAAAAAAAGACAGATACAGAGACTAAAAGTCTTGAAATTAAAAGTAATTAAAGAAAAGCCCCATCAATTTCAAATCAACTGCCAGTATTACCACCAAGGTTGCTTATTTCCTTCTCCTCTCATAACACTCATTTAAACCACTTACATGTCTGTCTGCATCTCCATTATGAATAAATAACAGCATACATCTACAGATAAGGAACAAAGGCTGGAATAAAGTCCCTGGTTACAAAGTCTGTGTGAGGCTAGCTGGTTCGTACTACTGCCTCATTAGCACCTTTTGCTCTCCAACTGCCTAAGTGAGCAAAACTAACGACCATGAAATCATGGGGGCGCATCAAAAATGTACACAAGTCCAAAGTACTAAATTTAGACACAAAGTCAGATAGCCTCTAAACAAATGTTATTCCTGAAATAACTGTGATACGGGTCTTGAGACTATATAAAGGCTGGATGGGCGTGCTGTCTCCTGTGTTTTAGTGCCTCCACTCCTGCTCTCCAGCCAGTTTTCTCTTCCCTAATGCTAGAGTCACACTGGGTGAGGGCTCACAGCAAGAGGGGAATGCTAAGCACAGCACCGGTGCCTACAGAGACCTCTGCAGGGATGGAAGATGGCCAAATTACAACATAGGAATGCAAAGTTACAGGGTTAAGAATCTTACTCTTCATAAATGTGAAAATAACCACCCCACTTTGAAAGGTAAAAGGACAATGAAAATGCCCAAAGTATGCAAGTTCCCCATCTAGATTATGAACTACAAACTCATTCCTGAATCCACAGTGGGGGCTGAGATACAAGGAGATTCATCTCTTTCTCTGACCCTGACTACTTGACAATGCTTCTGTCAGACATAACTGCCTCACAAAAGGATTCTTCTATTTCCTGAATACACTAAAACAATGTTTTTTCTTTAAATCAAACTTAGACGAGCAGTATGTGTTCCCCTCCTTTCTGATATAGCAACAGCAGTTATCAATCATCTAATTTCAAAAGTGACAAAGTAGTTCTGGCTTAAGAGCAAATTTGTTTCAACATACTAGGTGCGGTTCTGCAATGAAGAAATCAATCAAAACCAAACTACCTGTGCCCATAAAGGAGGAAGTCTGGAAAGGAGGCTTTCTTGAGAGTTTAGTTTAGCAAGAAAAGTTAAGCCTAAAGCAATTGTGGTTTCAATCTAAAAATTACCTGTGGCTGCCGCTTAGACTGAAATTTCGGTGACTCTACTCTGTCTCTTCTTTCAGATGCAACTGCCAGATTGGGAAATTCCTCGGCATCCTAAGTAAACCACATACCCTTTAGCTCTTCACACATCACAAGAATCAAATAAGCCCAACTACAATCTTTCCCTCGCTCATATTTCCTTTCTGTAAAAATCTCCTATAGAAGTGCTCAAAGGTATTATTAAAAAAAAAAAAAACTAATGTATAACTGCTTTGGCTTTATTTCATTTTTAGAACAAACTTAAAGACCACAGTTTGAATGCCCCTGCCCCCAGAGAGTGTGGGGCCTCAAGGATGGGTTCACCAAGCAGTCCACGAACTGCCTCTAACCATCCTGACACAGGAGTATTCAAGCACCATCCTTCAACTATGTTTTCTTTAGGGAAGCCATCAATTTGGACACAGGAGATTTTAAGCATCCGGTCCTGTGTGCTGACCCTAGGCTAGAAAAAAGAAGTCTCTAAACAATGTTTAAATCATTTAAAAATATTTTATGTACTTTTATCAATATTTTAGGCACCCTGAAGAAATCATGTGAAAAATGAGGGGCGGAAACATGAATTATTTGTTGGCCCAAATAATAATGCTCTAATACAGTCACAGGTTTTCAAACAGGCAATCCCATTATTCTCAAGGGAATGTTTCAAAAGCCCCGGAAGCCACTCAAGTTTGTGGGAACACCTCAGGTTTGACCCTAAGCTGGTGTCCTAGGGAGCACTGCAGAGACCCTTCCTGTCAGCACCAGGCTGCTGAGTCTGGTACTTCCTGACCCAGCAGAAACATAATCAGAATCCAGGATGGCTCCTTGGAGAACAAGGACATTCTTGGAGTTATCACAGAACAATAATTTAAAGCAAACTTTTGGAAGCTCATGATATTCTCTTCTTGACCAGGGCCCACAACAGATTTATGGTATTGTAAGTTTCTCTCTATAGTGGAGCACATTATAGCAAGACATCTAGATAGAAAAGGAGGCCCTGCAGAAGCAAGCATGCCAAAGCAAAGGAAAAACAGGTCAGAAGACGCTGAGGGGGTGTGGTATATACCAGTAGTATGGCATATACACCAATGAATTTCAATGCAAGCAGTTTTGTCTCTAGACCATTCATTCTTTCTTTTCAGATATTTACTGAGTGCCTACTCTGAGATGGGCACTGTGCTGGAGACACCAAATTGAAGAAGTGGCTGACAACTATTTTTGTTAGCACTAGGAAAACAATTATTTAAAAAAATGTTAGAGACTTTTTACTTGGGTAACCAGTATGAACCTCTATTTCTATTACGGAAGACCCATTTATCATTATCATACAAGGTGAGTAATAAATATAAATGTACTTCAATCCTTGGTGGCTCTTGAACTGTCAGGACTTCATATTTTGATTTAGACTTTTCTTTCTTTTTCTTATTCTTTCTTGAGGCTTCATTTTGCTCAGGAGTGCCACCTTGTGATGCTTTGGACTAGAACAACAACAAAACAAAAACAAAAAAAAGTAAAAATTACCGTTTTTAGAGAATTCAAAAAATATTTTAATTCCATGCATCAGAATAAAATTAAGATATCAAGTTGTACAACCACATGGCAACCTTACTCAGATTTACTCCCTATTTTCCAAAAAGCCAGCATTTGGTAGAATGATTCTGAAGGAAAAAATCCATTAAAGCAGATGCCACATCCAACTGCTTTGAAACAGGTGGATTTGGACATAAGCTTTCAGCTTGAGGAGGTCATGATAATGATTCTACTGATTCAACCTGAAGTCCTTTTGTAAGTCCAGGTGAGCCACTTCTATCACCACAGCCCAACGGCTCCTAAACCTGACTGTACCGCAGGATCACCAATGCAGCCTGTGAATCAGACCTCTGTCTGGGCTCACCCCAGACCTGCAGAATCTGACCTCGCCACCGTCAGGTTCTGCTCAGCCCTTTCTGCTCTGGCCTTTCCTCATTCAGGTCACATGCGCTTTAGCTTCAGTGCACTGAACACTCACATAGCTGGATCTAGACTACCATCCACTTCCTCATTTGAGCTCAAGAGTCATCCCACTTCTGTCTAACCTCTTACTCTCCATCCTCTTTGGAGCACTAATTCTGACAAAGTCTGTCTTGGTCTGTAGACAGCTAGTCTCTCTCCATGAGAATGGCGGCTCTAAGAGGACGGGACATTTTCAATGTCTGAGACGATGCTTTGCCCCAATAAGACCTCACCCTTCAGAGGTAAGAAGTCTCAATGGCTATTAAAGAGAGTATTTATCTACTAACCCAGAGGGGCCATCCATGGTAGCCTGTTAAGTGAAAAAGGCAACTTTCATATGTAATATGTATAGAATTATCCCATTTCTGTTCTTAAAAAAAAAATTAAACCAAATAAACTTCTTTATTTATGTTTTCAGGAGCCTAAGGTGGAACAGAGGGTTGCCCAGCTGACTCAGCAGTAAAGAATCTGCATGCACTGCAGGAGATGTAGGTTCAATCCCTGGATCAGAAAGATTCCCCAGAGGAGGAAATGGCTACCCACTCCAGTATTCTTGTTGGGAAGATCCCATGGACCGAGGAGCATTGTGGGCTACAGTCTGTGGGGTCGTGAAGAATCAGACGCGACCGAGAGACTGACCACAACACAACACAAGGTGGGACAGACAGCAGGCTGTTAACGAAGGCTCTTGGAGGGGTGGGGACCACAGGGCTATAGGACAAGGACCTTTTCCATAATCAGATCTTTGTGATATTACATGTGCTTTTTCAGTAATAGAAAGTCACAACACAGCAAGTTTTAGAGGGAAGGGAAAAAAACAATCAAAACATTATGACCACAGTGCAAAGTGATCTGGGTCATAAGATTACCAGAGATCTTCATTTTCTAATCTTTATTTTGGAACTTCTGAACAGTAAACTTCTCTTACACCTTTAATTAAAAAATAATTTTTACTCAGGTCTAGCATACTCTCTTATTTCTCTGTACATTCATTCCATTAATTTCTGAGAGTCTGATATTGAAACTCCAACTAAAAATCTTAATTTATCTACTTAAAACAAACAATTGTAATATATAGTGGGAACCATATGTAACTTTGTTCTGTATTTTCCTAGTCTCTTGTAAACGTGTTAACATAATTTCATAATTTAAAAAATAAAAAAAAGAAATTAAAAAAAATTTTTTTAAGATGCTAGGAAAATGAAAACAGAATCTGTTAACTCTTAAGAGTGCTAAATGCTGGTTTAGGTGGTACAATGGTGGCCTGCTGTGTAACCTGCGCCCAAATGTCAACGGGGCCTCGGAGCTGGCCAGTCTCTTGTCTACTTGGAGTGGGTCTCACCACCGCCTCCTGTGTTCCTGAAGTATGAGCATGAAGCTGCAGGGAACAGTCACGCCAGTCTAACTTCACCATTAATTGTCACCAGCGCAGATTCCCTCAATCAACCAAGTATAAACACACAGTTCTTTTCTGTGTGGGATGGTCTAAGACACTTTGGATACTGAAAAGTATCCCAATACTAAAAATAATAGGAAACCAGTATGAAACAAATACTACCCCATATTTCAATCTAAAATAATGTATCAGTATAGAAAGAAAATCAAGAACAAAATCTAGCCTCCCCTACAAAACGCTCTTCAAGAAACAAATCTAGAGATTGAAAACTAACAGCTTAAAATTATTTGAACTGAAAGGAAAAAATGAATTCTGAAATGCTATCTTACAGTAAGTAAGCTGCAAGTAACAAACAATCAATTAGCATACTAGATGACTGCAAAATGGGGCATACAATTATTTTGCTATCAGTACTTGTAGCAACGTAAATTGAACAGACAAAAGACTGCAGTATTTTAAACACCAAAGCATAAGTTTCTTCCAGCATCTCTCTTAACGAATTCAAAATGGTCACTGACATTTTAAGACCACAGGTCTAAAACACACATCCTCACTCATGTTAGGGATCACTTGTGCCCCTCAAATACTTGTGTCCCTCTTGAAAAAAGAGTAAGACCTCAAGTACAACCAACTCAGATTAGTGCCTATAGTACCGAACGAAACACCTTCAGTGAGGCTTTGAAAGAGAAAGACTATCCAGTGGCACAGGAGAGCAACAAGAACAAAGTGTGACGCATACCTTTTCAGTAAGGTGGACAACGTGTTTCTCTTTGTAGGAAGGCTCCAAAGATAAAACTTCAGAAGATGACATACTATCATTTTTAGGATCTGCTGGTGAAGCAACCATCTTTAGGTTTATCATGGAAGTAACATTTTTAGGGGCTGGTGACAGTTCTGTAGATAATGTCTGCCGAACAACATAACCCATTGGTGTCCAAGATAATTCTGCTCAAAGATAACCAAAATTGTTGAACAATCCCAACAGTAAAAAGGAAATTCCTTAGAAATTCCAAGCATGCATTACACGAAGTACTCAAGAGCACAGTTAAATTAAGGTACTGTTCAGAACACTCTAGGAAACTACAGTTTCCACTAAATTTACTTTTCTTCTTGGAACATGCAGGCTGAATTAACTTGAAAGGGGGACTGACTATCCTAGGATCTGCTCTTTTTAACTTGGGGGTGCGGGCAGTAAACAAATAATAATTTCCATTAAACAATAATAATCCACAATACACCCACATGGCAAACACACAGAAATAATGAGCTGAAGATCAAACTGTGGCCCTACTAACCTTGATGTGTACTTTTAAACATCAGAAGTCAAAGATCACTAGACTTCAGCTACCAAAGTAACTGGTAATTTATTTCTTTTTAGAACACAGGCTTAAGTACAGCAACACTACTCCTTAGGTGCCCATGAAACTCTACACACAGACAAAACAAAAGGACATCCATCAGGACACAGGCAGGTCACGTCAGCAGCCTGAGGCCACCCCACAGTGGGAAGACAGACTGTTCTTGTCACCACAGAGCTACACATCTTCACAGAAGTTCCTCAAGTGAGGATCTTGTATTAAATCACATATGTACCAAATATGCTAACACCATAGGAAACACAGCTGTGCATAAATCTAGAATAATTGTGTAAAAAGATCTTCTGTTAGGACAAGTTACCCACAAAAATTTCAAAAGCAGAATCTACTGAACTCATTCTGAATATCTCACTTCTGAACCAGGCCAGGACAGACCAGCAGTTCTCAAAGTTCTGAGACTCCCAGGACCCTTTCAGGGGTCCACAGTCAAAACTGTTTTCCTGATAATAGGAATGTGTCATCTGCCTTCCCCACTCTCTTGCTCAGAGAGGTATAGTACAGTGGGGCTTAAGACAGTGTGACAGAGAACAGTCAAAGAGCTGAATGCTGAAGCAGATCTCCTGAACTGGGTGTTAAAGAGTTGCTAAAATGTAAAGGCTACTCTCCTCTCCTGACTTTAACTTTGGGAAATGGCTACCTTTTTAAGTTAAAACGTGCTATGTTAACCTGTAATAAGTTTATTGTTACTTTTAAGTAAATTAATAAGTATTTTAGTATTTCTCAGTTTTAACCCTCAGATTTTGTGTTACAAACATTGACAATTATCCAAATAAACAGACACTCTTCGGGGTTTCAAAGGATATTATGGGGTCCTGAGACCAAAAACTATGAGAACCACTAGTATATGAAATGCTTAAGAAAGTGGTCATTCCTGAGTTCATAAAATGTCTCCCTTAGCCCGATGAACATTTCATTGAGAATTCCTTACTTGTATGTCGTTTACATTCCTTGTGCAAGGAAATGGGATCTTACCCACTTACTTCAATCTTCTAACAACAATGCCAGTTTATCAACAACCCATCAACTGCCTTAAAGAAAGCTTTAAAACAGAAACATTTCAACAGCACTAACCTGAAAATAAACTAAGAAAACAGACAACTGATTTTCTAAAATAGTAGTTGGTGGCCACTCTTACCTCTCATACATGAAGAGGGATTGGTAACAGCATTATCGGTTACAGACTCAGTCCGATTATTATTTTTCACCACTATTTCACCCTAAAAAGCAAACCAGTTGTTTTCTTACTAGTTCAAACTAAAAATAATCATTATTTTAAAAACAAATAGCCTCCTTCACCATTCTTAAAATCTGCAAAATATATGCTAATTAAAAATTCCAAACATGTAAGTATATAACGTGCAAAGTTAAATTACTTTTCTTTTGCCAAATCTCATTCCCCAGAGGAAAAATCACCCATCTACAGCTTAGCTACTAGCATCTTAGTGTTTCATCGCTTCAGAGATAAACATCTGTGTATCATTTTAAATGGATCTCAATAATGGGATCACACTACACATAGTATCACGTAACTTAATAATTTCCAAGTCAGCAAAGATTCTTAAAAGCTAAAGTGCCTGCTGTGAAAGGAAAAGCTGTTTTCATCACACCCCCACACCAAAGCTCAAACAAAAATTCCTGAAAATGTCCACAAAAACAAGTCTTCTAATGTGTACTTCCTTTTATAGACATAAAGCTGCATCATGCATGGAACAAGAGGAACCAAATGACACTTGGGGACAAAAGACTACATTAAGAGAGACCTCAAAGTGACCAGCAGCACCCAAGGTGAAAGGAAACTGAAACTCAAACTAAGTGGCTTTCAAATAAATTCTGAAGTTCATATGCTTCAAAAATGTACCCCTTTTACCATTTCATCTAAGCTTAGTTAAAAAAACAAATTGTGCAGAAGCTTAAACTGCTGACTGCTGAATATGCCTTGGGCCATGTCTCTACCTAGGTAGTAGAAACCTGGCAACCTCAAAGAGCTGCTTCAGAACCATGGAAAGAACATGCTCTGTAACCAGGACAGAAAGCCACCACTTTCATTAAAAACAAAAATAAAGCAAAATCCTCCAAGGGACATCCGCTGATTCCTGGCCCCACTGCAGAGCTCACTTAAGAGCCTGGAAATGCCTACATCGCCCTGGGCCCTCCTGCCCCAGGGCTTCCCCAGGCAAGGACCCACCACTTCCCTCCAGAGGGCAAGCATGGTTTCCTGGGTTGGCAGGTGTCACTTGCTAACCTGCAAATTCCAAATCACTGCCTGACACAGCATACAAATCTTGCAGGAGGTGTCACCTAGAGCGCTTGCCCCTTCCAGGAAGTATGGAGCTGTTTGCTTCAATCTGCTAGGGGCCTGAGGCCCCACCTCTGAATACAATCTAGATAATTTCAGCAGCTACCTCAAATAAATGCAAGACAATGGCCACTAGGGAAGTGAATTTTTACTTTCAAATGAGGCATTTCTGGAAACTCCAAAGGCATGGGGAGGTACAGAGTTAGGCAAAGAGAAAGATGCCATTCTCCCTTCTATTGGCACTTTTCTCAGCTTCCAAAACACTGGGCTAGTTCTAGAGGAGGTGATGTGGCATCAGCATAGCTCTGTGGAAGTGGCTATACTCTGAGAAACAAATTCTCTTCTGGCCTCATCTGTAGGCTGCTGTGTTCTCTAGGAGATTCCAGATAGACACAGTTTATAAACATATTAAGTAAACAAGTAAAAAAAAAAAATCCATCAAATGAGAAAATAAATGATTAAAATGCAGCCTGTTCTTTGAGTAAACATAACTTTTATCCTCACCAAAGTCTATGAAACACTAGAAATGACTTACCTATTCAAGAATGATTAAGTAAATTACATGTATCGATATCAAAGATTCAGTGCAAGTTATATGTCCAAAAACTATTTAATGACATGGGAAGATAACCATAAAAGTTTTAAAAAATTCAAACACAAACTTGTAGATATGTATTAATTGAAGGGAATGCCCATCAATTCCCACAATGTAATATTAAAAAAAAGACTAACTGCCAAACATGGTTTGCTCTTGGTTGTACAACTTTAGACAGTTTGTTTTTTCTTAATACTTTTCTGGTGTTATGTTACTAACACCATGAGGGAAAAAAGGTTTCTTTTTATGGGAAAGCTGAGGAAAAACAAAACAAAACAACTCCACATATAATTCGAGTGTGAATATAAAAGGCACTGAGTGTGTAAATCTCCCCACATAGCATGAAGTGTCCTACTTGTCCACATGTGCAGTACTCATACACAAGTGAGCAATGACAAGAAGTGTCAGCCACGCCCCTGCCCACCCTGGACCCTCTGTACCCTGTACTACTTTTGTGAGAGCTCACAGGCTTGGAATTATCCACTGACCACCCACGACGAAGGCATGGGGCCCCTCAACTACTCAGCTATTCCATACACCCAGCCAGGGCCCAGGAAAGTCACCCAACTGCTAAATGAAACTGTGATTTTTCTACATCAGTCAATCAGCCTTACTTATCACCACCATGTAAAAGGAAAACACCCAGGTGTGACAGGCTAAGGGTCAACATGTTGGAAATGACTTATTTTCAGCACATTATATAAGCCACTACACATTATATAAGCCACTACCACCAAGCCTTCAGAGGCTTCAGTATCCAGGCACCGAAAAGCAGCACTAGGACAGGAAATATAAACCCTTTCTCCACTCAAAAGGTATATCAACTGGTAAGCTCTGTTTTCCTCGTTGTTTCTTCCTTCTCCTTGCCTCTACACTGGGATGGGCCTCAATTTGTCACAAGCCATTTTAGCAACTATAACCCAACAAAACTTTTTCCTGGAAGTCTCAAAATCTGTCTGAGGGGAAAATGCTTCAATCTATCTGATGGACTAAAACTTGAGATCAAATACTGAATACAGGGCAATTTAACACTGATTGCAGTGAGATTTTCTGTATCATTGACAGGACAGAGGTGCAGATAAACTGCCTGGGAAAATCATAAGTTACACTGTGCAATTCTAACATTACTATTTGATTTAAAAAAATACTTTTCTCTGTATTGAAAACAGTGTTATCAGAATGCAACGGTAGAAACAACATTTTCACAATGGGCTATGGAATTTAGTTGAACCAATGCTAGAATCTTCTCCTCCTGAGGCATGGCAATGCTTTCTAGCCACCAGACATGAAGACACTTGCTAAGTGATTCTCTGGAAAGAGCAACACCAGGTGTTAGAGCCTGACCATAAACAGCTCCAACGACAGAGAAAGTCACCTAAGCACATTAAGAGGCCCCTGCCACCCCACGATGTGAAGTGTATGTAGAGTTCCAGGTGATGTCCTTGCATAACTGTCCATCACAAGGAGAAAAGAAGCAAGAGGGGAACAAAGAGCAGGAGGCTGCACTCACCTCTGATAACACTGCAGAGGGTGTCCCCACTTCTCTGAGAAGAGCAATGTTGGTAGGGGTGGAGCGTAAAGGCCCCCACTTAGGCTGCTTTTGTATCTCTGGTATCTCACTGTTCTCCGGACTCTGCAGTTCAGGAAAATCCAACCTGGTAAATCCAAACTCAGGTTTGGAGGCAGATCCACTCTTTTCAATGACTCTGGATTTCCTGTCTGTTCGTTTATAATAACCATCTGCATTTACAGAATTAAAAGTAAGGGTAAAAATTTAGAGGTTATTGGATGACCTGTACTCACACTTCAGTTCAGTGTAGAAAGTCTATTGCTACTGATGCAACAACATATTATTGTCCAAACAGCCTAATTTTTGGTAGCGTTGTTAACCTCTGAAACAGTGGAAAACATAAATGACCATGGGGGTCACCAAGCAGAAAAAAGCAACATGCTGCAAATCTTAGGAGTAATTCTCAACTGGATGAAATAGTTACCTTAACCTGATTGTGCAGCTGGGCATTTCAATTATTCTCAAAACACACTTTACAGTTTTGTGAGATTAAGGGGACTCTTGCGAATTTCCTTTAAATAATAAATTTTCCATATTTTAGTTTGCTGGAACAAACTAGAGGAAAACAAGTATTAATAGAATTAAACTTATAACCTCTCTCCCACCTTTCTCCTTCAAATGCAAACGAATGATGCTGAAGGTTACAATGCCATAAAGCCCCAGCATTTTAAAAATTGTTTAATTATAAGGCTAGAGTTATTCCAGTTAACTGTTCAACTCTTCTTTCACATTACCATGTACCAGAAGGTTTATAAACGACGTCAACACAAAGAGAAAATGTTATGTATCAAATAACAGTAAATTACACATGTAAATAAAATGACAAACCATTCCCAGTAAGTACACTATTACAGAGGTTTTAAGTTATTACATAAATAGATGATGGCTGTGATCAAGGTGCAATAGTAAATAATTTACAGGAAAAAAAACCAAGTTATCATGTATAATCACTAACTTTCAACCAGAGACTGGAACAGCAGTTCTTAAGCCCACAACAGAGATGTTCTTTGAATAACCATCCTGCCCTGGGTTTGGTATTGCTCACGATGGGATTTAAACTGCAGTCAACTCTCTCCCTTACTGAAAAGTGTCCCAACAGAAAACCAGAGAAGCTATTTTAGGGATCAACATGATCAAATACAGTACAAGGACGTGGTTGTAATTCACTATTTAACAAATGTTTTGAGGTGGGTGATTGTCACCTACTTGCTATGTGATTTTACAGAAGTTCTTCCGTAAGACAATGTAGTATCATCTTTGGATAAACTCCAGGATCCCATAGGAAACTTGATGGCCTCAGTTTTTCATGATGACTAAGCCCACAAAAACAGTTTAAAGAACAGAAATGTTTCTGGGAGTAGACAGGGTAGAAAAATATAATATACAGAGTGTGTTATTTTTACCTGATTTCAAACTATTCTCAGCATGAATGGACACACGAGGTGAACTTTTGACTGATTTGAAATCAGATGATAGAGGTCCATCAGCCTTCTTACTGTCAAACTTTTGTTCACCATAGGTTTTCTTCTGCAGCAAACATTAAAAAATAACATTTTTATTTTAAGAACACAATCACTATAAAAAAGGCTTGAATTTGCAAATTCATAATTACAACTCAATCATTTTTTTAAAAGGTTAGAGTAGACCATATCAAATTTTAAATACCTTAAATAACATGCAAGAACTGGCCTGTTCTTTATGTTTTAAATGCTAAAGTAATCAACAACACCAAGACATTTACAGACCTTAAACACAGCTTTTGTGTCTTGTGGGAGAAGGCATGTGTGTTCACTTCGTGGCTTCACTGTTTGAAAACCTCCAAAACAACTGGGTTGGTTGTCATCATATGGGGAGCCAGACACTGGGCAAACATTTTGTGGTGACTGCAGGGTGTAGGGAGAGTAGGCATATGGATGAAGAGGGATCTCAGAAGAGAAATACTGAGATGGAAAAGCTGAAGCTCCAAAAGCCATATCGTCAGTATAGAGTTTCTGTCTAAATAAAAACGGTAAATTTTAGTTGAAGATTTCATACCACAAACCAAGAAGCTTAATATTTTATAATAAACAAACTTAAACATACTATTTTTGAGGTCATTCATTCTAGCACTGAAATACCTCTAATTAAAAACCAAATAAAACCTCTGAGCACTTCTTCTTAACCTGCAAAGAAAGATGCTGACCTAGTTCCATTTTTTTCATTACACAGCTGGAACTTCCATAACAGGATCCTATGATAAGGAATATTAGAAAAGCCCAAGGATGCTCCAGCAGGTTTCCACTCTCATGCTGTGAAATATCTGGAAATGCCTCACTCAGCAACCCTGACCAAAATTTAAGCCATCTAGACCACTCTCTCGGCAGAGAGGGCTTTTATAGAGCTCCCACTGCCCGTCCAAGTCCCACCCTGACAACCTCCAGGGCCTGCTCCCTGGGGGTTCTGGGCGCCCCCAGCCAGCCCGCCCAGCCCCTTTCCTGTCCCAAGCCCACCGCCACATCCGGCGCTCTACTGCTCAGGGGGCTGGGACACTCTGCAGGACGTGGTGCAGGAACGACACGTCCTGCTAATACGATGGAACTGTCTGTGAACACTGCCACTGACTCAACTTGCTCAAGTCGCAAGGGCAGAGCGAACTATAATTTAACACTGAATTTTTTTTTTGGCAAATTTAGTATAAGGCCAGAGGTTTCAACCATTCTGCAATGAAGGTTGAGACAATGATAAATGCTAAGCAACTGACTTAACACAAATCACAGTATTCTCATTCCCACATATAAGCACCAGCAGGTGTTTCCATGACTTTCCAGGACTTTGAATTATCTTGTAGCAGATCAGTGGAATTCTGAAGTGTAGGGTCCACTGAAAGGCAGGAAGAATCAAAGCTAAGGATAAGACACCCCATGTGATCTTCCAATTGTTCGAATGTCACGAGATACAAGCATAGGCACCAACTACCAGAATTTCTGTTTCTACTCTGCTACAAGTAAGAGTCTGCAACGAAGAAGGAAAGGAGTCACTACAAACAGGCTAGGCCTGTACCACACTGACAGCTGCCGCATCTCCCGTGCCCTCCTTCCTGGCAGTCTCCCTGACCTCTGCTACGTGGCGCCCACGTCCATCTCACCGCCTGAAAAGCCCCTCCAACCCGGACGTGACAGCCTCTGCCCTCTCCCATCTCCCAAAGGTCCCTCCGTGGCACGGTCCCCACTACACTCCCCCATCTCACCGGTCAGACCCACTCTGAGACAGAACCTCTCCTCATTTTGCTCAGGACTTCACTTCCAACATACTTGAATTCCAGCTCTTTTTGCTCAGGACTTCACTTCCAACATACTTGAATTCCACCGGTAGGCCTCTATCTCCAACTTACAGCTCATTTCCACCCATCTAGTACGTACAGGGAGAAGGCAATGGCACCCCACTCCAGTATTCTTGCCTGGAAAATCCCATGGACGGAGGAGCCTGGGAGGCTGCAGTCCACGGGGTCACGAAGACTCAGACATGACTGAGCAACTTCACTTTTCACCTTTATGCACTGGCGAAGGAAATGGCAACCCACTCCAGTGTTCTTGCCTGGAGAATCCCAGGGATGGGGTCACACGACTGAAGTGACTTAGCAGCAGCAGCAGCAGCAGTATGTACAGATCCAAAACATGACATATGAGTCCCCAAACTAGTCCCACTGCCAACTTATGCTCTCACAAACGATCCCAAATCTTTCCATGTATTCAACTGGAACTACCTAGGATCTTTTCCACCAAAACCCGTATGAACCCTTTTATCCTGCAGAAGGTCTCCCTGTATTTTCTTCTCTATTTCCAGTACCTAACTCAATCGGAATCCTGCAGGCCCCCAGGAGTGTTCCTGATCACTGGTCACAGTGAACTTCCTGTGTGTGGAAAGCTTCCTGGGTACCAAGCCTTGTGTCGAGAATTTTAGGAGTCTCTGTCTCTCTTGAGCCCCTTAACAGCACAGTGAGGTCACCATTAAGCCCTATTTAGTAGAGAAGGGCATGGCAACCCACTCCATTCTTCTTGCCTGGAAAATCCCATGGAGAGAGGAGCCTGGCAGGCTACAGTCCATGGTGTCACAAGAGTCAGACACGACTTGGGGACTAAACCACCACCACTACCAACCCAATCAAAACCTTCAAGGCCCTCTCCTTTAAAGCTGAGCCAGAAACCAGGTGTGATTATCATGATCCCACCCAAAACACTCCCAAAGTTCTCTCTTTCCTACCCAAAAAACCTAACTTTTCAGCTGTACCACGTAGGCCAGTTGACTAGTGGCTCCCCCCAACAATGGGACCTTACTTCTCTACTGTCTCCCCAACACATCTTCCATGTGGTCCCCTCTGACCTGTCAGGAATCCAGTCACTCCTCCACCCACCCACCCGACACGAGCCACACCCTGTGGAGAACTACTAATTCACACTGTGTATGTGCGTGCTTAGTTGCTCACTCGTGTCTGACTCTTGAAACTCCATGGAGCCCACAACGCTCTTCTGTCCATGGGATTTTCCAGGCAAGAATACTGGAGTGGCTTGCCATTCCCTACTCCAGGGGATCTTCCTGACCCAGAGACTGAATCCAGGTCTCCTGAACTGCAGGCAGATCCTTTACCACTGAGCCACCAGGGAAGCCCCAATTCTCACAAATGAGAATTTTAACCTAAAAGCAACCACCGGCACTGTAATTTTCACTGTATACTACAAGGTATCGAGAGTAAGAGCAGCTGAACTCAGGTCAGAAGAACTGAATGCTAAGTCTGGTGCTGGTGCAACCTCCTGGAGAAATTTTGGACAAGCATTTGTAGCCTCAGTTTCTCTTGCGTAGAAATAACACTACATCTCCCTGCCAAACTCACAGATTTTGGCAAGCATGAAATGAATGTATTCAGTAATTCCCAAACAAAACACACACTTCTTCACCCCTGTGTCACACAGGATTTGTCACAAAGCACGTACTATGACAATCAACAAAATCATTTTCTGGGGAGGATGACTGGCAACAGAGAACTTACTTTGTTTGCATAACCTTTATTTGTTCATTATACCAGTAAATACTCAGTACTTCCCAAACAGGGCCATTCTACATACTAGGATACTTATATTTGTACTGCCTGTAACATAAACTTGAAGGAGCTTGGTAGTATGTTTTCTTCCATCTCCACCATAGCTCATGAGACAGGCCTTCCCCCACTTAGGAACTAGTGCTTTTCCATATAGTAGCCTTTAGCTAATAAACTCCAAATGAACAGATGAAGTCGTTTGGCATGCACTGCTAGCAGTACTAGAGGTGGACATTCAGCAAAAGGTCACTCACTTCCTTTAAGGACACAGAGAACTAGGTTGTTATAGGGGAAGAAGTAGAAAAGATGACATGTTTGTTATAGAAAATTTCAGTCCTTTTTTCAAGGCAGCAAGAGATCGCCATTGAAACAAAATCTGATTACAGCAAAACAATTCTTAACTTATATTAGAATTAACTAGATAATCACTTCTTCACTGTGTAAAGTCTCACCACTTCATTCCCCACTTTAAAGGCTCTCATTCTTTCTAAGCTTGCTCTTTGGTTTCCTGACTCCATTGTCCTTAATTGTTTTCTTGTCAGGCAGGAATACTGTCAGTCAACCTTTTCAGTGGTTATAAATATTAAAAAAAAGAAAAAACACCAAAGCTGTAAGGGAATAAGGGGTTAAAAAAGCTAAAAATTCAGCATCGAGCATCCTTAAGCCTCTGATTATTCTCAGCATGTTACAGTTAGAATGCTGCTTTAGCTGTATGACTGTTTTCCACCTTTATTTTAGGTCACTAGAATTTCACCAAGCAGATGGCTTAAGAGTTTTTATCACAGAGTAAGATATAGCTTGTATTTTATCATGTGAGCCCACTCAAGGTAGGAAATGACTTAACTGAGACCCATGGCAACCTTCCTGTTACAAAGGAAGAAACTACAATGGAAAAACTTGGCATTCCTACCAAAGACCTTCAAGCACATTTTGTCAGGACTTCAATTTCAGACAAAAAATATAACATTTCTTATTTCCTAAATATACCAGACAAACCAATGATTTTCTTATTTATTCCAACTTTTATTTTTGTGAACACAGCTCTAGAATTTATATGAAGTATAAACTATTTTCAAGCACACCATGCAGGTGTGGGGGGAAAAGGTAACAAGTCTGACCCAAAACAACAGAACATAAAAAGGATTTTCACATAAGCATAAGGGTGATTCATGCCTTAAAAATAAATCTACAAGTAATCCACACAATCATGTGAAAGACTTAACACTTATTTTTCTAACTTCAGCTAATAAATGGAAACCATTTTGCAACTACCTAAAGAATAACTCCTGTGGAGGAAAAACAACATTTAAAGGACAAAATAAACCTTTCAGCTCAAATCTAGAAGAATTTATAACCAAAAATTTGTACGATCCATCTCCACAGGACAATTATAAAGTAAAACGGCTAAAAGCAAACCTCAGCAATTTCCAAACACTTATCTGCACAAAGAGGCAGCCCTAGTTGCTAACCCCACTCCATCACTGGGCAGCATTTTTCAGTGTTACACCCTAAAACTGAGGGGCATTTTTATTTATTTATTTGGGCTTTTCTTTGCCCCATTTGCTCTGACCCACTTGTTCCTGCCATTTCATCACCCATTAATACATGATGCAGTTTTTTTTTTTTTTTTTATTTTTATTTTATTTTATTTTATTTTTAAATTTATTTATTTATTTATTTTTTTTTTTTTTATCACAACCATAGTGTATCTTTTCATGATGCAGTTTTAAACTGTAGGCGTAACAGACTTGCACTCCCCACTAATAAATGCAACGCAATCTCCATACTCTCTCTGCCCCAAATAACCAAATGAATATGGAGGGAAAAAAAGGAGAGCTGAATCTCCAGTTTTTGGTGTGCTACACAGCTAAGCTGTGCTGTACATTTCCTTTTTGTATGAGGAGCATCTTCTCTAGTTGCTCTGGAAACGTTAACCTGATAGCTGCAGAACATTTCAAGTCTAATTACCATTAAAGCCAAGCAACAAGGTCCCCATGTTAAGGCAAGACGTTCGGAAGAATACATACTCAGGCACTGCTAGCTCCTGGGCACATGGATAGTACGGGGTGGCTGCACAGCTGGGGAAAACTCGCGCTTCTGAAGAGTCTGACCATCCCACATTGAGCCCAGCAAATTTGGGGACAAATGGTTTGACATCTGCTGACAACTTGATGCCCTGAGGAGAAAAGGGGGGTTATGGCTACAAACTTTCTAAGATCAACCAACTGGGAAAAAAAACAACAAAAAGAGTCCCTCCCATCTCAAAGCCCCAGAAATGCTAATCCCAGTGCTGCAGTTCAAATATATCTGCCCAGCAAAGACAAGAATTTGTTAGCAATATCTCCCCAAACCCCTTTTCACTAGAAAAACCAGTCTATCAAATATTAAAAGTGGAAAATAAGGACAACCACTTGAAATGAGAATAAAAGTCAACCCAGACTGTAGAGTTAGAACTACAAGTGATGTTTCCTTATCTTTAACGTAGAATACAGTAGTTTACCTCTCAGCTGAGTTAAAGGATAACAAACTATCAAACTTAACTGTAGCACTCAAAACGCACATGCTCCTTAGCCTTTATTGGTTCTATTAAATTTCTCAAAGAACTTAGAACAGCTGTTTTTCACTCAGCGAACCAATAAAGGCTGTTTTGTTAAAAACCAAAAGTAAGCTTTGCCAGAAAATCTTTGTATTGCCACGAGCCCTTGAAATATGAATCTAAAATATTTGTTGGGTTTTTATTTCCGTTTTTAGATCTGTATTGATAAATTTACTTTCACTAGCAACTTATAATCATGTTTTTTCACTCGTGTGAAAGCCAGTTTTTGCGATTGTTAGGGCTCCTGCTAGAGGTTACTCTTAGCTAGCTGAGCAGAGACTTCCGCTTCAGAAAACGTATTCACAAGCTTTAAACAAGTGGTTCCTGCTCACGAGTGCGGTAAGCAGACACGGTCGCTCAGCTCCTCCACAGCCTTGGGACTAGCGGCAGTTTCCAGTCGACGGAGTCCTTCCTCATTTGCGGCCGTGTGGACGCACCCGGGGCTGCAGGTCGCGGCCGCCCCGGCCCGTCGCCCCCCGCCCACGCCAATCCAGTTCCCACCCCATCCGCGCAAGGCCAGCACTCTGGGAGGCCCAGGGCCGCCATCCTCACCTCGGCCGCGGGCTCCCGCCGCCCCTCCGATGCCATGGCGGGCGGCTGGGAAAAGGTGCGGCCGGGGAGGCCAGTAGCCGCCCCGTCGGCTGGCGGGACCGAAGGGCGACAGTCCTCCTCCTCGCCTTTCCACCTTCAGAGAGGACGCCAGGAAGTGCGTCACAAAAACACGCCTCGGCCCGCCTTGCTTCCGGTCGGAAATGCGCGGGGCGGCGGCTCTGCGCCTGCGCGAGGTACCCGGCATGGTGAGTACTTGGAGAAGCTGCATCCTCGCGCGAGTAGTTTGGAATTAACATGAGACTTTCTCCGCAGATAGCGGACAAAACGCGGGATGTGGTTAGACAGGCCCGCACGAGGGGTAGGTGCACGGGGTGGCGGGCACCTGTAGCAGGAGAAGTGTGTGTGGGGAGTTGGGGGTCTTAAGGAAACCGCGTACCTTGTGGACCTACAAAGGGAGAAAGTCAACAAGATCTGGCATCTTACATTTCCAGGAAGCTAGAGCAGTTAACGAAAAAGAATTTCAAAACTGCTCAGTTCAACAAAGGGCCGCTGACCACTAGGAAATGTGCTGGGAGAGGAAGAGATGGAAAAGCAGGGTGGAAGCAAGCAATCCTAGGGCAGTGGTGTTAGGTAGAATGGGAAATGGAGGGCGGTGCCTGGGTGACGGAGTGAGGGAGGGGGAGCGCAGATCCTAGAACTCTTGCTTCCTTGGTGAAAAGTGGGAGCTGTTTGACCAGTAGAGGTTAATAAGATTGAACATCCTAAAGAGGCTAATTGTAGGTTTCCTCTGTTGAGTGACTACCAGGTATTTCAAGCAGTAAATGCAGGCAATTCCAGCTCATCTCCTGGTGTTCTGTGCGCCTCCCACAGGTCAATTAAACACATCTAAATCTCCAGAGTGGAATGAGGCTTGGGATCTCACAGTAAGCAATGCTGGAGATTGAGCAGTATGCAGTATGCTGGTTTGTGCTAAATACAATCAAGTTTACTTAACAATTCTGACGTCTTTCTGTTGGCCTAACCCTGAACCTATAGCCAATGACCCATGGGGATGGGGGTAAGTTCTAGGCTCTTGCACATCACCACACCGCCCTCAATATTTATCGTGCTTATTATGTGAAAGCACTACCTTTTTCAAAAAGAGGAGCATACAGAGGCCCAGCATACTGGGGGTCTTATGCTTATTGGCGGCTTAGCTAAAAGGTTTCTTCAGCATTAGCAATGATGATAAAAAGCCTGTGTTTGCATTAACTATTTCCTTAGCAGTTAAAGCAATTTGACACAAAATGCACACCATGTTAGAAGTTTTAAAAATGCTGTGATAGTTTATACAAAACTGTATCCCCCCCTTTGGCGCATGGAGAACAGAAATGGGGTTATGTGGTTTCTCCCAAGGCAGTACTTACATAAATAAGTGAAGTAAGCCGGAGTATTAAGTTGGGTTTCTTTTTTGTTCAGTTGGAAATTCTAGACAGTTCTCTAGGAACTAAACAACAGAGCTATAAAATCTACCTTGGCTCTATTAAACTTATCCCTGGTTCCTAGTATCTTCATAAGTGAATTTAAATGGTACCCTGAATCACACCAAGCTGATAGGTTTAAACCCACTTAACATTTTATTTCTTTGAAGTGATTTTATTTCCTCAGGACTATAAAACTGAAATCATCCAACATCCTCAACAGTCACAAGTTAATCTTAAGAAAACAAACCTCACTAACTTCAGAGTAATAAATGCAACATACAAACTTTATTTAACAAAAGTAACAGATAAAGTCAAACAGGCACTTATATTAAAAGAAAAACTGACTAGAAGAAATTTTTATCTTAAAACACCTTACAGTAACCTACTTGCAGTTGCATTTAACTGAGCTCTGTTGCTGTGAAGAATACAGCTCATGCACAGGTATGGATGAACAATTTGTACATTTTTCAAGTATTCACTGAATACTACCTTATATACACATATACATTAAATTTGAGAAAGATTTAATTGATGATCCCCAGATAAGCTTCATTTTTGTTGATCTTTTGGAAGAGGCCGTCTAAAGAGAAGGATGTGTGGTTCTGTGGAAACAAAATGTTTTATATTATTTTAATATGGTTAATTTTCATTCAACAAAAAATTAAGATTCGAAATTGAACCAAAATAAAATAAATCCACAGTCAACTGATATTACTTATTAAGGTATCTGAAATTTTGCTTTTAAGTCACTATCAATAATAAACATAATAAATAATCAACATAACAATGAGAATATCCCCCCAGTTAATTTTACACACTCTGGAGAAAAAGTAAAGAAGTTGTTTGAGGAGAAGGGTTTCTATCTTTAGAATCTCAATTCCAATGAAAAGTAAAGAAAAATGTTATCTGTTGTGGGGAAAAGACAGTTAACACCTCATTTAAAAAACATAGGTCCCAAGGGCCCTCCTGAAAGATTCTGTTTCAGAAGGTGGAGGACTGAGTAGGAACCTACAGGTAAGGTCCTCAGTTGCTTTGTATTATCTGGAGAAAGACCTTTTTAATATAATTACATGCTCCGATCCCAAGATAGTTACAAGTTTGAGTTTTTGCTGCCGATGCTTTTCTTTTAAAGTATAAATCAAGATAGCTTTACCTAATTTATATCATTAAGGTATGACTCAGTTGGTAAAGATCCGCTTGCAATGCAGGAGATCTGGGTTCAATTCCTGACCTGAGTCAGGAGGATTCCCTGGAGAAGGAAATGGCAACCCACTCCAGTATTCTTGCCTGGGAAATCCCATAAACAGAGGAGCCTGGGACTCTACAGTTCCTGGGCTCGCAAAGAATCAGACACGACTGAGTGACTACCACACCTAATTCAGCTGCTGTGCCTTCAAATTTTGTTCAAAGCAATATAAATCCTTTAAGTTAGATTTATTGATAACCCCAAAACACCACAGAGTTTCTTAGTCTAGTTTACTAATAGTTTACCAATAATCTAGAAAACTGTTCAAATCACTTCAAATTGTATCAGTTTCTATACACAGAACTTCTAGACACACAATCTTAAGTTAGTTTTCAAATAGACACCATAATTCTAAATATTTTTACGGCAAAATACTTCAAGATACTACTAGCAATGACACACATTTTAAAATAAAACAGAATAACCTGTTTTTTTTTTTACTTCATAGGTTATTTTTGCAGATAGAAGAATGCATTATTTTCAGTATGGTAAACTATTGTTTACTATAAAATTAGAACCCTCTCTGGGAAGGAAAAGTCATTCAAAAATAGTCAAGTTTATCACTTAACTTACGGACATCATTGAAACATCAGTATTACAAACACGTTTTCAATAACCACTATTTTCAGTCAATTAATGCTTCTCTAAATAGCAAAACTTACCTGGTTCATGAATCATGTAATGAACCCAGCCTAGACTCTGTTGGACACCAAGTCTCCTCCACTCCTCTTCAGACATCAGATGGGTTTTGGGTACTTGTTTGGAAAGTTCTCTGGGTAACATGACATGTCTGTTTAAAAAAAATATAGCCAAACATCAGTACTCTATGTGAATATGGCTTTCCTACAATTATGGTCGCTTTACACATGCATCTTTAGGACACTTAAAAAAGCAGTCCTGTTAGTTATCACTGGCATCAATCTTAAGAACTACTTAAATAGTTCTACCACCTTTAATTCTGATTTTTGATGGCCTGTGTTCAAATTAGAGATTAGAATATGTAGTCCTAAAGTAGAAAGCATTTTATTTACGATTAACATTTTTCCCTAATAGAAACTGCTTGCTCATCTTCAGAAATAGAACCTCAAAAACTTAAGTGGGACACATGGTTATCCAAAACACCCCAGCCTCTCCTGCAGCTACCTCTGGTCACATGACTAAATTGACCAATAGGATAAAAGCAGAAAATATGCAACTTATGGAAAGCATCCTGAAAAGAAAAGAATTCCAGTTTGTTTTTCTCCTTCCTGTTGGTTATGAAGCAGATTGATGTGATACGGGAGCAAGAGAATTCATTTAAGACCACAGCTGCTGCTGCTAAGTCGGTTGTGTAGACTCTGCCACGCCATAGACAGCAGCCCACCAGGCTCCCCCATCCCTGGGATTTTCCAGGCAAGAGTACTGGAGTGGGTTGCCATTTCCTTCTCCACTAAGACTACAGAAGTGATTATAAATTGAGAATGGTCCCTGATTGTAAGAGCTGCAAATAACCTGTTACCTGATTTCTATCTTCTACCTAATTGTTGATTAGTCTCAAGAGAAATGTACAGTGCTTTTGTACTCATGTATACCCTACAAAATTAAGCAATATTTTATGTTTAAATGGAAGTCACATCCCTACCTTCTCCATAAACCATGGAAATAGGCTAGCCATCAAGGTTTGATTACAAGGGTTAATAAGTAGCTTCAATCTCAGATGGAGAGTCTACATGACTTTTTTTTTTCCCCCTGCATGGGTGTAACTCTTTATTGGGCTTCCCTGCTAGCTCAGAAGGTAAAGAATCTACATGCAATGTGGAAGACCCAGGTTTGATCTTTGGGTCAGGAAGATCCCCTCCAGAAGGGAATGGCAACCACTCCAGTATTCTTGCCTGGAGAATCCCATGGACAGAGGAGCCTGGTGGCCTACAGTCCATGGGGTCATAAAGAGTTGGACACGGACTGAACAACTAACACTTTCAAAACTGTATATATTTCTAACTACATATAAGGAGAATTATTCCCCAAAGTTAACATTTCAGTACCAAGTGCTTTTCATGGAGGGTGAAGAGGTAAAGAAGGCATTAACAGTACAAACAACAAAGGAGCTACTAGGATAACACTGCAGGATACAATTAAATTTCCCTGCTCTGGAGATTACTGCCCTGTTTCATAAAAGTTAAGTGGCTTGGTCAAGAAACAACAGCTCTAATTAATACTGGATTAGATATTAATCCAGATTTTAGTAAGATTGTGGTTATATTCTGTCCATTACTGCATATCCCCAGCTGAATTCTTGGTCAGCATCACATAATTGAACATTATTAACACATTACAGGATTAGAACTGTGTAGTATGTAAAAATAAGACAATTGACTTCAGAGACTTTTCCAATGCAATTAGGTATTACTAATCTGCAAGGCTGCCCAGAGAAATCATCGATTTTTCTCCAGAGAATACAGATTTACACGATATTTAGGGGGAGGGGATAAAAGGAGACCCACCCACTGTTACTGAATGTAAGCTTTCTAACTCAAATAGCTTTCTTGGAAATCTAAAAGGATTGCAGACAGAAAAGCTCACTGGGCCCGCCTACACGTCAGTAGTTTCCCAGGATGCAGCGTCTAGTCACCACCCAGGAGGACTGGGCGGAGCTGGGTGTTTGAAGCCACACCCTTGTTAAGTTTCCGGCAGGCGTTAAGGCTAATAAGTGTTACAAGAGTTCCTTCCCTCTCACAATCCAATTTGCTAATCTAACACATTTAGGAACTACTCTCTAGTCCCATCACATAATGATGCAGGAGCCAAAAAAAATGCCTCAAAGCAAAAAATTATTTGGCCGATATAAATTATCAGAAAAAAAAATACCCCAAATCCGTTCGAGTTCTCAATTTAGTCTCAAAAGGAAGCCCCTTCAATTATTAACCCAAGAGGGTTACCACGCACCAGCACCCGCTCAAAGTCGCCATACCCACTACACATTCAAATCCCAAGCAAGCTCGTTTTGGGGGGATTCCCCCACAAAGTAATTTTTAGTGCCATTAACTTCAAAAAAGAAGTGTTTCTCTGGCGACGTTACCTGACCAAAATCACCACCCCTCGCCCGCTGTGACTGGGGGTGGGTGTGGGGGGCGTTTGCCTGAATGCCAGGTAGGCCGAAGCTTTTAGGAACAGCTGCGCTTTTGTACAGGCTTCGGGCTCTCCGCGTCAGGCTTCGGCCACGCCGGGGCCGTTTAGGCCCTCGGCCCCTTCTCTTTAAGGCGGCAACTCTGCACCAGAAGCGGCCCCTTCTGCGCTCCAGCTTCGTCCCCCTCACAGACGGGAACAAAGAGCGGAAGCGGGCCGCGGCGGCCCGCCAGACGAGGAGAGGCGCGCGATCCCACCCCGGCGGCCCGACCCCAACACAACAGCGATTCCCGGCTGGCCCCTGACCTGACCTCCGGACCCCGTCCCCAACCCCAGCCTGAAGCGCTTCGACCCCGACTCTGGGTCCCAGGTTCTCTCCCCTAGCCGGAGTTCCAGCTCAGGCCCGCCCGGGGCCGCGGCTGAGGTAGGCTGTCCGGCCTGCTCACCGGTATTCGTAGTGTTCATCGAAGTACTTGTCCGAGTAGTAGATCTGCTTATGGGCCATCCTGCAGGTGGGCGGTGGGCAGCAGCCAACTAGAGCGACGCGGCACGAAGACAGGGCGCAGGTGAGGGAACGTCTGCGTCAGGTGAAAGCAACGACTCGACTGAGACCAACCGACCGTAAGCCGAACGAGCCAGGTTTGAATCCGACAGCCCGCCGCTGATTGGGTAACGGTGTCGACCAATCACCTTCCGCGCATCCTGCGGGAAGGCTGCAACCGGCTCCCAGCCTATCGTCACCGCCTTTCTGTGGCGTTCGCACAAGATCAGCCAATCAGAGGCCTGTTGCGAGGTCGCCCCAGGAAAGAAGTGATGATTGGCGTGGCGTGGGGGCGGGGAGCTCCCTAACGAGAAGGGCGTGACCAGGGAAGGGCGGAACCGGGACGTTAAGGGCCATAGAGCGCGTGCGCAGGAGTTTAGAAGGTTCCAGGTCCGCTGAACCGTTTGGACTGCGAACCTGCGGGAGGGGTACGGTATCGCGAGGTTTGGCGAGGCCCGGGAGTGGGAGGGTGCTGCCTGTAGAACTGTCGTCAGTTTGTCAGCGCATCGTCCGCTGCCGGTGGTGCGTGTCTGAAGTACGTGGGAGGCGAGGAAGGCCGGCAGCCCTAGACTGAGGGAAATCCTGGCCTCGGAAGTCTTACCCGGGGCGCGCCCAGCCTTTTTGTGGAGTAGGTATCCGGAAAGCCAAAGTTGTGCCGGGACTTGAGGAAGACATCAGAATACCCCACCGCGGCGAGGCTGTATGGAGCATCCCGGAACCTCGCCACAGAGTGCTGCGGGCGTGGTGGTGCTAGGCCGTTGCCCAGAGACCTCTGTTAGGGGAAAATTGTCTTCCCACGCCGTTCGCACATTCTGACAACTCTATAGATAGGCGTGTGTGCGTGCGTATGGGAAAATAAAAATTACTAAAATAATGATGTTTGGTAGAGGACAACGGTATTAATAGTGATTTGTAAAAATCCCTTTGGCTTGTTAGCCTTGAATCCTAATTTAAAATTAAGGTACTTGTAGGGGGTTCCCTGGTGGTCCAGTGGTTAGGCCTGTGCGCTTTCAATGTCGTGGACCCTCGCTAGATCCCTGGTAGGGAACTAAGATCTCAAAAGCCCCGTGGCCAAGAAGAAAGTGTTTTTCACTTTTTCCACAGTGAGCGTGTGGAGTTTTTTGGTTTTTGGTTTTTTTTGTAGTGCAGCGCGATACCGGTAAGAGCTTCACTGTCCTGCCACTGCCTCCCTCCCACAGGATGGTCGCTTTATCCTTTGACTCTCAGCCTAAGGATTCCCTGTTGTGAAAGTCGTTTTCATCACCTGTTCGGAGGAAGTCCCCACCTTCCCCATTCCTCTCCGTCCTTGCCCAGCAGTTGCAAGCTCACTCGTGTACTGTGCCCCCACCCGCACTATAACATATCCTCCAGTAAACCAGCGTTGTAGGCATGTCTGTTTTGTTCACCACTTTATACCCAGCACGTAACGGTTCCTTGTGCTCCACTCCCTAATTTTGAAGTAACAATTACTTTTCAAGTAATGTATGCCTAAATAATTAGACGTAATAATGTGCCGTAATAGTGAAGGTGACAAGAGATTTCCCTGGCGATCCAATGATTAAGATTCTGAGCTGCTGCTATAGGGGATAGGAGTTGGATCCCTGGTGGGGGAGTTAAGATCCTACCTATGCCAAACATCAGCCCCGCCACCCCCCTACCACTCCCCCCGCAAAAAATGTAAATAAACCGTTATGAGAGCTGGTTAAGGAAATCCCACGGCAGAACTTAGGAAAGAAAATCTTACAAAGAGATATGTAAGAGCCTGCTGTGAAAACTCTCAGAAAAGCAGAATAGTAATAAAATCAGCTTCCATAGACTAGTTGCTCACCTTCAGCTGTTAACATTTGGCCCATCTTGTTTCATCTCTTTCCCTTTTCCCTATAATATCTTTAAAGAGAGCCCAAATGTCATTTCAGTCTGAAATAATACATTCTTGTATATATCTGTACATGGTATAGACTCAAGGAAAATTTTAAAAATATTTTAGCACCATGTCATTTCTACACTTGTGATTCCTCTTTTGTCTGTAATAGTTGTTTTCTACTTGGTGTATCTTTCCTTCATCTGCTTCCCCCTGCCTGTCTTCCTGTACTGGCTCAAGAAGTCAGAGAAAGACTGAAGAGTCCTATGTCAATTAATCTAGAGCAGTGATTGAAAGTCCAGCTGTATGATAACAGCTGCATAAGGGTGAACAGGAAAAAGCGTTGAACTATATACTTTAAAATGGTGAGCTGTATGTATGGTACATGAATATTTGAGCTCAAATGTTAAATTTTTAAGGAAAAAAAAAAACACTGGACGTATATGGCTTTACAGAAAAGTTTTACCAAGAGTTTACTTCATAGAATAAACTCTTCCACTCTATAAGAATTTATTAGGCAATGGCCAATTGAATCCTATTGTGTTTCTTAAAAGGATGATTTTACTATCTCCAAATGTAAAAATAGTTTAATATTAGAAAATCTGTTAATCTAACTCACCACATTAACTGTGTAAAGGAGAAAAAATGATCGATCCAACGGATGCAGGAAAAAACATTTGCTAAAATTCAATGCTCCTATAACCTGCAGTGCAGCAGGAGCCTCAGGTTCAATTCCTGTGTGGAGAATCCCTGAAGAAGGAAATGACAATCCTTTCCAGTATTCTTGCATGGAAAATCCCATTGACAGTCAAAGGGGTCATAAAAGAGTCAGACAGGACTTAAAGACTCAAAAACAATGAATGCAGGAAAAAAAATTGCTAAAATTAACTACTCCTATAACACAAACTCTTAGTAAGCCTACCACTCACTGGTGATACCACTCTTAGCAATTAGAAGTAAGAGGAAGCTTTGTTAACCTTGTAAAGCTACCTATAAAAAACATAATTCTTATGAGAAAACATTGGAAGCATTCTCTTTAAAATGTTCTATCTCCAATTAGATTGAACAACGCTTGAAAATCAACACAGTTAAGAGAGGTTTAAGACAAATTAATTGGTAAGAGAGAAACGAAAATTGTTTGCAACTGATGTAATCATCTGTATGTGTAAGATTAATATCCAAGGTCTATTGGCATTCCTGTACACCAGAAACAGTATCTAGAAAACCTATTTAAAAGTAGTTTATCAGCATCAAATGTCATCCACCTAGGAATAAGCCTAACAAAGGATATGCAAAATTATGAAACTTTGAGAAACATAAATGAAGTCTTGAATAAATGGGCAAATATACTATGTTCATGCTTAGGAAGGCTCAGTATGGTTAAGATATAAATTATCTCCAAATTGATTGTAGAGTTAGTCTAATTCCAATGAAAGTACCACATTCAAAGGACTTACTTGACTCTAAAACAATATGAATAAGGAAATGGCTAAGAATAGCAAAGACAGGTAATGGACTCTTAGCAGATCATGATTTATTAAGAACCTATAGTAATCCACTGTGAACAAAGCTAGTGGAGGTGATGGGATTCCAGCTGAGCCTTTTCAAATCCTAAAATATGATGCTGTTAAAGTACTGAACTCATTTTGCCAGCAAATTTGAAAAACTCAGCAGTGGCCACAGGACTGGAAAAGGTCAGTTTTCATTCCAATCCCAAAGAAAGGCAATGCCAAAGAATGTTCAAACTACCACACAATTGCACTCATCTCAAATGCTAGCAAAGTAATGGACAAAATTCTCCAGCCAGGCTTCAACAGTACGTGAACCAAGAACTTCCAGATGTTCAAGCTGGATTTAGAAAAGCCAGAGGAACCAGATCAATTTGTCAACATCCTCTGTATCATCGAAAAAGCAAGAGAATACCAGAAAAACATCTGCTTTATTGACTATGCCAAAGCCTTTGACTGGTGTGGATCACAATAAACTGTGGAAAATTCTTCAAGAGATGGGAATACCAGACCACCTGGCCTGCCTCCTGAGAAATCTGTATGCAGGTCAAGAAGCAACAGTTAGAACTGGACATGGACTGGTTCCAAATAAGGAGTATGTCAAGGCTGTATATTGTCACCCTGCTTATTTAACATACGCAGAGTACATCATGAGAAATGCTGGGCTGGAAGAAGCACAAGCTGGAATCAAGATTGCCGGGAGAAATATCAATAACCTCAGATATGCAGATGACACCACCCTTATGGCAGAAAGTGAAAAAGAGCTAAAGAGCCTCTTAATGAAAGTGAAAGAGGAGAGTAACAAAGTTGGCTTAAAACTCAATATTCATAAAACTAAGATCATGGCATCCAGTTCCATCACCTCATGGCAAATAGATGGGGCAACAATGGAAACAGTGGCTGACTTCATTTTCCTGGGCTCCAAAACCACTGCAGATGGTGACCACAGCCATGAAATTAAAAGACATTTACTCCTTGGAAGAAAAGCTATGACCAACCTAGATAGCATATTAAAAAGCAGAGACATTACTTTGCCAACAAAGGTCCCTCTAGTCAAAGCTATGGTTTTTCCAGTAGTCATGTATGGATATGAGAATTGGGCTATAAAGAGCTGAGTGCCAAAGAATTGATGCTTTTGAACTGTGGTGTTAGAGAAGATTCTTGAGAGTCCCTTGGACTGCAAGGAGGTAAAACCAGTCCATCGTAAAGGAAATCAGTCCTGAATGTTCATTGGAAGGACTGATGCTGAAGCTGAAACTCCAATACTATGGCCACCTGATTCGAAGAACTGGCTCATTGGAAAAGACCCTGATGCTGGGAAAGATTGAAGGCAGGAGGAGAAGGGGATGACAGATGGTTGGATGGCATCACTGACTCGATGGACATGAGTTTGAGGAAGCTCCGGGAGTTGGTGACAGACAGGGATGCCTGGCGTGCTGCAGTCCATGGGGTCATAAGAGTTGGACACACCCAAGCGACTGAACAGAACTGAGGTAGAACCACAACCCTGCCCCGGGGCTGCACTATTGTTTCTTGGCTGCCCCACCATTGTCTCTGCATCCATTCCCTTCCCTGATTAGTAACTGTTCTAATCTGCCCTTTGGGACTCAGGGAAAGTCGTGGAGGCTGGAGTGTTCCCTACAAACAAGAAATGAGGAAACGGAAAGGCTTCCATGCCCAGGAGTTGCACAGGGTCTACGTTGGCAGAGCCTCCTGGAACTTGGCTGCATGCAGACTGCTAGGCTGTGTGCACAGGTACTGGATGTATCCTGTATTAACTCATGCAAATCTTCCCTCGAGACAGAAAAATTTCACATAAGAAGGCTGAGAAGTGCCCTCAGTTAAACAGATTTTTCTACTAGTTCCCAGCTGAAATATTGTATTACATGGTCACATAGGTTTTGATTTGGAGTGGGGAGGAAGGACGAGTAAATTTATTTTACCTGGAGTGGAGGGGGGACTGCCCCATGTAAACTTCAGGGAGAAATTGATGTCTGCTGCTTCCAAGGTGAGGAGTGGGGATTTGCTAAATGGAAGAAAATTCTGAACCAACATTCTCCTCAGAAAATGCAAAAAGACCCAATAATCCTGGGGTCATGAGCAACAGACCTCAGTCATGTTACTGTGAAGACCTTTAAAAAGAAGAGGAGGATGATGACTGGGGTGATTGTTCATTTATCTGAGCATCACAAGGTTCTGGACAGTGCTGAGCGCTACAGTTGTGCCTCTGGGAATCCATGACCTGGATGCAGTGGTGTGCCCATTTCTGAATCTCAAGTATTTCGGGAAGTCATTTTTGCATACCGAGTCATATGCAAAAAGTTTTTCTTTATCTCTTCTGACAGTTTGGTAAAATGTGTGACAGTTTTCCACACAAGTTACTTAACTAATTTCAAATGGGGAAATTCTACATATGAAGATGAGAGACTGGACAATACCTTAACCAAGTGATCAAAGGCACATCACCCATACAGAGCAGACGGAAGTCACGTGTCTTCAGATGTGCGACCCCGAGAAGGTCACGCCACCACTTAAGCCAAAAATACACAGCTTAAATCTCCCAGGGAGGAAACATCACAAAGAAATAGATGGGTACTCTTTAAAATAAATGAATAACAGTATTAAAAATTGTTAATATGGGGTTTCCCTGGCAGCACAGTGGTAAAGAATGCACCTGCCGATGCAGGAAACATGAGTTTGATCCCTGAATGGGGAAGGCCCCACCTGTTGTGGGGAAACTGAGACCGTTTGCCACAAGTACTGAGCCTGAACTCTAGAGTTCATGCTCCACCAGAGAAGCCACTGCAGTGAAGCTCACACACTACGACTCGAGAGTAGCTCCTTCCTGCTGCAACTAGAGACAAGACCATGCATCAGTGAAGACCCAGCATAGCCAAAAATAAACCAAAAAAAAAAAATTTTTTTTTTACAGTGTTGATATGAAAGACAATGTTTGAGGTTCCAGGTTAATGTTCCAGGTTAAATGTTCCAGGTTAAATGTTCCAGGTTAAAGAAGCCAAAAGAATATGACAACTAAATGCAGTATGTGATCCTGAATCAGGAAAAAGAAAAAAGACTGCAAAAGACATTTTTGAGACTTTTGAAGGATGGTAGATCATAAAAAGTATTGATATTAAAGTTTCTGAATTTGATAAGTATACTATGGTTAGAATATTTTTTACTATGGTAAAGAATCTGCCTGTAATGTGGGAGACCTGGGTTCGATCCCTGGGTTGGGAATATCCCCTGGAGAAGGGAATGGCTACCCACTCCAGTATTCTGGCCTGGAGAATTCCATAGACTGCATAGTCCATGGGATCACAAACAGTAGGACATGACTGAGCAGCTTTCACTCCACTATGGTTAGGTAGATTGTGTCCTCACTCTTAAGAAATACATACTTCAGTTAAAGATAAAGGAGCATAAAAAAAAAAAAAAAGATAAAGGAGCATGTCATCAACCTACTCTCAAATGGTTCAAAATTAGGCATGTACTGGGACTTCCCTGGTGGTCCAGAGGCTGAGACTCCATGCTCCCAATGCAGGGGGCCCAGGTTTGACCCCTGTTGAGAAAACTTGGTCCTGCAAGACAGAACTGAAGATCCCACATGCTTCAACGAAGACCTGGTGCAGCCAAAGAAATAAATTAAAAAATTTTAAATAGGCATGTACTGTTATACTCTATCTATATATCTTACATGCCATGTATATTTTGTATATAAAACACTGTAAGTGTACACATATGAATACAGTAATTTCCTTAGTATGAGGACATTCTTTAATATGTCTGTGAGTGTATAAAGAAAGAAAGAAAATGATAAAACAAATATGATCGAACGTGAAAAATTGTGATTTGGAGTAATTAAAAATAATGAATTGGGGATATAGGGAATAGGGGAGTTTTTTATATTATTCTTGCAATTTTCCTGTAAATTTGAAGTTATTTCAAGGTAAAGAATTCTTAAAAATCAGAATGAATTATACATTTAAGCATGGTTTTATAAAAAAATTAAAGTCACTATATGTGACCCTAGAAGTTCCTAAGTTAAAACTAGCATAGTGACTTCCCCAATGGTCCAGTGGCTAAGATTCCATGCTCCCAATGCAGAAGGCCTGGGTTTGACTCTTGGTCAGGGAACTAGATCCCACATGCTGCAAGTACGAGTTTGTCTGCTATAACTAAAGATCCCATATGCTGCAACTAAGACATGGAACAGCTAAAAAAAAAAAAAAAAAAACTAGCATTGATTTTGGAGATTTAATATGGAAGCACTTGGCTTCCCTGGACAGGCTCTGAGTCTGCAGACCCTGACTTCTGTCACAGTGGGATGACAATAAATGACAATAAATCTAAGAAGAAATGAGGAAGCCACAGGACAGAATGGTCTCAGCCCCCCGCCCCTTCCCTGTATGTAGGAGAACCCCTCTGTGGATCCTTAGTGACCCCCTGACACGTTATCTGTCATCTTGCACTCTGACCCTGCTAGGGCGTCCCCAAGGGAGCTGCCAGAGTGTCTGACCCAGGCCAGGCTAAGGGAGCAGCTCTGACTGAGAACTTGTCAACTCCATTTCCCAGGCTGCTCTAGTCTACAGCCCACACCACCCATAACACCAACGTGGGGAGTGTGCCCTTCCCCATAATCATAGTGGTTCTGATCACTCGCTTCGGGTTGACAGGTTTATTACCCATGGTCTCAGGATTATTACTTGAGTTTTTTGAGGAAGGTGTTGGTCCCAATTTCCTTCCTGTTTGGCAATTTCCCACTCCTCTCCCTAAGCCAAGTGGGATCAGTGTAGTCTTTTCTTTCTGTATCCATAGATCTTTCTATTAATTCTCTCCCACTAGTCCCATCATAACTTTTATTTGTGGCTACAGAACCTAGAACCCCAACCCTCAACTGCCTGAAGAGCACATGGCCCTATGTGAGCAAGTCATCCTGTCTCTTGGAGTCTGGATGTTGAGCAGGACGGAACACCGGTGAAGCAAGTTGTCCAGTGGTGATGTCCCCACAGTGGAGGCTGGGTGTCTTTCCCCAAACCGCTGGTTGCCCCATTCCTGCTATTGGATCCTGCAAGTGACGTGGCAGTCATTTAGTTTTATAGATTTAGGCTCCAAACAACCATGAAGACTTTTTAATTAAAAAAAAAAAAAAAAAAAGACTTTGGCTGGAGTGCGCTACAGGCCTGTGGGAGCATGGAGGAAATATGAGACATCAGAATTGATAGCTACCTGAGGCGGGTCTGTGCCCTGGCTCCTGCTCTGTGAAGCTGACCCTTACTTATTATGGCAGTGCACAGTGAAGAGCCGACCTGTTGAGCCTTTGCCTGCAGCTCTCCGAGGCTCTGGGTTTCCAGATGGAACTTGAGAACCATGAAAGGAGAAGGGAACTGCCAAGATCACAGGGTTCCAGGATTGTTTTGGACTCAGGCACTGATTTAGAATGAGAAAAGCACACTGTGAATCTCAGTTCCCCTGTGAGGCAGGAGATAAACCCAGGGGTCTTTCTTTGGATCCTGGAAGCATCTTTGACGCTTTGGTTTTGATATCTCTGAGAAACCAAACCTCAGGGTTGGGTTTTATAGGTTCCTGAACTGAAGTGCCAGTTGAATCTGCTATCTCACTGCGTTTCTTCCTTGACAGTTATAGCATTAATTTGAAAAGGGTGGGTTCCCCAAGTTAGTACTGGTGTCATCAGGGCTGAGTTGGAAGACTCAGAGGACCCCAAGTCCTCTCAGGTACCACCTTGCCCTATGCTTCTCTAGCTCACAGAAGCTGCCTCTCCTACAGAAAAACAGTATCCTCCTGCTCTTAGCTTCCCAGGATTCGTACTTCACCTGCCTGGAGTGTGAGTATGTTGTGTTTTGTGTGTGTGATGAGGGTGTGGTATATGGTGTGGTGTGTGGGTATGTGTGTCACAGAACCAGAGTAAGAAAGAGGAGGAGTTGCAGGAGTTTACTAATTTATACTTGAGGAAAGAAATTTCAAGGGTGGGAGGCTAAGAAGGGCAAAACTTAATTTTGGATAGTACTGACGTTGCTTATATGGATGTCCTTACCATGAGTTCTGCTTTCAACTGCTGGCTTGCAGCTGGTTACAATTGCAATAATTTCCTGTGTTGGCTAACATAAGCCTAGACCAAATGCTGGCTCAAACAAAGGGACATTACAGGGCCAGAAATCCTGGCATAAAATATATAGGAAGGAATGTAAAAGGTCGGAATAATAGCGTACAGACACGGACCTATTGTGAGGATGGAGTTCCCCTCTGATCATGAATCCCAGGGCTCCAAGCTACCATCCTTACTTGAGCTCAGCTGATTCACCTGGCCATATGGTGCCCAGGAGCATTTGTTGGTTTGCAAAGTGGTCCCCATACAGAGATGGCAAGGGAAGACCGAAGAAAGAGGCAGACCATTCCATATTGGTAGGTGACAACCTTAATAATCAGTGAAGCTTACATAGGATGCTGTCATGTGGCCAAAGAGCAGTAGGCCTTCAACCTGCCCACAAGAATCTTAAGAGTTAGTAGAGAAACCTTATCTGGGTTCAGTCTCATATTTAGTCCAGATGGTCTTGACAACACATTGCTCTCTCAAGGCTAAGTCTCTGATACAACTCCAACTGTGGGAATGGTGGGTGGAGTGTACATACGTTCCAAGGACAGGGAAGGGGTAAGGAAGCTCTGATTGCCAGGGTCCTGCTCTCACATCAATCAGAAGCCATGACCTCTCGATGACCTCCTCCAGCAACACTGCAGCATCACATGGAGGTGGTCAATATAAGCTGGGCCTGCTGAGTCCCTGAAAACAGAAGGAAGCTTCTGAAAGACATGGCATCATCCTGTTCCCCCTCTTAGACCTCTTAGATTGCCTGAATTTCCACTCTTTCTCTGTCAGTCTGAACATATAAAGCATATGGTCCTGTGACAGACTGACAGAGAATCATAAATGAAAAATAAAGCAATACAGTATAAGGCTGCACTTAAGAGAAATGCACAACTGAAACACTGCATTCCTTTTAGGCAGCTCTGATGGATAACAGAGAAGGACAAATGTTTTCCAAGTAGGCATTGTTTGAATAGAATATCTCAATATCCACTGAGCCTGCAAAACAAGATGGTCTGAGCTTTAGACCTAGACCTTGGGGGAAAAAAAATGAGTTAAGAGACCAAACAGAGGTTAAAGACTTTCTTCAGCACCAGTGAGCACCCACCACCCTCTGACTGAAGACGGGTCAGCATTCTTATAAGACAGGAGCAAGTTGAGTATATACATCCTTACAGTTTTAACACAGGCAGCATTTTCTATTTTAACAAAACTTGGGTGGGGGTTTTTCTTTTCATGTTCTCTGTTTGGAGTGATTGGTACAATATTGATGACCACTTACCAATTACTGCTTTTGCTAGCCATGTGGTCCCTCAGGCAGTCCAAGTTCGTGGGACAGAGAAGGCAGATAGTCAAAAAGGAAAAAAGTGGCCAATGAGAGAGGAGGCAGGGAGGAGGGAGGAGGGAGGAGGGAGGAGGGAGGGCCCTCCCTCATGCTTATTTCCATCCTTTACATGGATCCTGTCACTGATCAGGATCTTGGAAGGACTGAAAGGCAGGTCTGCAGGCAAGAAGATGTGGGACAGGGACATGAGACTGAGTTGCTTGGAAGAGGCCCAGAATCCAAGAATACAGTGCTCAATTTGGATGCCAACCAGAGGGCTCTTTCTATAGGAGAGATCTTAATAAAGGTGGACTGAATGACCAATTATTAACAAATTCTTCTGCTACTTTGGGGGCTTCCCTGGTTGCTCAGTGGTTAAGAATCTACCTGTCAAGGTAGGAGATGCAGGTCTGACCCCTAGGTCAAGAAGATCCCCTGGAGAAGGAAATGGCAACCCATTCTAGTATTCTTGCCTAGGGAATCCTATGAACAGAGGAGCCTGGCAGTCTACAGTCTGTAGGGTCACAAATGAGTCAGACATGACTTAATGACTTACCAACCAACAAATCCATCAACTGCTACCTTGGATTAAAAAACAGGGACTTCTATTTATACAATTCACTTAGCCATTACCAAGTGTCCAGTTTGCTGGCAACATAACCCAATGTGTAACACCAAGTGGGTACCCTGTCTTACCCTGGATGCAGTTACTGGATGTCATTTTGGGTTGTGTTCCATTGGGGAGCAGGTGAGGGTGTAGGTGGTATTAGCAAAATGTTAGTCAGAGGCCTCTTAGTAAGGCAGGGATCTGTATGGAAGGGTGTGTCTACACGAGTGCTGGCAAGACAAGGTACTTCCCACTTCAGTTCTCGCTCCAGGAGAGGTGGGCCTTGGTCTGCAGACTATGGGATTTTGTTTCCCTGAGCATAGTAGTTGGTAATGCAATTTAGAAAAACATTTTTTCTTTTGGGAAAGTGAATCTTGAGATGGAAGGCAGTTGGAATGGCAGCAACCTTAGGTGATGGCATAGCAGTTCTAGTTACTGAGATCTTTAGGGTTGCTTTGGTTTCTGTCTCTCATGAGGGCTGATTGTCTAGTTGCATTACGTGTGTGCTCAGTCATGTCCAACTCTTTGATGGCACCTCAGTAACCCACCAGGCTTCTCTGTCCATGGGATTTATCCGGCAAGTATACTGGAGTGGATTGCCATTTCCTATTCCAGGGAAACTTCCTGACCCAAGGATCAAACCCACATTTCCTTTGTCCCCTCTATTGCAGGCAGATTCTTTACCACTGAACCAGGGAAGCCCCTGATTAGTCTAGATTGACCAACAATTATGAGTCACCAACACCATACCAGCAAATGCCATTTATGCTGAGGTTAGGTCAAATTTGGTACCTGTACTAATGTAATTGCTACTTTGTTTTCATCATATTAATATTAATCATTTGTGTGTTGGCCTTAACATGCAGATTGTATCTAAGATGAGGGCACGAACAAGGCCTTACTCATTTTTGTCTCTCTGTTGCCGAAATTTGGCCTCTGTGTACTAGTGCTAGGTTAAATCTCGGAGAAAGATTTTTGGGTGAAGTAGACAGACTTTATTTTTCTGGGCTCCAAAGTCACTGCAGATGGTGACTATAGCCATGGGATGAAAAGATGCTTGCTTCTTGGAAGGAAAGCTATGACCAACCTAGACAGCATATTAAAAAGCAGAGACATTACTTTGCCAACAAAGGTCCATCTAGTCAAAACTATGGTTTTTCCAGTGGTCATGTATGGATGTGAGAGTAGGACTATAAAGAAAGGTAAGGCTGAAGAATGGATGCTTTTGAACTGTGGTGTTGGAGAAGACTCTTGAGAGTCCCTTGGACTGCAAGGAGATCCAACCAGTCCATCCTAAACAAAATCAGTCCTGAATGTTCATTGGAAGGACTGATGCTGAAGCTGAAGCTCCAATACTTTGGCCACCTGATGTGAAGAACTGACTCATTTGAAAAGCCCCTGACGCTGGGAAAGATTGAAGGTGGAAGGAGAAGGGTCCCACAGAGGGTGAGATGGTTGGGTGAGATGGCATCACCGACGTGATGGACATGAGTTTGAGTAAGCTCCGGGAGTTGGTGACGGACAGGGAAAACTGGTGTGCTATAGTCAATGGGGTCACAAAGAGTTGGACATGACTGAGCGACTGAACTGAACTGAGAAAGAAATAACTTTGCCAGGCAAAGGAGGCCACAATGGCCTCATCCCCTTAAGACTGTGGGTCCCACCCTGGAGTGGGTAGTGAGGAGTCTCACAGTGTTCAAGGAGCAGGGCATGATCAACTCATGGACAGTCTTCTGATTGGCTGGTGGTGAGGTAATTGGACATGAGTTTGAGTAAACTCTGGGAGTTGGTGATGGACAGGGAGGCCTGGCAGTCTGTGGGGTCACAAAGAGTTGGACATGACTGAGCAGCTGGACTGAACTGAACTGAGGTAATTGGGAGCCAGCATCTCCAACCTTCTGGTTCTAACTGGTCTGGAGCCTTCGTGCTTGTGGGCAGCACACAGTTAACTCCTCCAACCTGGTGGGAGTGTCTGTATCTGCATAACTGTTCACAGAACATGCCTCAGAATATTTATTACCCACAGTCCTCAAGGCAGAACTAAAAGTCCTTGACTTTGTTTAATGCCTAGAGTATTATTATTTTGTCATGCTTGACAGTTTTCCTTTCTTTCTGCCTTTTCTCGCTTCTGTGATTAAATTCATTCTTTGACTTTAGTTTTTCTCCAGACAAAACGCAGGTGGAGAACACGTGTGAGGTTCTATTCTGTGATGAATTCATCGGCTCAGTTGTATCTCCAGGACCAACACAATGCTTGGTTTGTAGTAGGTTCTGAATATCTCCTGTTTTTTTCTTTGCCTGATCACTGACAAATTTATTTTTATTATTTAAGCAGTTTCCTTGGTCCCCATCTATACGTTTCCTTCTAACACTATTTGTGATCAGAAATGGCTACACAAATTTAAGTGAGAATAGTCAGCGTGCCCTGAGGAAGGCTGTGAGGGACTCTGATGAATTAAGTACAAGAATTTCATACTATTTATTTTCACAGTCCAGATGATGCCTTTTACTCTGAGTTTCTACCAGCTTGCTGCTTAGTTGGGATTTGTCAGTCTAGAACCTTCTGGGATGGTGGAGAGTTGCTGTGGCTGCTCTCAAACTGGAGAGAGCTGGTTTGGGCTTTGTAATGAGCAGCCAGGTGGGAGAGGTGCCCTGATGGTCATCTCTTTGGAGCCAACTTTGAAGATCAGTGCCCTTTCCCAGGTAGTATCAATAGGAAATCCATCATCTAAGTGTCATGGTGGCAGGTGGGCAGCCCTTGATGTCAGCTGAGGGCTTTCTTCTATTCCAGGCAGTGTTCATTGTTTTACTGTTTAATTAATTAATTTTTTTGGCCATGCCTTGAAGCATATGGGATCTCAGTTCCCTGACCATAGATGGAACCTGTGGCCCCTACAGGGATGGAAGCACAGAGTCTTAACCACCAGACCACCAGAGAAATCCCTGTTCACTGTTTTATTGTTACAGTTCTTGGTGCTTTTCTGATAGCAGCTGTAGCATTTCGTGCATGTGTGCGAAGTCACTTCAGTCATGTCCAACTCTTTCAGACGCTGTGGACCATGGCCCACCAGGCTCTTCTGTTCACAGTGATTCTCCAGGCAAGAATACTGGAGTGGGATGCCATGCCCTCCTCCAGGGGAGCTTCCTAACCCAGAGACTGAATCTGTGTCTCCTGCGGCTCCTGCATTGCAGACAGATTCTTTACTGCTGAGCCACCAGGGAAACATTTAGAGATAGTCCAAAATAAGCTGGTCCAAAATTTGATTCTGGTAACCAGAAAAATAAGTAGGAACATTTATAAAGACAACAATCTAATTCCTATTTGTAATCACTATATAGTAGTTTAAATTGCACACATTTTAAAACTTATTCGCACCTGAAAGTGAAAGTCGCTCAGTCATGTCCAACTCTGCGACCCCTTGGACTATACAGTCCATA